GGAGCCAGAGGCGCGTACGCCACCCTTGGTTGCTCACTCAGAATTAACCCAGCCAGCAGCCCTAGGGCATTCTGGGAATTTTTTTCAAAGATGGCTGCCTCTCATTGGTGGTCCTAAGAGTCCATTTCATACACATTTAGAATGGGTTCCAAAAAATCAGAGTTTTCTCGGTTGGCGCAGTTTCCCGCCGACCAAGAATACTCGGTTGGCGCAGTTTCTCGCCGACCGAGAATACTCGGTTGGCGCAGTTTCTCGCCGACCGAGAATACTCGGTTGGCGCAGTTAAGTGGTTAAGGCACATTCCTATGTTCGTTTATTTTAGTGTAGACTGCAGTATGAAAGCCCCTTTTCCTTTGCATGACTGTTACATCTAGAAAGGGCAGCTTCCCATCACTCATCTCATAAGTGAAACTTAACACAGAATTTTGCTGGAATGCCGCCTTCAACTGCTGCAAATGTCTGACATCAGGTACCTGCATAAATATGCTGTCAACATACCTGTATTACTGTTTGTGGCAGGTTTTAGTCCATATCAACTAAGACCCTCTACTCCATGGTTCCCATGTAAAAATTTGCGAACCTTTTTGATCTGTCGAAACGTTCATCTCCCTTTCCCATTTCTCTGTGGATTTTCTGCATACAAATGTGCAGTGTTTCGTGATCATCAATTGCATATACAGTGGTGCCTCGATTAATGAATTTAATCCATTCCGGCACTGAGCTCGTCATGTGAATTGCTCGTCTTGCGAAACAACTACTACTATGTTGTCGGAGGCATCCGAGAACCAGTGGGAATGCTAGGAAGCACCATGTGCTTTGCTCGTTAATTGAGCGAAAGCTCGTCAATCAAGACAAATTTTCTGCGAGTGGCTCGCTCGTTACTCGAAATGCTCGTAACCGAAGTCGCTCATCACTCTAGGTTCCACTGTATATAAAATTTATATATATATATATAATATATATATACATACATACATATACATACATACTGTACGTTTAAAACGGTACAGTATTATTGAAAATATCTATATGTAGATCTTTATTTTTAGTAGTACGAGAGTGGATTTTCAATATAACATACAGCACGTAATTTGATTGAGTCAGACTGTGAATAAAAAATTAATAGAATTACTAAACTTGAAATTTTGCAGCTGTTTATATTGACTGAATAGCTCAAATTATATATCAGTCATCAGATCATCAGTCAATTATTTTGGTGCAAATTTTGTGTATTTTTAAGAATATCATCAGTTTACAGTTAAAGTATTTTAAGGAAATTATTGTACACTGTACAGTATACAGTATAATAATTTGACTTAATGTACTCGATTACATGAATCATAACAAGATAAAGAGTAGGCTTTGTTGAGAAGTGCAGAATGAGGATGAATTTTCAAGAGTTTTATTCTAAAATTAATGATGCATTTTTCTTAAGCAAAATCTATTCACATGGTGGTGTTTGAGACTGCAGTGTAGTGTTCATAGTGTTCAAACAATGTACTCACCTAGTTGTGCTTGCGGGAGTTGAGCTTTGGCTCTTTGGTCCCACCTCCCAACTGTCAATCAACTGGTGTACAGATTCCTGAGCCTACTGGGCTCTATCATATCTATACTTGAAACTGTGTATGGAGTCTGCCCCACCACATCACTGCCTAATGCATTCCATTTGTTAACTACTCTGACACTGACAGTTTTTTGTAATGTCTCTGTGGTACATTTGGGTACTCAGCTTCCATCTATGTCCCCTTGTTCGTGTACCACCCATGCTAAAGTGTTTGTCTTTGTTCACCGTGTCAAGCCCCCCCTGAGAATTTTGTAGTTGGTTATCATGTCTCCCCTTACTCCTCTGTCTTCCAGGGACGTGAGTTTCAGCTTCTTTAGCCTTTCCTCGTAGCTCATACCTCTCAGTTCCGTGACGAGTCTGGTGGCATACCACTGTATCTTCTCTAACTTTGTCTTGTGTTTAACTAGGTATGGACTCCAAGCTGGAGCTTCATATTCCAGGATTGGTCTGACATAAGTGGTATACAGGGTCCTGAACGATTCCTAACATAAGTTTCTAAAGGCAGTACTTATGTTAGCCAGTCTAGCATATGGCACTGATGATATCCTTTTGGTGTGGGCCTCTGGGGACAGGTTCTGTGATATCAACCCCTCAGATCTCTCTCTCTCTCCTTGACTCCTGCAGGATTTCACCTCCCAGATGGTTCCTTGTGTTCAGCCGTCTGCTCCCTTCACCTAATTTCATTACTTTGCATTTTCCTGAGTTGAACTTTAGAAGCCATTTTCTAGACATTCCTCCAGCTTGTCCAGGTCGTCCTGTAGTCTCTGTCTATCTTCATCTGTCTTGATTTTTCTCATAATTTTTGCATCATCAGAAAACATTGAGAGGAATGAGTCTATACCCTCTGGAAGATCGTTTACATGTATTAGAAACAGGATGGGTCCACGTACAGAGCCCTATGGGACTTGGCTGGTGACATTTTGCCACTCTGATGTCTCCCCCCTCACAGTTACTCGCTGTTTCCTGTTGCTTAGATACTCCCTTATTCACTGGAGCACCTCACCTATTACCCCTGCCTGTTGCTCCAACTTTCGTAACAGCCTTTTAATGGGGTACTGTGTCAAAAGCTTTCTGACAGTCCAAGAAAATTCAGTCTGCCCACCCTTCTCTTTCCTGCCTAATTTGCATTACTTGGTCATAGAATTCAATTAGGCCTGTGAGGCACGATTTACCATCTCTGAACCCATGCTGGTGGTGTGTTACAAAACTATTTCCCTCCAGATGCTCTACGAGCCTTTTCCTCACAATCTTCTCCATCACCTTGCTCGGTATACAAGTTAGGGAAACTGGCCTGTAGTTCAGTGCCTCTTGCCTGTCACCCTTTTTGTATATTGGGACTACATTAGCTCTCTTCCAGCTTTCTGGTAGGTCTCCTGTTTTCATTGACCTGTTATACACCATAGAGAGTGGCACAGTGCTTCTGCACCTTCTTTTAGTATCCACGGTGAGAGTCTAACAAGCCCAACAGCCTTTGTCACATTCAGCTCCAACAGATTACTTTTGACCTCGTTACTGGTGAGGTCAAAATCCTCCAAGGTTGCCTCCTCATTTAACGCAAGGGCTTCTCCTTGTTCTCTTGTGAAGACCTCCTGGAATCTCTTGTCGAGTTCTTCACACACCTCCTTGTCATATTCTGTGTATCAATTCTCCCCTTTTCTCAGTTTCATTACTTGTTCCTTCGTTGCTGGTTTCCTCTTGATGTGGCTGTGGAGCAGCTTTGGTTGGGTCTTAGCTTTACTCGTGATGTCAGTTTCATACTGTCTCTGCTTCTCGCCTCACTCTGAGGTACTCATTTTTTGCCCTCTGGTATCTTTCCCTACTCTCTGGCATTCTGTTATTCCTGTAGTTTCTCCATGTTCTTTTACTCAATTGCTTCACTACCTTACATTCCTGGTTGACCCATGGATTCTTCTGTTGCTTTTTTCTTTTCTCCGTTTGGACCGGGATAAATCTATCTGCAGCTTCCTGGCATTTCTGGGTGACATAATCAATCATATCCTGTACATTCTTCTCTCTGAGTTCTGTTCCCCATGGTATCCCCCTTAGGAAGTTCCTCATCTCATCATATTTTCGTCTTCGGTCATTCAGTCTTTTCCATTCCGATCCTATCCTTGGATTGGTTATCCTTACCTCCACCAGATACTCAAATGTCAATACACTGTGGTCACTCATTCCTATGGGGGGTCTTCAAATTTGACTTCTTTTATTTCTGACTCATTCGAGGTGAATATCAGGTCGAGTCTGGCTGGATCGTCATTGCCTCTCATTCTTGAGAGTTCCCCGACAAGTTGGCTCACAAAGTTCCTTGTTGCCACTTCCATGAGTTTAGCTCTCCATGTATCTGCACCTCCATGTGGGTCCCCATTCTCCCATTCTATCTTTCCATGGTTGAAATTGCCCATGATTAAGAGTCTGGAGCCATTCCTGCAGGCAACTGAAGCTGCTCTCCCTATTATATTATTGGTTGCCATGTTGTTCCTATCAAACTCCTGTCTGGGTCTTCTGTCATGTGAGATAGTATGGATGGGTGGGTGGACATGGGACAAGTGGGATTGTATGAGACCACAGACACCAGAAATGGTCTTTGTTCCCTCATGACTGTATAATATACTGTACTGTATCTTGAAATGAAATTGTATAATTTACTGTAATGATTGTGAAAGAAATATCTTAATTTCAAGCTGTTGGGATTATAAATGTTTAAGGGGATGTGATAAAAGTTCTCACTTTTACTGCCTTCTTTCAATAATTTACTCTGCAGTATATCTAAAATTATTGCATTTGAGAGTTTATTGATAGTACTGTATACTGTATTACAAAAATCTCTAATTTCCTTACAAAATAAGACCCCAAAAATATAATTAGGCAATTGCTTCCAAATACTGTTCATGAATAGGGTAAGTTCTTGCCCAGATTACTCATACATGGCAAGTAATCAAGTTTTTAAATAGAATACTTAATAAACACTCAAATATATTTAATAAACTGTATCTCCTTTTTGCAGAAAGAGTTGAGTGGTGATATATTTTAGCACTAGCCATGTATATGTCTCTGTAGCTGTGTCTTGTCTGTCTGTGGGGGGGTGTCATTCATGGGAAAATTAACCATTCTCTGATTGCTCTTAATAATATTTAAGAGGTGAATATTCTTTAGGCAATTTCTAGATTGTGATGATGTATTTGGGATTTTTTTTTTTTTAATGTTTTTGTAATTTGGTTTTGGACAAGTAACAGATCCTGTACCATATTGTGATGTGATTTAAATATTAATTTAATGAATTAAATATTCTTCTCTTGATTTTAGATATACAGTACATTATTTGGCCAACAAAATTTTAAAAGAAATTATATTATATAATTTTGTAAATTATAATTTAAAACTTGTTTTGAAAGGTAATGTTTCTTTGTAGTTAATGCCAATGTTTATCTTCTTCCAGCAGGCTGATAGTGTAGAAGATGGTGGCGGTGGAGATGGGGGGGGAGGAGGAGGAGGAGGAGGTGGTGGCGGCGGTGACGGAACAAGTGTTGAAGAAAAACAAGAAGTCACAACTAACCTGCAGGTCAAGGTTGATGCTCAAGCCTCGCACACCACCACCTTCAGTGACACCAGTACTGAAACCTCTATGAAGACTACCACCAGCAAGTTAACCAGGACTACAAAAGTCAAGACAATAAAAATTGTCAAGAAGAAGACAACAAGCTCTCTGATAGCCAATGCCATCTCAGATCTCAATAGTAAGGCTGAAGAACCACTCACTTTAGTTGGAGAGTCACCCAAGAAAGTATTAATAAAAAGAAGTATTGACACTCCTCCCAGAAAAATCCCTGGCATTCCAAAGAAAATAATTAAGCCTGTTAGGTGCCAGGAAGTGCTAGAGGGAGGTGCTGAAGCTACTGCATCGGTCCCTTCACCAAAAAGGGGAGAATCAAATAAAACTAAAGAAACAAGCAAGGTTGATATTACCAATGAAACAAAGGTTGTCAGTGATGCTAAAAAATCAGTTGTTCAGCATTCTGTGGAAAAAGCAGCAGTGGAAGTGAATCATTCAGTTGAAACATCAGACAGTGATGAAATAAAAACATCAGCTAAAGCAAACTCTTCTGATAAAATTGAAAATTTGATTGAAATTAAAGCATTACCTGAAACTAATGATTCTATAAAAATAAACAATGAAGTAAAATCAAGGGAATCATTAGAAGTTAAGTCATCCAAACATAAAAACTCAACTGAATCACTTGATTCTGTTGCACATAAAAACATCTCTAAAGCCAGTGATTCAGCTAGGCCTAAGGACTCCACTGAAATAAATAAATCATTTTCCACAAAAGCAAATGATTTGGTAAAAATTGAAGAATCTGTGAAAGAAAATGATCCAGTAAAGAGTAAAGAATCCGTGAAAGAAAATGATCCAATTAAGAGTAAAGAATCCGTGAAAGAAAATGATCCAGTAAAGAGTAAAGAATCTGTGAAAGAAAATGATTCAGTAAAAAGTAAAGAATCTGTGAAAGAAAATGATCCAGTAAAGAATAAAGAATCCATGAAAGGAATTGATGCTGTTAGCTCAAAAGATTGTATAAAATCAAATGATTCAATTGTATCTAAACAAAACAATACTTGTACAGTTGTTTCAGTCAGATCTAAAGACTATACTGAAAGAAATGATACTGTCAAATCTAATGATCCAATTAAAGCAGACAATTCAATCAAATTAGAGATCTCCTCTGAAAAAAGTGAAGTCGTAAAACCTAAAGAAACCGTTGTAAAAAATAATTTGGCTAAATCAAAAGACTGTGTTCAACCAGAGTGTTCTACAGCAAAAGAAACCAGCATTGATACTCTTACCACTAAAACTGATACCCCTGACGAGACTGCTAGTTCGGTAAAAGTTAAATCAACAAAAGCAAAAAAATCTACCAAGGTTGTAAGTTCTGTGAGAAGCACAGACTCTTTGAGTGCCGTAGACTCTGCAACGGTGATGCCTGCAAAAGCCAGTGAGTGTTCAAAAACTGTAGATAATGTAAAGGAGGATGAATTGGGTGCCACAAATAACATACAAAATGAAGTAGACTCTGACAAAGCAATTGAAAATAGTGATTATGCAGATAAGGATGTAGTGAATGATATTTCTAGTTTGAGTGAAGAAACAAATGTGAGCTCGTGTAGTAATGAAAAGACCAAATTTGCTGATGCCGATTCTTTGTTGGATTCGGAACTAGACAATGTTAGTGTGTTTGTTATTGTCCGTGATATGAGTGGCCTAACAGCCACAGTAAATAAGGTGACAATAGTTACGCCTGCCACATCCACATGTGGTGAATTAATGCAAGAAGTTGGCCGCCGTTTTAAATATGAACCTGACTCCTTCTCGCTGGTTCTACAGTGCTCTGATGGTGATCAGGTAAGGAAAAATTTGGTTTGCTTGGCAGGTAATATTGATACTCAATTGACACCTTAATTCCCAAGTTCATCAGTATTGTAAACTTTAACTCATTAAATCATCAGTACTAACAACAAATATTAACTCTAAAACATTTTGAGGTAAATCTCCGGACGACTACAGTATATTTTAAAGTGAATTAGCATTATTGTATTGTGGGATGTGCTATTTTACTGTGCAACAAATATTAGTACTGCTCTGTATTGATTATGAAGACCAATGAACACCTTTATTAAACATGTGTATTCCCACTATTGGGAGTTGAAATCTTGGGAATTGATTGGTATAGTGGTACATTGCATTCGAGTTTCAGGGTTTATTATTTATTTGGTTTTAATGGTCATGCGAGCTAAATTGCATATCATTCAATGTCACATTTACTGTACTTTGAATCTATTTAAAGAAAGTTTGTTTTATATCTACAGTAATGTCAGGCATTTAAGCCGAGTTTTGTTTTCACTTGTCGACAGTGAAAACAAAAAGTTAAAGTAATTTTCAGTACTTCCTCTGGCCCCCAACTATTTTGTGTAATGTTGCCTGCATCTGTGAACTCGGTCCCAGCATCCTAAGCAAATCTGCACATCCCCTGCTTCAGCGAACTCTTGTTTGTTGAATTTGGTGAGTAAATTTGGCATGGAAAGTGTGTGTTCCAACCGGAGATTCATTGAATCAAGGTTCCATTGTACATACTCTTGTAAATTGCCAAGGTTGCTGTTGTACAATATGCTTTCATGACTGCCATGTTGACTACTGTGGGTGTAGGGCCTTTGTGGCTGGTAAGGTGACTACTGTGGGTGTAGGGCCTTTGTGGCTGGTAAGGTGACTACTGTGGGTGTAGAGCCTTTGTGGCTGGTAAGGTGACTACTGTGGGTGTAGGGCCTTTGTGGCTGGTAAGGTGACTACTGTGGGTGTAGGGCCTTTGTGGCTGGTAAGGTGACTACTGTGGGTGTAGAGCCTTTGTGGCTACTGTGGGTGTAGGGCCTTTGTGGCTGGTAAGGTGACTACTGTGGGTGTAGGGCCTTTGTGGCTGGTAAGGTGACTACTGTGGGTGTAGGGCCTTTGTGGCTGGTAAGGTGACTACTGTGGGTGTAGGGCCTTTGTGGCTGGTAAGGTGACTACTGTGGGTGTAGGGCCTTTGTGGCTGGTAAGGTGACTACTGTGGGTGTAGGGCCTTTGTGGCTGGTAAGGTGACTACTGTGGGTGTAGGGCCTTTGTGGCTGGTAAGGTGACTACTGTGGGTGTAGGGCCTTTGTGGCTGGTAAGGTGACTACTGTGGATGTAGGGCCTTTGTGGCTGGTAAGGTGACTACTGTGGGTGTAGAGCCTTTGTGGCTGGTAAGGTGACTACTGTGGGTGTAGAGCCTTTGTGGCTGGTAAGGTGACTACTGTGGGTGTAGGGCCTTTGTGGCTGGTAAGGTGACTACTGTGGGTGTAGAGCCTTTGTGGCTGGTAAGGTGACTACTGTGGGTGTAGGGCCTTTGTGGCTGGTAAGGTGACTACTGTGGGTGTAGGGCCTTTGTGGCTGGTAAGGTGACTACTGTGGGTGTAGAGCCTTTGTGGCTGGTAAGGTGACTACTGTGGGTGTAGGGCCTTTGTGGCTGGTAAGGTGACTACTGTGGGTGTAGAGCCTTTGTGGCTGGTAAGGTGACTACTGTGGGTGTAGGGCCTTTGTGGCTGGTAAGGTGACTACTGTGGGTGTAGGGCCTTTGTGGCTGGTAAGGTGACTACTGTGGGTGTAGGGCCTTTGTGGCTGGTAAGGTGACTACTGTGGGTGTAGGGCCTTTGTGGCTGGTAAGGTGACTACTGTGGGTGTAGGGCCTTTGTGGCTGGTAAGGTGACTACTGTGGGTGTAGAGCCTTTGTGGCTGGTAAGGTGACTACTGTGGGTGTAGGGCCTTTGTGGCTGGTAAGGTGACTACTGTGGGTGTAGAGCCTTTGTGGCTGGTAAGGTGACTACTGTGAGTGTAGGGCCTTTGTGGCTGGTAAGGTGACTACTGTGGGTGTAGGGCCTTTGTGGCTGGTAAGGTGACTACTGTGGGTGTAGGGCCTTTGTGGCTGGTAAGGTGACTACTGTGGGTGTAGGGCCTTTGTGGCTGGGAAGGTGACTACTGTGGGTGTAGGGCCTTTGTGGCTGGTAAGGTGACTACTGTGGGTGTAGAGCCTTTGTGGCTGGTAAGGTGACTACTGTGGGTGTAGAGCCTTTGTGGCTGGTAAGGTGACTACTGTGTGTGTAGGGCCTTTGTGGCTGGTAAGGTGACTACTGTGGGTGTAGGGCCTTTGTGGCTGGTAAGGTGACTACTGTGGGTGTAGGGCCTTTGTGGCTGGTAAGGTGACTACTGTGGGTGTAGAGACATTGTGGCTGGTAAGGTGACTACTGTGGGTGTAGAGACATTGTGGCTGGTAAGGTGACTACTGTGGGTGTAGAGCCTTTGTGGCTGGTAAGGTGACTACTGTGGGTGTAGGGCCTTTGTGGCTGGTAAGGTGACTACTGTGGGTGTAGGGCCTTTGTGGCTGGTAAGGTGACTACTGTGGGTGTAGAGCCTTTGTGGCTGGTAAGGTGACTACTGTGAGTGTAGGGCCTTTGTGGCTGGTAAGGTGACTACTGTGGGTGTAGGGCCTTTGTGGCTGGTAAGGTGACTACTGTGGGTGTAGGGCCTTTGTGGCTGGTAAGGTGACTACTGTGGGTGTAGGGCCTTTGTGGCTGGTAAGGTGACTACTGTGAGTGTAGGGCCTTTGTGATTAAAAGAGGTATCTACTACTTGCTAGTAGATACCTCTTCTATCTGGTCTTGCCAGAATACTCTTGCTGGCAGAAATTTGTTGATGCTCACAGATTACTATAAGTAGTATCCAGATAAATTTTCACTCTGCCAGATGTATAAATGTTAATACAGTACAGAAGACGATTTCTAAACAAAAAATGTGTGATTATGCCAATCCAATCCCAATTTTTTATACACAAAAAAATCATGAAATCTGAAAAATGTCCATGATATGTATTTTCTTCAGTAGCAAAATCTTACCATTTTTTTTTAGTTTGCAATGTATATACCAGTAATAATGTTTACTGGTATGTGTGTATATATGCTGCTGATTTTGATGTGCCCGTATATGCAGAATCATTTAACTGTAATGGAGAAAATGGAATAGAATTGCATTAGAAAATGTACTATACAGTTTGAGAAAAATTGGTTCTCTGCTAGACAAATAGAAGAGGGCTGTGTCTGTACTGTACAGTACCTTTTATATAAAACTAAAAGTGAATGTAGTGTGTACCCAAAGAAATCACACTAATGTGATATGCAGTACAGTATATATAGTTGAGACAGTCAGTTAAGGCAATAAAATGACTCAAACCAGCGATCAAACTCCCAGCTGTGCAACTTACCCCTGTACCACGATTTGGTATAAATTGTTCAACATCTTGTGGATTCCACTGAATCCACAAGAAGCCTGGAGACTTCTACAGAAGCGAGGTTCCATTGTAGGTTCCACTGCTCTACAACCAAGACAAATTTAGTCTTGGTTGTAGAGCAACCAAGCACTCGGATGTAGATAAAGTAGTTCACCAACCATATGCTGCAGTTTCAAATACAAAAAAAGAAATCACACTAACGTAATATATGTCAATGAGAAAATCGATTGGAACAATAGAGTGACTCATACCAGCGATCAAGGAGCTCCCAGTCGTGCACCTTACCCTTGTACCACGACTTAGTAGCTCGAGTCACCTCATTGCTTCAATTGATTTCCTCAATGTAGCGAATGTAAGAACACTTGAGGCATTGCTTTCCTGCATGGCATGAGTAAAGTATATGATAGACTAGTGTTTAGAAAAATACTGAAGGTAAATGAGAAATTGTTCACTGCTAATGATAGGTTCAATAACAGTTGATCAGATATATACATAGATTGAGACACCCTGTATAGAAGGCTTGTTAGAAAGATTATAAGAAGTATGTGGCATTTATGCATAAATAGAAAGTATGACTTGGTGAATAAAGAGGATCTTTAGAAAGTAAAGAGTTGGTGTGTTGTTACAGCTATGGAGAGCATTTAATTAGGACGTAGAGCATGCGAGTTATTACAGTAGTATAATAAGTAACTGATTTGGTACTAGAAGTATTGCAGAGTTGTGTAATATTTCATGGTTACTAATGTATAAATGAAGGGATTCATGATGAGGTCATTGGTGTGAGTACTGTTAAGAAAAAAGTGCTACTGTAATTTAGTGTTGATGGGTGTTAATGAACTACAGATATGTATATCTTACATGGTAAATGCAATTGATGCAATTCTTTTGTATGAAAAATCTACAGGGACATGTAGCTTAGTTTATAGATTTATTGATATGTGAAAGAAAACTGCTGAACAAGGTAATAGACATTGTAGAGTAGTGGTAATGGTAAAAATTAGAGTAGTGGTAGTGGTAATCCTCCCTGAAAAATTATTTCATATATACTGTGTGTATGTGTATATTCACCTAGTTGTGCTTGCGGGGGTTGAGCTCTGCTCTTTCGGTCCGCCTCTCGACTGTCAATCAACTGTTTCTACTACTACTACTACCTCTTTCATTTTTTTCATTCTCTTTCATTTTCATTTCATCAATTTTTCATCCCATGTTAGAAGCTTACCTGTCACCCCTCCAATATGTTCAGGTTTCCAGAACAACCTATTACGTGGAACTCTGTCAAAAAACTTTTTTTTAGTTCCAGATAGATGCAGTCAACCCAACCATCTCTTTCCTGTAAAATGTCTGTGGCTTGATCATAGAAACCGAGTAATTTCATTACACAGGATCTTTCAGGTCAAAAACCATACTATTTGATATTATATTGCTTTTCTCCAGGTCTTCTACCCATTTAGTTTTAATTTTTGTTTCCAATATTTTGACTATTACACTTGTCAATGATACAGGTCTATAAATGAGGGGGGGGGATCTTCCCTGCTGCCATAGATTGGAACTATGTTAGCCTTATTCCACACGTCTGCTACAACTCCTATACACAGGGATGCCTGAGAAATCAGTTGAAGTGGAATGCTGAGCTCAGATGCACATTCTCTCAGAACCCATGGTGATAACTCCATCTGGACCAACTGCTTTGTTCTTACTCAGGTCCTTGAGCATTTTTTCCACTTCGTCTCTAGACACATCTATGTGCTCTATGTTATTCTCTGGAATTCTTATTGTGTCTGGTTCCCTGAAGATTTCATTTTGTACAGACACACTTTGGAACTTTTCGTTTAATGTTTCACACATTTCCTTTTCATTTTCCATGAACCTATTTCCCATTTTCAACCTCTGAATATTATCTTTTACCTGCAATTTGTAGTTTATGAATTTATAGAATTGACCTGGTTCTGTTTTACATTTGTCTGCGAACCCTTTTTCAAAATTTCTTTCTGCCCCTCTCCTCAGTGAGTTGTTTCTTGCATCTTTGTATCCATGGTATGTTTGGGGGTTTGGCCTCTTCCTATATTGATTACATTTTTGTGTCTTTTGGTCCCTGGCCCTCTTGCAATTTCTGTCGAACCAATCCTGTTTCCTAGTTCTGCATCTCTGCTTTGGTATAAATTTTGTTGTGCCTTTATCATGTATTTCACAAAACTTGACATACATCTCATTTACTTCATGTCTTAACAGCAAGTCTTTCCAGTCAAATTCCTTAAAGAAATGTCTGAGTTCCCTATAATGACCTCTCCTGAAATCAAGCTTTTCAACTGCTACAACCTCATTTTCTTCCAGATTATAATGCATTGCATACTTTATTCCTAAAAAGACGTGGTCAGTTTTACCCAAGGGAGGGAGGTACTGAATGTCAAATATCTCTTCCTCTTTCCTGGTAAATATAAAATCTAGCATGGAGGGAACATCCCCTTACCTCATCTTCGTAGCTTGTTTAACATGTTAAAACATGAATGTTTCCAGGATGAGGTTTATGAATCTACAAGTCCAAAAATCCTCCATTCTAGTTTCATATACCTCCCAGTCTGTGGATTTCAAGTTGAAGTTGCCGACTACCAACAGTCGTGATCTATATCAACTCTCGCTATAATTTCTCTCATTATTGTTATAAGATCCTCTCGTTAATTATCTAGCTCCTTCTTTGTCCATGTGTTGCTTTGCGGTGGACTATATGCATTTATAATCGTTAATTTATCATCCTGGTTGCAGATCTCTAGTGCTATTATGTCAACTTCTCGTGGATTGGCAATCATTCTTTCGTTTAACTTTAAATGTTCTTTCACCAACACAGCAATGCCACCGTCTTAACTAATTTTTCTGTCCCGTCTCCTAACCAAATAGCCTCTTGGGAATATGACCTCATTTAAAATATCTTCAAGTTTTGTCTCAGTGAGTGCAACAATGCCTGGTGTCTGCAACTGTATTACATCACTTAACTCCAGAATCTTTGATCTCACTCCATCTGTGTCGGTGTATGGAATTTTCAGGAACTTGTTCCCCCTCTCCTTATTCTTCACTCCCCCCTCTCTTTAATGATTTTGTTGGTTTGCCTTTATGTACCACTTTACTGGTCTGCCTACCCCTATCACTTTGTAGAAAAAAAGAATTGATTTCTTCTTCATTCCTGCACTCATTTAAACATTTTGCCTTGGCAAGGTTCAGTTTCAGCTTCTCTGTATTCTTTTGAAAGATGTCACCTTAACGACCATACTTTCCATACTTTGTCACTTTGTAATTTTCTAGCATTCCTTAGTACTTCTTCAATCTGGCACCGTTCAAGATGATCCTCAAAAGTCTATCTTTCCCTTTTACATATTTTCCTATCCTCCTGTAGTCGCAGACATTCTCTATGGTAGTACTGTAAGACCTTCCATGAGGCCAACAATTTTATCTACTACTTTCTTTTCTTCTACAGCTCTTTCTGACCTAGATGTTATCTCCTTTTCTTTGCAACCAAAAATTATCGGACATTTTGATCAACTGTGTTTTGCACCAATTTAGGATTTGATGCCAGTTCCTTTCTGACTTCAAGCCTAATGTTTGTTTTATCCTGGTTGCTGCAGTGTTTGGCTTTCTTTACTGCTTCTTCTATTTTTTTCCTTCTCCTTGGCCACTTGTGCATAGGTGAGTTGCATGTCTTTCTTGCATTGTTCTATTCCCTGTGTAACTTCCTCCATCTGTAATGACAAAAGCTGTTTTTCCTGTTGAATTTCCTTACCTAACCTATCGTAGTCAATTTAAGTTTAAATTTGCTTTAACTTCATCCAAAGCTATTTTTAAGAGTGTATTTTCCTCTTCCATGGCTTTGCAATTTGTTTCCAATTGATTCTTGTCTTTGCATAAGTCTTTCACTAACCCCCTCAAGACCTAAAACCTTGCCACTCAAGTGTGTAGACTACATATATCAATGCTTTCTTCATTAAAACCCCCAAAATCTAGCCCTGTTTTGTTTTCCTTCTTGCTGGTGGCCATCTTGAATGTTGTCTGCACTGTAAACACTAGAATCACTTTTTCTCATCCAATTTTTCACTTCACTTTACACATTCGTGTTATCTCACCACGTGTGTGTGTTCGTATGTGTGTTTGTTTGTATGTGTGTTTGTTTGTTTGTTTTTGAGTATCTTGGACCTTCCATCACTACGTTGCTCTCCTGTTTTCCTTCTGACTGTTGAAGCCCAACCTCATGAAGATGGGATAATAATACTGATGATGTCTGATTTATAAATGCACAATAAGAGCAATCTTTGTATGTGTCCTAATGTGTGCTGTGATAAAAGTTGGCTTTAGGGAAAAGGAAAGACCTGTACAGTAGTTATCTTTTGAAATTGAAGTCTTTATTATTATACAGGTAGAAGTGGACAAAATGGAGGCTGAACGCACATTGGCAGATGCTAGGTTTCAAGTTGAAGGTACGCCACGGAACAGCCTAATACTATGTGATCTTGGTGGTCATCCTCCACGGCGAACAGATGATGATGATCTTAGCCTCGGGGCCTCGGCATCTCCCACAGCTAATGCTACAGAAAGAAAGTGGTTTGACCGAAGCAATAATTATGATAACACACCAGAGTATTCTTATCCTTCTGCATTGATTAAGCATGAAACAGGTAATTGGGATTTTGTTTAAAAATTTGTTTTCAAGGTCACTTTTTATTTGTATTCCCCCCTCCCCCCTGCAATTGTAGCTCTTTTTAGAAAACTTATCATATTTGTTGTTTTATATTTGAGCACTATATGGAAAAAGTATAATATGAAAAAGTTTTCAAACATTCCAAGGAAGTAGATGGAGAGATTTGTTGTTAGCCATCAAGTCTGTCATATATGTTTTGAGATCCTGTCAATTACCGTACCTGTTGATGATTCCACATTCCCAGCGGCCTGGTCTCTGACCAAGCCTTCTGATTGGTGGTGTGGTCAACCAGGCAATTTGATGCAGCTGCTCACAGCATGATGTAGGAATCACAGCCGGGTTGATAAGGTATTGCTTAAAGCGTTTATGAAGTTCTCTAACACTGCGAGAGGTCAACCAGTTATGTCCCTTATGTGTAGCGGGAGAGTGTTGAAAAGTCTTGGGTCTTTGATGTTCATTGTTCTCTCTGTGTGCCTGTTGCAACTCTGCCTTTCAATGGGGGTATTTTGCACATCCTGCTATGCCTTCTGGTCTCGTTGTGGTATTTCTGTATTCAAATTTGGAACAAGTCTTTCTAGCATTTTCCAAGTTTAAATTATGTATCTCTCCTGTCTGCACTCTAGGGAGTACAGATTTAAAACCTTTAACCACTGCACTGCTCACCTGGTTTTGGCAAAAACTTCATAGTACAATTGTCAAGAACATATTTTTGTTATTTTTATGAATTTTCAGGTAAGGTTAATGTCAAAATGTTTCAATTGTTTGGAACCATTTTGACATTAACATTGATGATGAGTGACATCACTCAAAACATTCATCAGTTTTAGAGTGATGAAAACTCAAAGTTTTCATCACTGAGTTTTCTTTTCAAAACTCAGAGTGATGAAAACATTAAAAACATTAAAATACTGTATAGCCTAATTAAAAAAAAAAAGCACAACTCTCAGAGTGCCTGAAGGCGCTTTGCGCAGGATGGTGGTTAAGAGGTTCTACTAATTTAGGTTTTTTATTGAGTGGATTTTAGCAGTAAGAGATCTTGCACCCTTTCCAGGTCAGCAATTCTCCAGCTTTGAGTGGGACTTATGTGTGCAACAATTTTCCACCCTAGAGAGCACTAGTGTCTTGAAAAGTACCATCATTGGTATGGCATACCTTGTTTGGAAGGTCCTTGTTATCCAACCTGTCATTTTTCTTTCATTTTTCATAAATGTTGCAGTCGTGACAGCTACTTTGTTGGGTTCTTAAAAATAAGGCCTTCTGACATGATTACTCCTAGATCCTTTAGATTCCTTTCCTTTCAATAGTGTGGTTTGATTGTTTTGTAAGTACAGTAGTTTGTTTTTATAAATTTTTTTATATTAACACATTTAGGTACATATGCATTTGTGCAGCTACCCTAGATTATATGAAGGGACATACAGTGTGACCAAAAAATTGGTTACATGATGCTAAAAATCCCTATCACACAGGCTGGTTAGCCATATATAGGCATGCAATTAGTAATCTGCACTGGCAAACTCTGGGTACATTATGAGGATATCATCAAGAACATGAAAGTGAATAAGATAGCGGTGATACTAAAAAGTCCCCATCTCACTGGATGGTTAGTCATACAGAGTCATATGTTCAGTAGGTTACACTGGCATTATGAGGATACCCTCAAGAACACGACAGTTAATAAAGTAATTGCAAAACTCCAGGTACCTCATGCCAACGTGTCTGAATGGTCTAATAAGTGGGCATTCAGTGATGCAGTGTGCGAGATCATATCTGACCAGGTAATATTAAGTCTATGGATGTTGGAAGCCAAGTTTCACTATTGGAGGCATGTAATTACTTATGTACAGTATAGTTACAGTATGAGAGCTACTCTCGTGGTGTCCCGTCTTCCCAGTACTCTTTGTCGCTAACACTTTGAAACTACTGAGGGTTTTGGTCTCTACCATCTTCTCACTTAGCTTTATCCAACCATCTATCACTCTGTTTGCAAAAGAAAACATTGTAACAAATTTTTGGCACCTTTGTTTCCTTAGCTTGAAATCTGTATCTTCTTGTTCGGGAAAGTGCTGGTTTTAGGAATTCCTCGTTGTCAATTTGGTCAATTCCGGTTAGTATTTTGTAATTGGTGATCATATTGCCTCTTTTTCTTCTATCTTCTAGTTTTGGCAAGTTTAACACTTCTTGGTCTCTCCGTGTAACCCTTGTTTTTCAGTTCTGGAAGCCATTTTGAAACATACATTAAAAGATGCACCCTCACCTCACATAAGATGCACCCCTATTTTACAAAGATATTTTGTGGAAAAAACTGTTTTAGTATGTTGCATCATTCATTTATTGAAAGATATTTTAAAGTGATTTTTGTAGCCCAACTCTTACCTCCTCTAAGATCAGCTGTATAGTTGTTTATATTTTGGGCAAGAGAATTGCTATACAGGATGTGAAACTTTTATTTCTGGATGTGATGTTATGTGTTGCTGCATCAGGCCTCCAGGGTGGCTCACCCGGTGGTGGCGCACAATCACAGAGCTCTGGTTTTGTTGTCATTTACTAATTGCAAATACCTGACAGGCAGATGAAAGCTTAACATTCCTTTCAAATTTCTAGGAGCATTTATCATTAGATAATGAATAAATGTTTCTTAAAGGTAACACAGACGTTAAGTTATGTATGACATATATCAGGCGTGGGTTATGTATGCTGGGTAAGGTGGTGAGATGATGTGAGCTTCCTTCATAACTGCCAACATATTGTAAGCAATTTTTCTAAAGTTTGTGATAACAGACTGATAACTCTGCTTGTTTCAATATTTTATTATTAGTAACACAATTCACTGTAATACAGTAATTTGGCTTGTTTTCAATATTTTATTATTAGCAACAATTTTTGTGCCTAGCAAACTTGCCCAGTATGCTCGTCTGGCTCCCTAGCCTACAGCACTCAGTCTCCCATCCGTAATACAGCTGCATTAGGTGCAGGACAATTTTTTTATACATTTAAAAATAAAAATAAAATCTTATGCTGGCAAATACGGTATGTGCTTCTTGAGATTTGGGCACCATACAACTGCTGCATATTCCAATTTTGGTCGCACAAAAGTCATGAACAGTTTCTTTAGTATTTCACAATCCATACAGTATAATTAAAAGCAAATCACACATTCCAGTTGTGTGCGTGCGCGTGATTATAAATTGGAGTTGCCATATATGGGTCAGTAGACCTTCTACAGTTTACTTAATTCTTATATTCTTTTGTTTAGAACATGGCTGATAGTAGAGGTGTAGTCTGGCAAACAGGATTGGATATTTGTGTGAAATAGCTAAATTGTTGTTCCGCAAGACTTTTGGTATGTGACGAATAGATTGTAGGTCGAGTGTGAGGTGGGTGAGTGGATGTAAGAACTTGTTGCAGTTGATCATGTGGATGAGGGTATTGAGGACTACTGATAGGTGGATACTCTTCTTCTTTTCTTTTGAGATATAACATTAGGCAATGTTAATTTGCATTGACAAACCACAAATGTTTAATATATCAATTAATAATTGTTTGATATTTAATCATCACCCTTTGGTAAGATTCCTGTCTCTTACAAGAAATAGCTCAAGTTTCTTGCTAACTGTAATTTTTGTTTTCAGTCAGTGGCTTTACAAGTAAATTTCCCTACATCACCTTAACCACTGTGATGCGCTGAGTTTATTGTGACATTCCCCCTGTGCGCATAAATGCAAGTGTTCACAAAAATTTTTTTGGTCTTTTGTAAAATGATAAATTCCCTTCCTAGAACATGGACATGTAAAAAAAAATGAAACATTCCACTTTGGGTGTGGGGATGTGGAGAAGGGGGCGTCACGGGCTGGTCGCCCAGGCGTGAAGCTCCCAGAGGCGGTCGCGCACACTATTCATGCACCTCAAGTTGCTACAAATATATTTTCAATTATTTTTTCTATGTATTTCCAATGCGGTTTTATTTGTTTTTTATCGTATATGATGCATATTTGTGTTCTTTACAATATGTATACAGTAGAACGTTCATAATGTTCCATGGAACTGTGATACATGTGTTCACAATAAATATTTGTCACAATATTACTTGTTTAAAATTCACTAAAATTACAATATATTGTGACGTGAAAAGGAACGGTTGTTAGTGCAGTCGCTATTAGGGCTGATAGAATGCCTGTCACATTAAACAAAACAAAAAAAGTAAAAATAAGAGAGACTTCTTGCTGACGTCTTCACAGTGAAGTAACTGCAGGATAGAACATAAAGAGGACAAAAATTTAAATACTTTACTATGGAAAAAATGACTAACAAATAAAAATAGCTCCTTCTAGACTTGGCAATATTATAATGTGTAAAATGGACAAAATCATCAAACAGACCAGTTAATGTTACGTTAAAGTACAAACAATAGAATGGTGCGGGAATACTGAAGACCAGACTGCGTAAATCTACTACCACACAGAGTCGTTTGTTAGCAGATCCAGGCTGTTGAGCACTGAGGAGTATTCTGAATCTTGGTGGTTGGCTGGCTTTTATTTATACGGAGAAATGGCCATCCAGGTTGCGCTGGTGTCTTTGATAATTGGAGACCGGCTCACACAAACAACCATTGCACTTGTTCCTGGCCGGTGGCGTGAGCTTCCAGCCACCAGGTGCGATGGGGTGATGGGCATTGGAGTGTAGGGGGAGTAGACTACTGTCTAGACGTCTGAGAAGTAGTTGTTGTTGCTCTTGCTGTAAATTCTTGAATATGTAGATGTGGTGTGGTACAATAGGTGGTGGAGTAGGTCTAATCTCTTCCTATAGAGATTACCCTGACAATGTACAGTTTCACACACTGTATTGAATGGGTACGAAATATTTAAAAGGGGTTTTCTCGGTTAGCGCAGCACAGTGGTTAAGCGTATATGTAATGTTGCATCTGCTTTGAAAATTGTTTGAGTTTTCTTAAAAAATTTTAAAGACTTCGAACAGTTGATGACATTTTTTAAACGTGTCCGCAGGCATCATGCGAGTGAGAGATCATTTCACAAAATATTTAAATTTAAAGATTTAATTCTGTTGACTGGATTTCTTTTAATATGGATATTTATTGTTTAGTAGGGTTTGTGTATACTACAGGTTATGTGGGACTGGTGAACCAGGCAATGACTTGTTACCTAAACAGCCTCCTGCAGACACTGTACATGACACCAGAGTTCCGCAATGCAATCTATCAATGGGAGTTTAAAGGCTGTGAGGAAGAAGCTTCAAAAAATATTCCGTGCCAGATACAAAGACTTTTTCTTCTACTACAGGTGAGATTTATGTAGTTTCACAGCTTGTATCAACAAATTCATTTTAAATAATAAAAATTAATGTGTGTAAAAAATTTCAAAGTTAAAATATTTTTGTTAATCTTTGATGAAAGATGAAGTACCTCTTCCCTTCCCTCCATGCTTCATTGGAATATGTATCATAGAAAAAAACTTTGGTTTTAGTGGATTTTCTGTGGAGAGCCCCTCCGGCTCCCTAGAGCTTACCAGACTGATATGTATGTATTAGACCGTGACATCAGTCAGCTCGATGGAGTTCTGGGGACCACGAGCCAGAACCTGGCCCCCTCAGAGAGGCACGAGGAGCAATGGCCTATAGGAACCTCCATGTGGTTGGAAACATTCTATGTCTACCATCAACCAGGTTAGGCACCCAGAAAGGCATGACGTCACGTTCATCACCGCGCCGCTGTCTGTGCAGCGCCCCCCTCCTGGGGATGGAGAAGAGGGAGCTCCAGACCCCCTCCCCCCAATGCCAGCTATTCATCCTCCATTTCAGAAGCTGGATGTCAAAATTCGCGAAACTGCCGACCGGAGGGAGGGAGGGTTGCCGGGGAGCCTCCGGGGCTCACCCACAAAAATGGCATTTCATTATATTCAACACTGGTTTTCTGAGGGGAGCCCCTTCTGCTCCCCGGAGCTACTTAACCAAAGAGAAAACAAGAGGGACTTATCCAGGAGGCATTTGGCCACTCTCTCCTCAACTCGATGTCAAGACAACTAGCTGCATCCGCCGACTCAATGCGACACATGCCCGACTAGAGCCAGGAACATTAACTAGGTAGCGAGCAGCCAAGACCCTGATTGACCTCCAAAAACCCTGTGCCCGAATGCCAGCCAAAGACGGCAGCGAACGCTGCAAACTTACGAACGTCATGGGTACGAGTATAGACCACAGGCTGGCTGGACCGAATAACCCTGCAGACAACCTGGGAGACCCGAATTCTGAAACAGGAAAGAAGGAAAACTGGGTCAACCCAAAGCGTGTCCCCATGGTGTGTAGGTAATGGCGAAGAGCCGCAACTGGACACAACACATGATGCACAACGCATGATGACAGAGACTACAGGATGACCTGGACAAACTGGAGGAATGGTCTAGAAAATGGCTGCTAAAGTTCAACTCAGGAAAGTGTAAGGTAATGAAATTAGGCGAAGGGAGCAGGAGGCTGAACACAACGTACCATCTGGGAGGTGAAATCCTGCAAGAGTCAAATAGAGAGAAAGATCTGGGGGTTGATATCACACCGAACCTGCCCCCAGAGGCCCACATCAAAAGAATATCATCAGCGGCATATGCTAGACTGGCCAACATAAGAACTACCTTTAGAAAATTTGAGTAAGGAATCGTTCAGGACCCTGTATACCACTTATGTCAGACCAATCCTGGAATATGCAGCTCCAGCCTGGAGTCCATACCTAGTTAAACACAAGACAAAGTTAGAGAAGATTCAGCGGTATGCCACCAGGCTCGTCCCGGAACTGAGAGATATAAGCTACGAGGAAAGGCTAAAGGAGCTGAACCTCACATCCCTGGAAAACAGAAGAGTAAGGGGAGACATGATAATCACCTTTAAAATTTTCAGGGGAATTGACAGGGTGGTCAAAGACAAACTCTTCAGCACAGGTGGGACACGAACAAGGGGACACAGGTGGAAACTCGGTACCCAGATGAGCCACAGAGACGTTAGAAAGAATTTTTTCAGTGTCAGAGTAGTTAATAAATGGAATGCACTAGGCAGTGATGTGGTGGAGGCTGACTCCATACACAGTTTCAAATGTAGATATTATAGAGCCCAGTAGGCTCGGGAATCTGTACACCAGTTGACAGTTGAGAGGCGGGACTAAAGAGACAAAGCTCAACCCCCGCAAGCACAATTAGGCGAGTACCCCCGGCTGAACCAACCAAGCGTCGACAACCTCCGGAAAGCAGCAGTCTTGTTCTTCACCAGAAAAGGAGGAGACGGCTGCAAACGAACATGCCTACCACCAGGACCAAAGGAGGAGAAACCTCTGCGCCGGAGGAGAGCATGAAGCTCCCCAACCCGACCCCCAGAGGTCAATGCCAACAGGAAAAGAGCCTTTGAAAAACAATCTTGAACTGAAGGGGCCACAACAAACAAAGGAGAAGAGAGAAAAGAGATCATCTGGTCCAACGACCAGAACGGCTCAGGTGGCGCATGAGCAGGCCGGAGGTGTAACAACACACGAGACAGTTTGTGAAAAGGAGCAGAAGTAACATCCACTCCCGAATGCAAGCTGCAGCGATTCTGCCAGTGCCACATGATACAAGGCGACAGTATTTGGCATAAGATGACAGCCCTGTAACAACCAAGCAAGGAAGGACAAGACAACCCGATCTGAAACAAGAAAACTTACTGAGGGACAAGAAATAACGAAAAGTTCGCCAAGAAACTTCATACTGCCACCGAGACGAAGCATGCAGATGGGACACCATCAACGAAGTCACCTGCTCATCTTACAAATGGTGATATACCCACGTCAGAAAAACCAAACGCGAAGACTTGAGGAGAAGATCGAACCCAGCAACGTAACGGACTGCACCAATCTGCCAAAAGAGGGGAGCCACTGGAAGACTCCCGGGTTCGGACACTGAGCAAGCAGCGCCTGAATGAAACCAAGACTGGGCAGGCCACCAAGGGGCCAACAAGACAATAGCACTCTCCCTTAGTAAGTCTCCAAGCAAGCCAGGACGTGGAGCAACAGCGGAACCAGGGGGCAGGACGTACAGGTAACCCCACCTCAACCAGTCTTGCCTGAAGGCATTGACCCCGATGGCCTTGCAGTCAGGGAACAGTGCTACATAATTCGGGAGACGCATCGACCACGCGGACTCGAAAAGGTCCACCTCCGGGAGCTTGTACGTCCGGCAGAGCCAACTGAACGAGTCGGCATTGACTGTCCATTCTGTGGACGGGGAAATGAACCGTGACAGGCCGGACAGAGCAACCTTCAAATGTCAAAAATATTCGTTCGGTGTTCGGCAGGTAGGCTGCTCCATGTTTCTTAAATAAAAAAAAACAAAAAACAAAAAAAATAAAAAAAAGTTGAAACAATTTGGAAAAAGACAAATGCCTTAAAGGTTCGTTCAGTGTTTGTCGGGGAGGCTGCTCCATTATTGTAAAATAAACGAAAAATACAAAACAAATGGAACAAATTTGAAACACAGAGATTGTCATAATGGAGCAGCCTACCCGACAAACACTGAACGAATCTTTATGGCATTTGTCCATTTTTCAAATTGTTTCAACTGTTTTTTTTATTTTTCGTTTTTTTATTTAAGAAACATGGAGCAGCCTACCTGCCGAACACCGAACGAACCTTTTGGACATTTGTTCCGTTTTTCAAAATTCTTAATTTTTTTTTATTTTTTTATTTTACACATCACCTCTGAACGAAACCACACCACAAGTCACACAGCACTGAACAATGTCAGGAACCAGAGTCGCATGACTGCCCGGTCTCGCATCAACCTCAGAACTGGGGGTGGATAGGCTGCACGGGAAAGGGGGGGGGGTCTGGAGCTCCCCCTTCCCTCTCCCGGGGAGAGGGAAGCTGCGCAGACAGCGGCGAGGTGAAGGGTGTGAAGTCATGCTAGTTTGCTCATTTTAGTTTGGGAAGTTCTGTTCAACAGTTCAGCTGTCAGTAGCAATTTTTTAACCAGATAGGGTTTGTTTTGGGGCTCCTACCTCTCTGGGTGCCTGACCCGGTCGATGGCAGACATAGAATGCTTCCAACCACGTGGAGGTTTCTATTTGCCTTTGCTCCTCGTGCCTCTCTGAGTGGGCCAGGTTCTGGCTTGTGGCCCTTGGTAGGCTGAACTCCATTCGCTTTAACTGATGCTATGGTCTAATACATTCATATCAGCCCGGATAGCTCTTGGGACCCAAAGATCTTACCCCAGAAAACAGTGTATATAAACATTGCAATTCAAGCAAGGATTCCCTGCACTGTGTACTTTTATTAATTCACAGAAGATGGTTTGAATTACTCAGTTTGTTCAGCAAAACATTAAGGTCTTCTTGAATCTCATTGAAATATGTAGTGGTAACAGCATTAGGATTTCTTGCATTTGCTGCCTGTCCTTTGTGTAATATCTATGTACAGTACAATATTTTGTTTCAGACAACAAATAAGAGTGCAGTAGAGACGACCAACCTCACCCGGAGTTTTGGGTGGGACAGCAGTGAGGCGTGGCAGCAGCATGACATTCAGGAATTGTGCAGAGTGATGTTTGATGCCCTTGAACAGTGCTTTAAAAATACCCATCAGTCCAACCTCATCAATGATCTTTATGAAGGTTGACATTTTCTCCTTTTATTTATTTCATGATTTCCATTACTTATGTGACAATAATATTGTTGATAAAATTTAATTAAAGTACCATTTCTATTCTATATTCATCCTTTTGTACATTTTTGTATTCGTATGGTAAATTTAGGAGGGTAAGCATATAACTCTCGGTACAGTACAAGACAATTTTTAATATTTTTGTGTTGTAAAGGAAATGAGTAGTTTTAGGCAGTTACCATCATTCTTTTGTCCTAATTTTATATAATTGGAACAAGGCAGTATAAAGAAGGCTTGTTGATTAATCAGATTTCTTAAAAGCCTATGAAATGCCATTATATGATATACTGTATATTTTTGTGCCTAATGAGTCACATTGTAACCCTGTTACTTGGTACCATTGGCTGTTTGCTTGTCATTTACCATGCCACCAAAAAAATTCCAATTTAGTAAAAATTGATTTTTACTGATTTTTCAGCATTCTGTTTCGTAAAATGAAAACGGCTGATGGAAATTTTGAAGAGGAATTTATTAAGCTGTGAAAGCTTGTGTTAAAGATTAATTTTCAGTGTAAAAATAATTTTGATGTGGGGTTTTAACCACCATGCTGTGCCGAGTTTATTGTGAAATTCCCCCGGTGCGCATGAAATAGTGTTCCCAAAAAATTCTTTTTTCTTCGTAAAATAATAAATTCCCTTCTCTGAACATGTCTATGTAAAAATAAATACCAAATTCCACTTACTTTGGCTGTGGGGACGTGGACAAGGTGTGCTGTGATGTCATCAGGGCCTGGTCACCCGTACATGAATCACCCAGACACGGTCGCGCGGGCAATTCAAGCACCGGGTGTTGCCACAAATATATTTTCAGTTATTTGTTCTATGTACTTCCAATGCGGTTTTATTTGTTTTTGTTTTTTATCGCATATGATACATATTTGTGACCTTTACAATATGTATACAGTAGAATGTTCATATTGTTTCATGGAACTGTGATACATGTGTCAGTAATGTGTCTACAATAAATGCTTATTGTCGCAATATTACTTGTTAAAATTCACTAAAATTACAATATGTACAGTTTCACACACAATTTACACAGTAGCACACAGTATTATACACTCAGTACTTCGGAAGTGCGTAATAATCAACGGAGTAGTCCATGGTGCACAGCGCGACTTTGCTCTCGTTGCACCAGGTACAGATAAATTTTTGCTTCCTGTTTCTTCATTCTGTGTGCTTGCAAATAATGCAATCGCGTACACCCTTGGCTTTAGTACTTGTAGGTTGTATGTAGCCAAGCTTGTAAAGCATAAGGTAGTATTGAAAAGATTATAGGAAAAGATCAATTTGTAAGGTAGTCTTGAAAAAATCGCTTTGTATGGTCCCACACAGGAAGAGATTCGGCTTGCCTCAAAGAGTACAGTCAGTACAGGAAGAGATTCAGCTATTCTTGAAAATATCTATGGAAAACATCACCATGGAAGCTGCTAACACTGTTCATCTATGCTACTTGTATCAGATGCATCATCACTAAACTCAGAAAACGATTCATCTACGTATCATCTGAATAAATTGGAGATAGCATAGGATTGCAAGGGTGACGCTCAGAGCTACAACGGATATGCTCACTGTATCGTCCTCGTAGGTGCTGTATCACTTGCATCTGACCTTTGTGTTAGGTCCTTATTGCGCCTAGCTTCACCAATATTATGACCCTTATGTTCTTCAAACAATAAGGTTTGAATTTCACTGACAGAGCGTTATCTTTCAACACCGCGTCTGACAGGTGTTTGGGAGCCAGAGGCGTGTGTGCCACCAATGGTTGCTCACTCAGAACTAACCCAGCCAGCAGCCCTAGGGCATTCTGGGAATTTTTTCCAAGATGGCTGCCTCTCACTGGTGGTCCTAAGAGTCCATTTCATACAGAACCAACATCGCACACATTTGGAATGGGTACGGAAAAATAAAAGGGAGTTTTCTTGGTTGGTGCAATTTCCCACCGACCAAGAATACTTGGGTGGCGCAATTAAGTGATTAAATTTCTAGTTCAAATTCAGGGTTCAGTTTAGAATAAAGGTTCATATCATTTTGCATGCAATACTCCTAAGTTCAAAATATTAAATTGTTAAATTAAATGAAGTGATTTACTTGAATAAATTTAATTATTGCATTCATTATGTAAAGTACACTTGATTATCATCACTACACTGTTTTCCACGTCCATTGAGGAAGGGAAAGTATCGGCCTGAAATTACCGAGACAAAATAGGAAATAAGAATAAATATACTCCAAAAAATACACCTTGCCCTTTTGTCATTCCTTTCACATTTCCTACCACTACATAACAGAACTAGCATCACATTCCAGCAATACATCAATAGGAGCACCTGACCACTTTATTCATCCAGGTGTATAGTGTTTCTTGCGGGTTCTCACTTAGACACTTTAAAGCATTGTAAATTTTAAATAAAATAAAATGTTTGCACACTTGTGTTGCATTTAATAATTATTTATATTTTGAAATGAATTATATTAAAAATTGTGATTCAAAGATTATTACCCTTGACTGCATTTGTAATAGTGTGTGGTATGAATAACATAACCCTCTTGTTTTTCCAGGCAAGATGAAGGACTATGTTAAGTGCCTCCAGTGTGGTATTGAAGGAGCTAGAGAAGACACATATTTAGATATTCCTCTTCCCATCAGACCATTTGGCTCCAGTTCGGCATACAAGAGTGTGGTAAGCCAGGCTGTCCTAAACATTTTGCATCGTGTATAAAAGTTAGTTGGAATCACGCAGCTCTAGCAGTGATGCAAAGAACACATGCAGATGAAAGTTTACTTTATTTGTAGATGTTGTTTTCCTGTAAGGGCTCAATCATATCTAACAGAGAAATGTTGGGTTAGTGCATATATAAATGTAAAGAAGGGGAGGAGGGTGAGGGTTGACTATTTGGAATTAAAAAAAGAAATGGATGTATAATAAATAGAGAGCTCAATATTGGAAGAATTTGACCATTAAACTAAGCTCATCAGAAAGCTCTATGGGATAGGCATTGAAAAGAGAAAACTTGCCTATAGCGTGGCCAGGGGGAGACAAAATGACTGTAGAAATAGGTGTTGTTGGCCCTTAATTTGGTGCACAACCTAAGTAATCACATAACTGTAATTTTAAGAGGAACCTAAGGTTGTAGTAGAGCAGATATATCCTTAAAAATATATCCGATTCATCTGTATTACCAGAAAGCCGATGGTATTATCAGATGCTGTCTTAGATTTACAAACAAATTAGACTTCACCATCAGTGAAGTAGTGTTGTGATCGTTAATGTTATAGTGCTATATATTTAGGCTCACAGCTTAATTTCAATTAATATTAAATAATTTCAAAGGATTTTTTATTATAAACAGCTTAGGAGGGAAATAAACACTCATACTGTGCTAAGCAATGTTAGGGTTCAGCGAAACCCCTGCCATGATAAGGCTGTAAGGAAGCAATCTAGAGTGATAGAATTACACAAGTTATTAGGTCCATTCCAGACTAAGCAACCCATATAAAACCTGAGGCATAAACGACAACATGGCCAGGTTGAAACTTTAACACAAGTATCAAGTCATCCACCCCCCCCCCTCCCCCATCCATCCCCAAATTCAAACGTATAAAACATACTAAGTACTTATGAGTCTGCCAGTAGGCTCCCTTCCTTAGTATTTGTCTGGTTGCCCAGGCTTTTTCTTGTGAGGCTGGGGCTTTGGGGGAATGGCACGGCCCTGGGACCTGCCTTGTGGGTTCCTGGGGCTGGTGAGGGGCTGACGTTTGGACCTCTCCTGGGGTTTTCTACCCTTTGGGTGGGGCTTGCGGTTACAAGGAGTGGGTTCTTGCGCCACCTGAGCCGTCCTGATCATTGAAGAGAGTGCTCTTTTCTTTCTTCTCCTCAGTTTGTTGTGGCCCCTTCGGTTTCAGTTTGTTCTTCATGGCTCTTTTTCTGTTGGCATTGGCCTCTGGGGTTCGGGTTGGGGAGCTTCATGCTCTCCTCCGGCGCATAGGTTTCTGCTCTTTTGGTTTTCGTGATGGTTTTGTTTGTCTGCAGCCGTCTCCTTCTTTTCTGGCGAAGATTGAGTCTGCTGCTTTCCGGAGGGATCTCTGGGTTGTTGATGCTTGGTTGGCCAGGGGTGCATCATGTTTTGTGCTAGGTAGCGGCTCTTCGCCATTACTTGCATGCCTCGGCTTCTGTGTCCGGGGACGCGCTTTGGGTTGTTCCGGTTTCCCTTTCTTCCCTGTTTGCAGGTGCGGGTCTCCCAGGTCGTCCGCAGTGTTCTTACGGCTAGCCAGCCTGCGGTCTATCCCCGTGCCCATGACGTTCATGCATTCACTGTGCTTGCTGCCGTCTTTGGCACCATGTCCTGGGCTGACATTCAGGCATGGGGCTTTTGGCGGTCATACAGGATCCTGGCTGCTCGTTACCTCGTGCACGCCCCTAGGCCTAGTCAGGCCTGTGTCTTTTGGGTCGGCGGTTGCAGCCGGTTGTCTCGACTTCGAGGTGTGGAGTGAGCAATGACCGCCTCACGGGTAGGTCCCTATGTTCTTCCTCTGTGGGTAGTTAGCTCCAGGGGCTAACTAACTACTGAAGGGGCTCCCCCCAGAAAACCAGCATTGAATGTAATGAAACGCCATTTTCTGGGTGAGACCCGGAGGCTCCACGGCATCCCTCCCTTCCCCCGGTCAGCGTTTTTTTCGTGTGTTTTGACATCCAGCCTCAGAACAGACAGGTGGATAGTTGGCGTGAGGGGTCTGGGGCTTCCCTTTCCCCCTCCCGGGGAGGGGGGAGCTGCGCAGACAGCGTCGCGGTGACGTGTGACTTCATGATCGTTTGCTCATTTCTTTTAGGGGAGTTCTATTCACTTGTTCGGCTTTTGATAGCAATATTTTCACCAGAATAGGGGTTTGTTTTGGAATGCTTACCTTTCTGGGTGCCTGACCCAGTTGATGGCAGACATAGAATGCTTCCAACCACACGGGGGTTTCTATAGGCCATTGCTCCCCATGCCTCTCTAAGGGGGCCAGGTTCTGGCTCATGGTCCCCGGTAGGGCCACAGAACTCCATACACTTGACTGATGCCAAAGTCTGACATTAGCATATCAGCCTAGTAAGCTCCAGGGAGCCTCTGGGTCTCACCCAGAAAATGGCGTTTCATTACATTCGACGATGGTTTTTTTTAGTGGCAGTCTTTCCGTCACTTTCTTTCTCGTCGAAGGTTTTCGTCAATTTTGGTCCAGGTTATTTTGTCCTTTCTCTCCCTCTCTCTCTCTGCGTTTTTTTTCTGGATTGGCATCATACCTAATACCGTCACTTCTTATCGCGTGCCGTTGGCGGAGCCGCTCCAGCTTGTGTTCGGGATGGATGCTGCTTCCACTCTGTTCTGCAAGCTTTCATTTTTTTTTTTTCACCTCCGGCCTGCTGATGCGCCACCTGAGCCTTCTTGGTCTTTAGACCATGTTCATTCCTTTTTTTCTTCTTCTCCTCGATTTGTTGTGGCCTTCAGTTAGGGATTGCTTTTGGAAGGCTTTCTTTTGTCAGCCTTGGCGTCTGTAGGTCCGGTTGGGGAGCTTCATGCTTTCCTCTGAACAGAACGAACAGAACCTCCCCTCTCCGGGGGTTCTGTTCGTTGGGTCCATGTGGTCATTTGTTCATTTCCATCCTTCTCCTTCATTTCTGACGAAGAATGAGACGGCGGATTTCCGGAGGGGTCCATTGTTTGTGGATGTTTAGTTGGTTAGGCCCAGGGTGCATCAGGTGTTGTCTGGTGATGATGCTACCTATGGGCCACTGGTTCTATGACAATGGACTCTTTGGAGGGGGGGGGGGTCCCGGTTTCTCTGGCTCCTTATTCCAGGGCTCACGAGTCTCGGGGGGGGGGGGGGGGGGGGGTAGAGAAGTGTTAGAGCAGAAGTGTTAGTCGCATGAAGGGTTGCTTGTTTGATTTCTTTCTTGGGGAGTTATTTTGATCTTTTGGGATGTAGATTGCACAGGTTAACCAGGCATTGGTCTGTTTTGATTCGCCTACCTTTCTGGGTCCTTTCCCTGTCGATGGCAATTACGAAATACTTTTAATGTACGGTGCTCATAGGCCATTGCTCCCTGTGTGTCTCTGAAGGAACCAGGTTCTGGCTCATGGTTCCCGATAGGCATAAGAACTCCTGTGACTGATGACCCCAAATTAATATAGCCCATTGCAGTTTGGATAGCTTCAGGGAGCCTCTGGGGCTCGCACAGAAAAATGGCATTTCATTACAATCAACGCTGGTTTTTTCTAAAATGCAAGCCATGTGAGATCTATGCAAAGTGTATAAATAAATGCTTAATGCATCATTACAAATGATGTAGGAAAATCAATACTGCACAGTGGAATGTAAGCAGTAGTATAAAATGTGAAAATATACTTGAAAACATTTGAGATAAATCCTATTTTCATAGTAATAAGCCTTCTGCAGTGCCTCAAATATATATTCGTTAAACTTCATACTGTCAGTCAGCTGTTGAGTTAGTGCATGGACAGTACCAGTAAAGTGGTCATACCTAAGGTTGTCTTTCCAGAACTCGAGGTAAACTGGTCTCGTTAACTCTTCAAAATAACCAGTAATTAATTTTGATTATTGCACAAGTCAGTAAATTTTTATAATACTTTTATGTACTCTGATTCCAACAGGAAGAAGCTCTAAGGGCTTTTGTGGAGCCTGAGTTGCTCACAGGAAACAACAAATACAAATGCTCAAAATGTGATACTCTGTGCGATGCTCACAAAGGTCTCAAGTTTACCCGCTTCCCGTACCTGCTTACCATACACCTCATGCGGTTTGACTTTGACTACCAAACATTGCATAGAATAAAACTCAATGATAAGTAAGTCATTAGTCTTATCTTTTATAATGTGTGTGAATTTTGTTATTATCCACTGCACTTGGTCACCTTGTTTCAGCAAAAACAGTTTAGTGCAATTGTGAAGGACATGTTTTTATTGTTTTTATAAATATTCAGGTAAAGTTAATGTTAAAATGTTTCCAAACTCAACTATTTCCATTTCAAAATGCAAAAAGTAACGAAAACATTAAAAAACATTAAAATATAGCATAATTAAAAAACAAATAGCATAACTCTCAGAGCGCCTAAAGGTGCTTTGCACGTTGCAGTGGGTTAAAAAGGTTTTAGGAAGAAAATTACAGGCGATGCATGACTTATGAAGAATATATATACAGTGGAACCAATGTTGCCGATTGTCCCTCTTTACGAATTTTTCAAGTTACGTGCTAAATTTCATCATAAAATTTGAATAGGTTTACAACCTATTTGTCGATACATGTATGGGTCGACCAAGCGAGTGGTTCCTGGTGGCACAGGCGACCGCACTTACCACTTTACCAGTGCCTCCCGCCTAGTGATGATCGCGCATGAATTCTTTGTAAAAAAATTCATTGTTTTTTAGCTTTTTTGGTTTCAAAATATAAAATTATTGTATACCATGCCATGGGTCCCAAGAAAGTCAGTGGTGAGGTTCAACCTAAGAAAACACGTGAGGATAACCATAGAGGGAAAGCAAGTCTCTATGGAAAGGTTCTTAGTGAGACAGACAAGCAGTGAGCCACAACCAGGTCCTAGTGGTATGCAGGCAAAACGTAGGAGAGAGAGTATCCCAGAGAAGTAATCACTGCCTGATGTTATAATGGAAGGGGGCTCCCCCTTCCAAACAGGCTTTGAGTGCAACAGGCTTTGAGTGCTGATGCTCACCTCTCCTCTCCTCTCCCTCCCCTCCTCACTGTCTTCCATACGCCAACAAGTCATTAATAAAGGTAAGCTATAACTTGTACATGCTATAGTACAAAATATTTGTGTTTATTATGTATGAAATGTATTTTGAAGTTAATATTTTTGGGAGTGTGGAGTCTTGAGGTTATCTTGAGATGATTTCGGGGCTTTTAGTGTCCCAGCGGCCCGGTCCTCAACCAGGCCTCCAACCCCAGGAAGCAGCCCGTGACAGCTGACTAACACCCAGGTACCTATTTTACTGCTAGGTAACAGAGGCATAGGGTGAAAGAAACTCTGCCCATTGTTTCTCGCCGGCACCTGAGATCGAACCCAGGACCACAGGATCACAAGTCCCGCGTGCTGTCCACTCGGCCGACCGGCACCCTTTTTTGGACAAATTCAATTTACATTATTTCTTATGAGAAAATTACTTTCGGTTTGCGAATTTTCGGTTTACGAGCCGTCTCTGGGAACGGATTAAATTTGAAAACCAAAGTAGCACTGTATACTATATATATAATATAAATATCTGTAAATTTTCCTCAACTCTAATTGCTCAATCTGTTTATTAACCAATTAATATAATAATAGTGATATCTTATGGTTTTATGTATATTTCTGAGTTTATTCACTCCAGTGGTGATGAAGGCAAGGTCACCTAAGGTGCCATTGGTTACAACCTTAACAGACAGAACAGGGTGACATTCTGCACCAGTGCACAAGTATCTGTTCAAATGTTAATGTCCAGTCTTAGTTATTCTCAGGAGTCACTTGAGAAAAACATTATCCAGCCCAAAGTCATTACAGAATGTATACTCATCAGCACTCAAAGCCTTTTCATGTTGTAAGTAGCATCACAAGGATCACCTAGTAGTGCTCTCAAACTGCTAGTTGTCCACCAGGCCTTGGTGTCCACCCTCCACCAACATATTCTGGCATCCCTGCCAACATCATGTTCCGTGCCTCAAGCCCCATCCCATTCGTTCTGATCAAAACTTTTGATGGTTGGGCAAGTTTAAGACTAGATTGAGATAAGTGCCTTATTTTCATTCTTATAAAACCTAGGCTTCACCGTGCAATGGGTTCATGCTGTATCCTTGCTAAAACCATATATTTACTCGATATGCATCAGTGTGTATGACAACAGCACCTTTCTCTGTTCTGTTTTGGTTTGTGCCTTGGCTGTGGGGTTCTCCTCTTGAGATTCGTACTACATCAGTGTTTTGTTGGTTATATGGTTTCGGAAAAAATGTGAGCAACAAGAGTTAAATTATTTGTTTATATCTCATGTCTGGTAGAGGCATATCATTTTATTCTGCAAGAGGATGGAATAAGGTTACTGCAAATGGAATGTTGCATATTTGAGGGACAGATCTTCAAGCAGCAACTGCCACTTGAAAATCTGAGACTAAAAAATGATGCAGAATGCTATATTCAGTTGAATTAAATATGTTGACTACGGTAAATAAAATATTTTAATTTGGAAGGGATTAATTTTTATAGGGTAAGTAAAGTTTACCTTGCTTCTTAGGAAGCTGTAGTCTCTAATACCTCTGGTCCATCCAGTCTTCTCAGTCGGTGGCAATCAAAACATGGTACCCAGTTATTATACTTCTCTCTTCTCCTTCCTCTTTTTAACCAGTATTATGTATTGTACATTAATGTTTTAGGGTTGAGTAATTATTAATTCACTTCCTTGTTGTTCTATAATTAGAGTCACATTCCCAAATATCCTGGACTTAAATTACTTCATTGAGAATACGAACAAAGAAGATGGAAGTGTATCGACTACAGCTGTCACACCAGAGAAGTCTTCAGCAGATAAAGTTGATGATGCATCCACCACAGACTCTGGCTCTGCACTGGATGTAGAAGACAGTTCTGTTGAGAATACTTCAAATTCCCAGCCTGAATCTGATAATCAGGTGATGCAAACTATCATTGTATTTATTAGTATTATTGTTACATTATCAAGATAAATACATTTTTAATCCTTATTTTGTAATAGCTTTGGGGCTTAGCATCCCCGCGGCCCGGTCATCGCCCAGGCCTCCATGCATACGTATATATTCATACATGTTTATACCTGGTGCAAGTTGCAAACCAATAGTTTAGACACACCTAAATACTTGTATGTAAAAGTGGTGTGAAGCAGTTGAAATGAATGGAGTAAGGGCTAGTGGAATTCACCTTTCAAAGTACTGTAGATACAATAAAGCACTAGAAAATTGGGAGGAATATTTACAACCGGTACTAATAGCTAAAAGGCAGGGGTCCAAAAGCCACATCTCGCTTCCCACTACAGTTTAAAGGGGCAGCTGTTGCAATTAGAGATATATATAAAAGGCAGTAAGATCAGACTGGCTACTTAAAGGCTGCAGGAATATTATGTATGTGACTAGTGTAACTAGGGTCTTCTGAATAGCATTTATGAGTGGGCAGCTCCCAGATATCAGGGAAAACTGTAAATATTGTAACAATTCAGAATTGAAAAAAAGAGACAGGACTGTAAAACGTAATCAGAAAGAAATGTGTGAAATACTTTGACACTAAGTTTGTAATTGATAGGCAGTATGAATTTAGAGTGGGTAATTCTGGGTGGCAAGATTTGCACGACCCACTCTGACACTGGGCGGCAGAGTCGGTCGTGCTCTGTAAACTTGCCTGATAAATTTCTGTGACAAGGTGACCAAGAATGAGGAAAGAGAGCTAGGTAAATGGCATCTTCAGGCATGAACGTACTTAGCTTTCTTAGCTGAATTGGAGAGAGGAAATGCTAGATTCATGAGAAGTAGCAAGTGGTGTCCTGCAGAGGGTTCTGTTCTTGGACCCCCTGCTCTTCCTGCTCTATGGACTTCACTAATTGTGCTTGCGGAGATTAAGCATTGGCTCTTTGGTCCTGCTTCTCTTTGTCCAATAAACTGTTGTACAGGTTTCTAAGCTAATTTGACTATCATCTCAAAGTAGCAATGTTTGCAGGGTGATGTAAAGCTGATTAGCAGCATAAGGACTGAGAAGAATTTGCAAGATCTAAACAAACTATAAATGATTTTACAGCCAGACAAATGACTACTAAAGTTTGATCCCAACAAATACAAAGTGCAGGCAGCAGTATTTGCACATAAAATGCCTTTCTAGAAAAGAGAATGTACAGTATATCAGAACCATTCAAATTGGACTTAAATGGAAATGAAAAAAATAGGGATATTCTTTAAAGATCTCTTGGGGTCTACTTTATTACTATTACTTGTTGAATAATTGTCTTATATAAAAGTACAGTACAAGATATTGTTGGTATAAATTACCAGTAATAACTTAAGGTTTACACACAACTAAGGGAGCTGCTAAATCACCACTTAAGTTCTGTTTCTAATGCTAACATAGCCTTCATTTTCATCTAGGGGTAGCAAACTTTGCAGCCTACAGCAAAGTTCATGTTTAGGAACAATTGTAGAACTTGAAATTTTGGTTCAAAATTTGTGGACATAGGTATTACTGTTTGTTTCAGATAGATAGTTACATTTATTGTTTTTGAGGTTGATATTACAGCATTTTTTGTTAATGTTATTATTAAGTAGTTTTGTCATTCCTGATATGAATAAAAGTCTGCCAGTAGTATATGCTGCCAAAAGAAATTTAAAATTTTATTGTTGCATTCTTCACTCTAGGATGAAGATGAGGGAATAGATGTGAGCAGTATGTACAATGAGAAGAACAAGACCTGGTTGACGAATGGCCCTTATGTCTACGAGCTCTTCTCAATCATGATTCACTCGGGCAGTGCATCAGGTGGCCATTATTACGCTTACATTAAGGACTTTGCAACAGGGGAGTGGTTCTGCTTCAATGACCAAAGTGTAACCAAGGTACAAGGCAAGATTGGATTAAGTCTTGAGATTAAAGCACTTAAAATTTTAACAGCTGTTAATGTTTATATGAAAGAGGAATACAGTATAGTACAGTATATATAATGAATGTATATTTTCAATAGTTTTACCTTGTACAGAATTTCCTCCAGCTTAGCATAAGCACACCTTGTGACAGGTTTATTATTTGTTTATAATAAATATATATGGCATCTTTTCTTTACCATTACTGTATTGAGTCTGATGACTTATTTTAGCATCTGCAGGCATTTGCCATACACTAATTGGTAACGTGTTCTAAAACATGGCATTTTATCTCTAAAATAAACAATTTCTCTTTACCATTTTACTCTATTTGACTCTCCATGATGCAACACTTGAAATATGCGAGGACAGTGTAGACAGAGCTTATGTCCACCACATTGGGTATGAGGGGACCCACCAGAGTTCATCTCGGCCAACCACCCCCATCTCTCAAGACTCGCATCTTTTTGTTCCCATGTTTTCAAGCATTTTTCACATCCATATCTTAATGTTTTATGCAAACAAACATACAGATAGCATTTGGAACCTAAAGGATGAAATTTCAGGACATTTTATGATTCATATATTTGACTGATGCTAACATATACAGCACAAGCATGAAATCCACACTTGTGAACCCCAAAATGAAGCTTGAAGTGTACAGAGGTTTGTAGTAAGCCTTCTCAAGAAATAAGAGGACAAGATTCCTTGACCTAACAACCCTAAAGGAGAGAATGAGGAGAGGTGATATGAGTTCAGTATGCAAGATACTGGTGGGAAGAGACAAGGTACAATGGACATATTCTCTAAACTGAGAAAAATTAAACAAATGGATAGCCATGCAGTTGGAAATGCAAGTCATTGAAACGTAAGGAAATATGCATCCTTTACAGGTGATTGACAGTAGAACAGCAACAAAAGAGAATATTGTGGATGCCACTGCAATCTTCAAATTCTAAAGTTAATAAAATACCATGAGAACTTCTGGAGAAGTTCCTCAAATGTGCAGTCATAATTTGACAATTGTTGTCATTGTCTAGTTTGTGTACTAGTGATGTTAATATGGTTATAACACTATATGAATGAAATGGAGTTAACCAAGACTCTTGACAAAATTCTGCTATTATCTTGTAATTGCTTACTATGTGATAAGGTTTTTGTGCACTAGGGGTTCAAGGTTATTGCAACCCATCCTTTTAAAAAGATAGTTCTTACGACAACTATTTAGTTGAATACACAAAAATGCACTTGAACCAACAATTTTCACATTTTGTATTATTAATTTTTTAGAGGGCATGAAATAAATGAGCCCAACCCACACTTAAATTTACCTAGGCCTAGTATGACACATTAATTGTACAGTTTTCACTATGCCATTTGAACCAATTCAGTAGTACAAAACGTGAACTCTCTAACAGTCAAATTTTGTGCATTTAACCAAACAAATAGCATAGATGAACAGTGTTAGCGGCTTCCATGGTGATGTTGTTCATTGATATTTTCAAGAATACCTGAATCTCTTCCTGACTGATGGACACTCTTTGAGGCTAGCTGAATCTCTTCCTGACTGATGGACACTCTTTGAGGCTAGCTGAATCTCTTCCTGTGTGGGACCTTACAAAGCGATCTTTTCAAGACTACCTTACAAATTGAGCTTTTCCTATTATCGTTTCAATACTACCTTATGCTTTACAAGCTTGGCTACATACCACCTACAAGTACTAAAGCCAAGGGTGCACGCGAGTGCGTTATTTGCAAGCACACAGAACGATGAAACAGGAAACGAAAATCTATCTGTAGCTGGTGCAAGGAGAGCAAAGTCGTGCTGTGTACCATGGACTACTTCGTTGACTATTACGCACCTCCAAAGTACTGAGTGTGTTATACAGTGTGTTACTGTGTAAATAGTATGTGAAACTGTACATATTGTAATTTTAGTGAATTTTTACCACGTAATATTGTGACAATAAACATTTATTGTGGACACATTACTGACACATGTATCACAGTTTCATGGAAAATTATGAACATTCTACTGTATACATATTGTAAAGGACACAAATATGCATCATATACGATAAAAGAAACAAATAAAACCGCATTGGAAATGCATAGAAAAAATATTTGAAAATATATTTGTGGCAACACGCGGTGCTTGAATGGCCTGCGCGACCGTGTCTGGGAGCTTCACACACGGGCGACCAGCCCCTGATGACGTCACAGCGCACCTTGTCCACGCCCTCACAGCCAAAGTGGAATTTGGTAATTATTTTTACATAGACATGTTCAGGGATGGTAATTTATCATTTTGCAAAGAAAAATGATATTTTGAGGAACATTTGATGTCATACACACTGGGGGAATTTCACAATAAACACAGTGCATCACACAGGTTACATGGGGGACACTCGTTTTGTATGACGTCCGTTTCACATGACGAACATGGAACGGATTAAATTCGTTATGCGAGGTACCACTGTAGTTCCTAATAAGCACAGTCATTTTAGAAGGATGAGCCGTATTATTAAATGACGATTTGGCATTTCCTGCAAGTGTTTAACCTAGGGAGCCGGTCGGCCGAGCGGACAGCACACTGGAATTGTGATCCTGTGGTCCTGGGTTCGATCCCAGGCGCCGGCGAGAAACAATGGGCAGAGTTTCTTTCACCATATGCCCCTGTTACCTAGCAGTAAAATAGGTACCTGGGTGTTAGTCAGCTGTCACGGGCTGCTTCCTGCTTCTTGCACATTCTAAGACGCCTCCGACTATGCACATAAATTATGTTGTTCTTGTTTAAAGATGCTAATGATGCTGGGATATAAAAGGGTGACTGCTGAGATGTTGCAAAGCATTGACGTTTTTGTAGGAAAAAAGAAATGAAATGTCTGATATACAACAAATGTCAAAGAGGTTCGTTCGGTGTTCGGCAGGTAGGCTGCTCCATTATAACAATCTTTCTTTGTTTCAAATGTGTTCAATTTGTTTTGTATTTGTCATTTACATCTCAATAATGGAGAAGCCTACCTTACATACACTGAATAAACCATTATGACATTTTCCTTTCTTCAAATGTGTTCAATATTTATTTTTCATTTGTCTTATAGCAACAGGTTCGTTCGGTGGTCGGCAGGTAGGCTGCTCCATGTTTCTTACATACAAAAAACGTAAATAATAAAAAAAATGAAGAATTTTGAAGACCAGTACAAATGTCAAAAAGGTTCGTTCGGTGGTCTACAGGTCGGCTGCTCCATGTTTCTTAAATAAAAAAAAAAAACAAAAAATAAAAGAACTGTTGAAACAATTTGAAAAATCGACAAATGCCATAAAGGTTCGTTTAGTGTTTGTCAGGTAGGCTGCTCCATTATTGAGACGTAAGTGACAAATTCAAAACAAATGGAACACATTTGAAACAAAGAAAGATTGTCATAATGGAGCAGCCTACCCAAAAAACACTGAACGAACCTTTTGCTATAACGAATATGAAAGACTAGGGCTGCTGGCTGGGTTAGTACTGCGTGAGCAACCATTCGTGGCACACGTGCCTCTGGCTCTCAAACACCTGTCCCACACGGTGTTAAAAGACTGCGCTCAGTCGGTGCAATTCAGGCCCTATTGTTTGAAGAACATAAGGGTCATAACATTGGTGAAGCTAGGCGCAATAAGGGCTTAACACAACGTTCGGATGCCAGTCATACAGCACCTATGAGGATGATACAGCGAGCGTATCCAGTTGTAGCTCTGAGCCCCACCCTTGCCATCTCGAATTTATATAGATGACACATAGATGAACCGTTTTCTGTGTTCAGTGATGATGCATCTGATACAAATAGCATAGATGAACAGTGTTAGCGGCTTCCATGGTGATGTTGTTCATTGATATTTTCAAGAATACCTGAATCTCTTCCTGACTGATGGACACTCTTTGAGGCTAGCTGAATATAGTTCCTAATAAGCACAGTCATTTTAGAAGGATGAGCCGTATTATTAAATGACGATTTGGCATTTCCTGCAAGTGTTTAACCTAGGGAGCCGGTCGGCCGAGCGGACAGCACACTGGAATTGTGATCCTGTGGTCCTGGGTTCGATCCCAGGCGCCGGCGAGAAACAATGGGCAGAGTTTCTTTCACCCTATGCCCCTGTTACCTAGCAGTAAAATAGGTACCTGGGTGTTAGTCAGCTGTCACGGGCTGCTTCCTGGGGGTGAAGGCCTGGTCGAGGACCGGGCCGCGGGGACACTAAAATGCTCCGAAATCATCTCAAGATAACCTCAAGATATTGCCTATATAACATTCCCAGATAGAACCACACTAAAGGTATTGGTTGCAAGACTTCCTTGCAACCAACTGCAAGCTGTACCAGGAATAGATTTATGTGCAATAGGTGTACATATTACTTTAGAGTGTGTACAGAACTCGGTTACTCTGTTGCATAAGTGAAACATAACATATCAAGGTCAACATAGTTCACTCTTCTCCATCCGGACTTCTGTCAGCAACTCTTGTCTAACATCAAAAGACACACTGAACTCACCATATGACTTCCTACTACAGCTTATAAAATCAGGAAAGATACAGCTTTTTATTTTGCATGCAAATGTATAATTCTACAAGAATATTTTGTATATCTCATGTTGGCATGGCTTAAATGTGCGAGAGATTTTTGTGTTAAATGTGCATGCCTCACTATAAAATGAAAAGGGTGTGTAATTTCAAAATCAAAGAAGAGGTACAAAATTTGAATTTATGTCTTACAGCATATTTATTTTAATATTACTGTATATTACTTTACTTCAGATTACATATGATGACATCAGAAAGACATATGGTGGCAACACTTCAAGAGGAGGTTACTACTCCAGCTGGAGCTCCAGTGCTAATGCTTACATGCTCATGTACAGACAAATCACAAAGGACAGAAATGTTGATGCCTTTACCCGGGAGCAACTCCCACAACATATCAAGGTCAGCTGGTCTTTTTGTAGCATTTGCCTGATCTTCAAGCACAATTAAACACTGTTTTATAGTATATCTAGAATTTGGTGGAATCTTTTTGAAGTCTGTATAGTCATGGGGTTAAAAAATTTCAAAGACAAATGTTAAAACAGGTGTTTGTTCATAGTCACTTTGAGTTTGTTGTGGCTCTCTTCATGTGGTATGTGTGTGTGTTTCAAAATATTTTGAATATATAGCATCCTGCCAAAAACAGAGCTTATTATGATATCCTTGTATCACACTATTTAATTTGTAAATGCATACTGATTTTCTTGTCTAAATATAATTGGCTCCTGCCACAGGACTTAGTACAAAGAATGACAGAAGAAGAAGCAGCAGAGAGAGAACAGCGAGAGCTCGAGAGATGTACATGTCGCATCAAGCTATTCTGCCAGCCCCCCGGCCAAAGTCAGATGGTGGAGAAGAAACTCAGAGTTCACAAGGACTCCACTCTCAGGGAAACCACCAAACTGGCTCATAAGGTGAAGTGAGCAGTTGGTATTATGTATGTTGATTGATGCAACTGTTTGCAAGAGACACTTTAACTGGCTGATGAATTTATTATTGGTCACAAGCTTAAATTTTAATTTGCTAGAATGTATGTAATCTATTGGTCTTTTGTTATAATAAAGTCGTATACACAAGGGGTTCCTGTATGTGAATGGTTAGGACAAATTTGAAAACTATTTTAAGAGTATTGAAGAAAGCAGTTAAAATAATTGTAAAGAAATCTCAGATATTCACACACACACGCTGGAGTATGTTGGTGCACTATCCTGCATAGTGAGCAGAGGTAGAGTGGTTTAGTCACTGCATATGAATGTTTATATAGTAATTACTTTATGATCGGCTATTTTTCTTACAGGTAAATGTTCCCATATGATTGTTCTATTGTATGGTATAAAGACAAAAATAGATTCATACAAAGTTAATTTTTCTGTAAATTTTCACAACAGTTGCAGAATTATGCAATTTGTGTCAGTGACTTGCTAGTATATGATGGGGTTATGTATAATATTGACTATACATAACATGCCACATACCACCATATTAATAGATAAACCACAAGCCTGTGGGGAAAAAACAAAAAAGTGCAGCAACAATTATATGAAATGTTGAAGGGACAAGGTAGTGTGACGGGCTCGCATTATTTCCTGCTAATCTCCACCCGCTCGTGAGGAGCATGATATGAACAGTTTGCATCATATGTTGCAAATTTCAAGTTTAGAGAGAATTTACTAATAAATGATGCAAATTTCATTATTGGAGTGTGTGTGTGTGTGAAGGGACGATAATATCTATATTCAATTGATTTAGTTTAGTTTTGGACATGTTTCAAGTTCAGAAGTTTTAAAATTTGGAATTTTTGTATTTTATTTGTTTATCTGTTCTGAAAGTTAGGGGACTAATGCTTACCAAAGTTTTTTTATCAGAAAAGAGCTTTTAAGTGGTATTTATTATTAATATTGTTGCATTACAAAGAGAGCCATTTTCTGTGGAGTGCCCCCCCCCCCTCTGGCTCCCCAGAGCTATACTGGGCTGATGTGTATATATTAGACTGTGGCAACAGTCGATCAATGAAGTTCTTTAGTCTACCTGGGACTACGAGCTAGAACCTGGCCCCCCTCAGAGAGGCACAAACAGCAATGACCTATAGATATCCCCACAGTAATTGGAAGCAGTCTGTCTGCCATCTACCAGGTCAGGCAGCCAGAAAGGTAGGAATCCGAAAACAAACTACAGCTGGTGAAACATTGCAAACCAAAAGCCAAACAGGCAAGCAGACTCCCCAATCAGAAAACAAGCAAACAAGCATGACATCATCACAGCTGCCGGGCTGCTGTCTGCACAACTCCCCCTCCCCGGGAGGGGAAAATTGTGTCATTTCACATTTCCGTTTCATTCCCGTGTCCACGGGATGGACGGTCGATGACGCCTGATGTTCAGGCACCCTCAGGTGGACCTCTTCCCATCGGCGTGGTCAAGGCGTTTCCCGGTGTATGTGGCACGCTTCCCCGACCGCGAAGCCAGCGGGGTCGATGCCGTTTGATTGGACTGGTCAAGGTGGGGTTACCTGTACCTCTTCCTACCGGTTCGGTTGTTGCTCCAGGTCCTGGCTTGCTTGGAGATTTACCAGGGGAGGGTAATCCTGTTGGCCCCTTGGTGGCTGGCCCAGATTTGATTTCAGGCGCTGCTCGCTCAATGTCCAAACCCAAGGGTCTTTCCGCAACTCTGTCTCTTTCAGCAGATTGATCCGGTCCAGTACATGGCTGGTTCGATCTTCTCCTCCAATCTTCCTGTCGGGTCATTTTCATGCGGGTTTATCACCACTTGTATGGTGATCAAGTGGCTTTGTTGATGGTGTACCACCTGCGAGTTTTGTCTCGGTGGCAGTATGAAGTTCCTGGCAGTCCTTTCGGCATTTCTTGACTCTTTGTAAGTTGTTTTTTATTTCTGTTCGGGTTATTTTGTCCTTTCTCTCTTGGTTGTTTCAGGCCCGTCATCTTGTACCGAATACTGTCGCCGTGTATCGTGCTGCGCTGGCGGGACCGCTTCCACTTGCGTACGGGGTGGATATCACTTCTGCTCTGTTCTGCAAGCTTTCTCAGGCATTGTTTCACCTCTGACCTGCTCATGCGCCGCCTGAGCCGTCTTGATCGTTGAACTGGGTGCTCTCTTTTCTCTCTTCCCCTCAGTTTATTGTAATGGTCTGAGCTCAGACCAAGTTTCCCCCCTTCCCCTTCTCCCTTTCCCCTTCTCCCCTTCCCTTTCCTCCCCCTTCCCCCCCTTCCCCTTCCCCTTCCTCTTCCTCTCGCTCGCCGTCCCCTTCCTTGGTCATTCTTCCCCCTTCCCCTGGTTGCCTCGTCCCTCCTTACCCCTCCCTTTTTGTCGAGCCGGCCTCATTGGTCATTAAAGTGCCCACAGGCAAGAGACTTTGCCCTTCCAGCGCCGGCCAATCCTACTCCAATCCAGGTCCCCAATCCTCTTCAATCCCCCCCCTCCCCCTTCACAATCCCCCCTTTCCAACCATTTCCCTTCTCTCTTCTGTCCGCTGTAGCTATTGACAAATTCGATTGGCAGTAAACTCAGTGCCATAAAACCGTGCTCTCAAATTTCCCTTATTTGGCCAGACCAGCTTGTCTCCCACGAGCTGGTTGTTACAGCTTATTTCCAGTTTCTGTGAGAGGACTGCCTCCCGGGCAGATGTCATTGGCCAAGAGGGGCTTTTTGTTCAGTGGTTAGTGGTGACCACGGTACTAGGCCTGGGGGCTCCAGTGATTGGACTAAGTCTCAAGAGGCGGGGGTCCCCCCAAGGTAGTGCCAGACATCCCATTAGCCAAAGGACCAGGACATCCAGCTTTGGTTTGAATTGATTGGTGCTAATAGCCCGGAGCCAAGCTCGTGAGGAAAATAATAGGCCTCCCTGGGGTAATCAAGGAAAATTGTAATCAGTGTGTCTTGGGCTTGACTGGGGTACAGGTCTAATGACCTGGAGCGCAACCATTCAACATATGGGGCCGGTTTTGCAGGATAAGTTAATGTTTGTCTAAGTTTTGGTACATCAAAGTAATTGCACTCCGGTTATATTGCCTCTTAGGAATTTAATTAGAGTAGGATATATTTCAATTTGGTTTAAATAAACGTGCCAATAAAATAAAGTGATAATTAATGTATTTTGTGGTTTAGTTTATCTGTTCCCCCTTTTGTTATTACTGCTGAGTCATTCTTATATGTGGTATTCTCGTGTGGTATTGGAAGCCCCTATATTCTCACTAAGTGAAGTAAAGATTTACATTTTGATCCCCAAGCATTATTGCCAAGATTCCTACGCCCTCCAAGTTCATGATTATTGATTTCTGTCCGTCCTGGGAGATCCGTAATACAGGCACATTCAAGTTGGGAAGATGGTGGTAGTGTACATTTAAGTTTTTATTCATTATTTTAAAATTAATAAACCCTTCATTTGTTGCTCCCCTCCTCATTTAATATTTCAGTTTTAATATTAGCTGGTAGTTCAGTGAGGGTCACAGTGATCTGGAAGCAGTGTTAAGATGGGGTATTGAGTGAGAAAGGGATTAGCAGGTTGGGATTATTACATTGTGGTGACCCCTTTTGTTCAGAACTGTTTTTCTAAGGATCTTTTCTTGTTGGCATTGGCCTTTGGGGGTCGTGTCGGGAGCTTCATGCTCTCCTCTTTCGGTCCTAGTGGTCATTTTGTTTGTTTGCAGCCGGCTCCTCCTTTTCTGGCGAAGAAAAAGGCCGCTGCTTTCCAGAGGGGTTCTTGGGTTATCGATGCTTGGTTGGTTTGGCCAGGGGGTGCATCATGTTTTGTAGTTGCACCAGTTGCAGCTCTTCGCCATTACTTGCGCGCTACGGCCTCGGTGGCAGGGGACGCACTTTGGGTTGACCCGGTTTCCCGGGTAATCTTTCAAACAGCAGCTTTGGCTGCTGTTTTTGGTAATATGTCCTGGCTGACATTCGGGCATGGGGCTTTTGGAGGTCAAACAGGGTCCTGGCCGCACAGTACCTCGTTCATGTTCCTGGCCCTTCTCGGGCGTGTGTAGCCTTGGGTCGCAGGTTGCAGCCAGTTGTCTCGACTTGGAGTTAAGGTGCAAGTGGTAGCCGCCTCCTGGGTAAGTCCCTCTTTTCCTTTACCTTTGGTTAGATAGCTTCGGGAAGCCAGAGGGGCTCTCCACAGAAAACCAGCGTTGAATATAATGAAGCGCCATTTTCTGGGCGAGAACCGAAGGCTTCCCGGCAACCCTTTTTCCCTCCCTACGGTCGGCGTTTTTTTTTTTCGCGTTTTTTATACTCAGCCTCTGCACTGGAGTTGAGTAGCTGGCACGGGAGGTCTGGGACCCCTTCCCTCCTCTTTCCTCCTTCCAAGGAGGGGAGAATTGCACAGACAGTGGCATGGTGGCTGTTGTGACGTCATGCTTGTTTTCTGATTGGGGAGTTCTGCTTGCTCATTCAGCTTTCGGTTTGCAATGTTTCACCAGCTGTAGTTTGTTTTGGGAATCCCACCTTTGTGTGCCTGACCTGGTAGATGGCAGACATAGACTGATTCTAACTACATGGGGTGTCTATAGGCCATTGCTCCTCATGCTTCTCTGAGGAGACCAGGTTCTGGCTCATGGTCCCTGGTATGCTAAAGAACTCCATCGATTGACTGTTTCCACCGTCTAATATATACTCATCAGTCCGGTATAGCTCCAGGGGAGCCTTCAGGTCCCCACCCAGAAAATGGGATTTCATTATATTCAATGCTGTTTTTTTTTGTATTAGATAATGCTAGTTTAAATTAGGAGACTAAGCACTGACCATATAATCCCACCACAACAGGAGTTGGGGTTAGAAAATGTTGTTCCTCTAGAAAGATGTCGTCTGGTCAAGTATGAGGAATTTCACAACAGTTTAGAGTGCTCGTTTGAGGGTCAAGAGGATGAGCTCATATCTGAAGTTCTTGGAGGTGTGAGGAATTCATACAAGTTTGATCTTTTGATGGAAATTCGTGATGAAGACAAAACATTTGAAGTTTATAAGCCTGGAGGTGAGTTTTTTTTTTCCAGTCACTGTAATACAGTGACAGTTAAAATTTCATATAAATTACAAATATATAGTAAAATTGCATATATAGTATTGTGTGTATTTTTGGAAGCCATTAATAAATTTACTTGTAAAAATGTAGGCATATAGCTGAATTTACCTAAGGGTAAACTGCTTTAAATGCAGCTTTTTAATACAAGCAGACGTACTGCTTTAAATAAAAAAACAAGTATGGACCAAAAAGTATTTATGCATACACTGATAACAACCGATAATCTGGATTATACAGGGCTCGCCCCTCTCTGAGTTAGCCAGACATCCGGATTAGCAGGAATTCTTACCGGGAAGATTAAAAAATTAACATTCAACATTTTTTGTACAACAAATATAATATAATTTGTATTTCCACATACAATAAACATAAATTGATGTGGTTAGGGTAGATTGGCAAGATCAGTTTTGACTATCAGCTGCTTAGGCTTCTGGTGAGCTCAGGTCTCCTAATGTCAATCAGTAATCTGGCCAAAACTCAAAGTAATCCAGATTTGTGGCAGAGTTTGAAAAAGTTTGACAGAGAAAACTTTGACTCTATTTTGTCTGGATTACCCATAGGTCCCGGTTAAGTGTCTGGATTAGTAAGCTCTTACAGTATTTCATGTCCATTTCTAGTTATTCTTTCATTAAACATGTAATGTATCAATTTTTTTAAGCATATACAGTATATGTAGCCTTACTCGGGCAGATTGTTGTGAGCTGGTACCCCTTAACCTCGGTACTGTGCAGCCTTCACACGAGCCCCTCCCATGGTGTGCAAGAAAAAATTATATCGCCCCAATTTTTTTTTTTTTTTTTTTTTTTTTTTTTTTTTTTTTAATATTGCTAAAATGAGTTCCCTGATCACAGGAAAGCAAAAAATAAATTCAATATCACACTTACTTTAGTTGTAGAGAAGCTATGAAATGTAGCGATGACGTTACAAATTGCTAAGCGATCGTAGAGTCATCACCTGGGGTGGATCGCGAGCACCATTCAGGTGACGAGTTGCTGCAAATATTTATTGTAACTAATTTATCAGTATCCACTTTTTCTGTGGGGAGCCCCATCGACTTCCTGAAGCTATTCCTGAAGCTGTTTTGAGATTTTTGCCTTACATGGCTGTTCTTGCATTTGTGGTGTGAGCTGGCTTGGAGTTCCTGGGTACCAGAGCTGCATGCCTTTAGGGACAGCTTCCCTAGGTGCTCCATGAGTACTGCCCTTGCATAGCCAGGGGTTAACTTCCCTGGGGTGTTCGTGAAAAGTTCCCCATCAGAGGATTTCCTCGCTTGTGGTTGTCCTTGGGATCAGTTGGGGGGTCTTGGGCTTTCTGCCTTGCCTTGGGTAAGGGGGGGGGGTGTTTATCGGCTAGTAGGGTGCACTGTGGCTGGTGCAGCCTGCTTAAGCTAATACGCAGCTGCTGACATTTCTCTCTGACTCCTTGTTGGCTATTGTGGGGTTTTGAGGGCTTTATCATATTTTTGTTGTTTTTTCATTTTGTTGGCATTTTTCACCTGGATCGCAAAGGTGTCCTGCCTAGCTCCTCATTACGCTACGCCTAGGGTGTGGTGGTGGTGGTATTCCCCTGTTGCCCCTGAGGCTTTACAGTGGCTGCTTGTGGACGGTTTGCCTGCATCGACAGGGTTTACCGGCTTAGCTGGTCCCAGTGCCTGGGCTTCCTGTAGAGCTCATTCACCCTATGGGCCCTGGAAAACCCATGGGCTCGGTCATACCATGGATACTTCATCCGAGCCTATTTTCACCTTGTGCTACTTTGATGGTTGTTCGTCGCCCCTGCCTCAGGGTGACAATCATCCATACTGCCTCATCCATGCTGCCTGTTGGGTCAGGAACACCTACGACCCAATTTATGTTGCAGTTGTGTCCGTAATGTAATTGGAGGTTCTCGACCATGTGCTTTTCCGTCTGTGATTCTGTCATGACTTATTAGTTGTCAATGAATTTGATCCATTTGTCTACTGATATTTTATTAATTGTGAGTTAAAAAGATGTCTACCATCTGGAATAGTATTCTAAACTAGATACGGGAAACAGTTAACATAACCTTGAAGAAAATGTTAAATTAATTGAAAGTTAAACAAACCTGGCAGTACAGCTTGTATTGGTACTTGAATAGTTTGATGTGAAAAATATAAAATTAATTGAAATAAGATTATGGAGTTCAGTGCCAAGTGAGAAAGAACTGGTGGCAATAATTCAGAATGAAAAATTATGAAGAAATCAACACATTAGAAGTTACATGAAGTTTTTTCTAAGTAATTTATGTAGTAGCATGGTATCTGAACTTTGTAAAATGTTTTGTATATGCTGCTACTCTGCTTGCTTTTTGCTTACTGACATTAACACTCACTAATCTGGCCATATCCAAGGTGCTCCCATAGTCCACTGAAGACTAATATCTTTGAACAGCTTTACCTTTAGTGTTTTTTCCACTCTTCTGTTAACTTCCATCCCTCCCCATGAATATAATATTGACAGTATAGGACAGTAACTCGACAACACTGAACTAATATCATCATCTATAGGTACAACAATAAAGGCCCATGTGGTGAACTTGACAACAGAAGAGGTGGAGGGACCATGTAACTTGAGAGGGAGCCTCAGCATGACTGTACGTGAGCTGAAGGAACTACTAGGTCGTTCTCTCAACCTAAATCCTGACACAATGAGGATTGTGTTAGAACGTTACTACAACGATTTGAGACCGCTCACCCCAGACACCAAGACTCTGAAGACCGAGGGTTTCTATAGATCAAACAAGGTAATCTTATTTGGCTTGAATAAGACTTAATCCCGTTTCGTTGTTTCTTATACCCGCTTAATTTTATTTTACGTGTTCAAGAATAAATAGTCTATTTGTGTACCTAGGATGTGTGATTGAAAAAAGGAATTTGTACAAAAGTTAAGAGTAGATTGTGCCAGGGAAGAAAAATGGATGTTGTAATGAAAGGCCCTGGTTAGAAACAAAAATGGATGAGATGCATCGAGAAGGCTCTGTGAAGGAGCGGTAGTGCCAACATTTATGAACAAATGTGAGACAATGGTGAGATTTTGGTGTGACCAGTCAAGAATTAGAGCAGTAGAAATGGACAGTGAGAAGTACTTCAGGCATTATAATATTGAGGTAGGAGCAAAAATGGCATGGAGAAGTTCAGTCAGGGTACTGCCAGCCACGTACCTTACCTCTGCCCCATGATATGGTATAAGTTATACAATCTGGGATTCCTCAATCCACACGAAGTCTGGAGACAGCAGCAGAAGCCAGTCCAAGTTTTACCTCAATTTTGCCCCAGTTGATTTTCTCATTGATATATCACGTTAATGTGATTTCTTTGTATACTGTGTATGAATGGGCTTCATTTGTCCATGTTGTCTATTCCCCTCAGGATGCTGCATGTAATGATATCATCTCTATTTTTTCTTTTCTCTAAGGTTGTGAGGGCGAGTTCCCTTAACCTGTCCTCATAGCTGAGCCTTTTCAGTTCTAGTACTAATCTAGTTGTAAACCTCTGAACTTTCACAAGTTTCTATTTATGCTTCACAAGGTGTGGGGTCCATGCTGGTGCTGCATACTCGACTAATGATCTTGCATAGGTAGTGTGTATTGACTTGAAAGTCTCCTTGATTAGATTATTAAATGATGCTCTTAGGTTTTGTAATGTTACCAAATGCTACTAATGTTATGCAGTTCATATGAGCTTCTGGTGTTAGTGTTGGGATTATGTCTACTCACAGGTCTTTTTCTTTTACTTTTTTGTAAGTGCCTTCCCTTTATGGTATAGTCAATACATGTCTCCTATCTCCCTTACCAATTTTCATTATTTTACATTTATTTGAATATTTATTTATCTTGATTGAATTCAAGCAGTCATTTATCTGCCCACTCCTGAAATATGTTAATCTTCTTGCAACACTGCAGCTCTTTTCTGTTCTTATACTCCTCATTAACTTCACAACATCTGCAAACATCAACATGTATGAGCTCGCTTCCTCTGCATAATCATTTACATAAATTAGTAAGAGCAGTGGTCCTTGGACAATTTCCCTGTGGAACACCACTCCTCTCCATCCTGACATATCCTCTCTGATTATGACCCATTATTTCCTGTCTCTCAGGTACTCCCATACCTAATCCAATATCTCTCCTGTCTGTCAAATCCTCCCATACCCAGTCCAATTCCTTTCCTGTTATCTCCACTTGCCTCTCCTTCTTGTGTATTAGTCTTTTGTGAGGAACTGTATCAAAAGCTTTTTACCTGTCTAGGAAATTGCAGTCCTTCCTTTTCTTTTCTTACTTTTGTGACACCTGTTATAAAATTCAATAAAGTTTAAACTTGAAGCTGTGTTGTGCCCCTCTTAATTAAAATTAATGCTCCCTATATGTTCTTCAATCCTTTTTCTGATACCTTTTCAGCATCTAGCATTGAATGCATGTTGCTGACACTGGTCAGTAACATGCAGTGCTTCATATGTCCCCTTTTCCCAAATATTGGAACTATATTTACCTTTTTGCAGATTTCTGGTAGTTCTCCTATCTTCAGTGTAATTTTAACACTAGTTAATGGGTAACAAATTTCCTGCAGCTTCCTTCAGTAATCGTGGTGATGTCTGGTCCTATTCCTTTTGCTATATATCCAATTCCTCCAGGTGTCTTTTTCACCTTTTCTACATTGACTTAAATTCTATTAAGATTTGTTGCTGGCCTTCTGTTGTCACCTCTCCTTGGACACCAAACGGATTCTGGTTTGTACACCTGGAACCTCTTGTTGAATTCATCATACTCTTCTTTGTCATTATCCAAAAGTGCTCCTCCTTGTCCCCACAGTCTGATCACATGATCTTGTATCATTGTTTTTATTTGCATATGGCTATGCATGAGGTTAGGATGGTCCTCTGCTTTTGCCACAATGTCATTTTCAAGCTGCTGCTCTGCTGCCCTTCTGATTCTGGTATTCTCATTTCTGGCCCTCTTAAGTGGCACCTTATTTGTCTTTGTACCCATGTCCCTATACTTTTCCATGCCTCTTCTTTGTCGTTTCCTCCTACTGTGTGGGATTTGTTGTTCTACTATTGTCCACTTCCCACCTGAGAGGTACAAGCTTTTCTGTTGCTTCTTTGCATTTCTGTGTTGAGTTCCATCTCATTTGCTGACTTTCCCCTCCATTTCAGTCTCCCATTGAACTTACTGCAGATAGCCCCTAACTCTCCAGTAGTCCCCTCTTATGTATACTCTCAAGCCCTTTATCCTGTTTCCGTTTCTCTTACATACATCAGATCTTACATACTTCCATCAGATCTTACATACACAGGGCTCACATTTGCTTCCAAAGTTTCCAATAAACAGATGTCATCTTTGAAAACAAATTGTAGACACCCATCTGTGTGTGAAGACCTCATCATATGGAGGGTGACCATGCTGCAGCAGCTCACAGCACTGCCATGCAGTTTGTGCTCACATCATCACTTAATGTGGACAAAATAAGTGAATAAATGCGATTATTTTGAGTTGATAATGTCATAGAAGATCCTGACTGATAAAGCTCATACACAAGGTTCAGATATCAGTAATTACAATGCTGGTTATGATGTTGAGAGTGGGAGGTTATCTTGAGATGATTTCAGGGATTAGCGTCCCCGCGGCCCGATCCTCGACCAGACCTCCTTTTTGTTACACACCCCCAGGAAGCAGCCCGTAGCAGCTGTCTAACTCCCAGGTACCTATTTACTGCTAGGTAACAGGGGCATCAAGGTGAAAGAAACATTTTGCCCATTTGTCTCCGCCTCCACCGGGAATCGAACCCAGAACCTCAGGACTACGAATCTGAAGCGCTGTCCATTCAGGTGTCAGGCGCCCTTCACAGCACACAGAGGCAGAGACAGAGGGAGGCAGACATTCACAGCATACAGGCACAGTTTTGTGCATCTGCACATCATGAAACCTGACCTCATGTTCCTTAAGAAAATAAACCTGTGGAAAATTACTTATTCTGATGTGACGGAAATCTGATGATGATAATGTTGTGGCTAGATTTAGCAATGTTCATAGTATATTGGAGGCATTTTGCTGCATCAGGTAGCATTGTCTGCTGTTTTCCTGTGTCGCTTTGCTGTGTTTGGATTTCGTTCCACACCCCACCAGAAATGCTTAGCAATGCATTATGGTAGATGTATACAATGTGTGTATATAGTGTAATAACAGCAAAAACAATGTTTTATTTTTCAAAGAATATAATATTGTGCTCATATTAGTGACACACATCTGTTCATACCTATGTTCCACAAGTTCTGTGATACAAATAACATTATTGACAGCCCAATGCATCATTGCACTTAAAATATATTGTAAAACATTAAAAATACAAAGAAAATATAATGTATTCAGTGCCTGCAGTTATAATTTCACATAAAACATGTGGGGATAAGCAGAACTCTGATGACTGGTTACAAGGTTATTTCACCCACCAAAACTGCTTAATGGTTTGTAATTGTGCATACAAATGTAGACTGTTATATATGACTTGTGTATATAATGTAATAAGGGCAAAATCTGTGTGTTTTACTGTTCTAAGCTTAAGCTATTGTGCATATATTAGTGGCACGAATATATTTGAGCATTCCGATGTTCTACACATTTTACTATAAATTTTTCAAGGACACTATTCCTTGAAAAACTGCTGGAAGAATACAGAAAAAAAACAAATCAGAGACATTGAAATAAATATTTAAAAATTTCTTCGTTTCAGATCCACAGCCAAAGTAAGTTGCATACAATTTATTTTTTTTTTTTCTGTGATCAGGTAATGCATTTTAACAGTACTAGAAGGAAAAAAATTTATTTTTGTATCCTATGTACTAGGGTTATCTTGAGATTCTTGAGGTTATCTTGAGATGATTTCGGGGCTTTTAGTGTCCCCGCGGCCCGGTCCTCGACCAGGCCTCCACCCCCAGGAAGCAGCCCGTGACAGCTGACTAACACCCAGGTACCTATTTTACTGCTAGGTAACAGGGGCATAGGGTGAAAGAAACTCTGCCCATTGTTTCTCGCCGGCGCCCGGGATCGAACCCGGGACCACAGGATCACAAGTCCAGCGTGCTGTCCGCTCGGCCGACCGGCTCCCTGGTCGGAGGGGATTGTCAGCGTTAAACAGTGGCACAGTGCTGGGGTAAATCTTTCAACTGTATCTCTAGTTATATTCTTTGCATTTTTATCTTCCTCTACTACTGCCATATTCTGTAATGTAATGTGCTACTAAGGATATACACTCATATGCACATGCATAAAAAAAAAATGAAAAATTTCTAAATATTTTTTCCTTAAAGAATGATTAATTTAGATGCAAAATGTACAGAAAAGTGTAAATAAACTGAATACCTACATCGTAGCTGGCTTCATGTTGTGTACAAGTTGACCATGTGGTGGCTCAGCCCCATCTGTCAACACCAGAGCTCACTGTCAGAAACACACACTGCTCGAGCAAAACACACTCGTCACACACTACTGTCAGAGTAGTTAACAGATGGAATGCATTAGGAAGTGATGTGGTGGAGGCTAACCCCATACAGTTTCAAATGTAGATATGACATAGCTCCATAATGGAATGGAGCCACAGCTCTGGCTCCATTCGGACTGCCCTCCGGTGGTTCATTGCCTGAACTGTGGGGGAGGGGGGGATCTGTGGCCTGTGGCTCTTTGGGGCTGGTTGCTTTGAGTTGCTCTTCTACTGAGTTCTTGGGGTTTAGCTCTCCATGCATTTCATATCGTGGGCATGTCCAAAGTCCCGGTGGATGGCCTGTCGCAGTTTATTCCCTTGTTCACGGAATGGATGGGGGATGCCGACATGTTCAGTGGGGTCTGCCGGAAGTTCGGGCCCCAGAAGGTGGACCTCTTTGCGTCGGGGTAGTCGAGGTATCGCCCCGTTATGTGGTACCCTTCCCCGACTGTGAGGCCTTCATGGTAGATGCCTTTTGGCAAGGCTGATCGAGGTGGGGTTACCTGTACCTCTTGCTCCCCGGTTCATCTGTTGCTTCAGTTTCTGGTTCAGCTCGAGACCTATCGAGGTAGGGTTCTCCTTCTGGCCCCATGGTGGCCAGCCCAACCTTGGTTTCAGGCGCTGCTTGCTCGGTGTACGAACCCTGTGCGCTCTCCACGGCTCCACATCTTTCAGCAGATTAGGCTTGTGAGGTACCTTGCTGGTTCGCTCTACTCTTCTGCGCTTCACGTTTGGAGTTTCTGATGCAGGTGTATCACCATCAATATAGTGACTAGGTGGCTTCTCTAATGGTGTTCCATCTGCGGTTTTCTTCTCGGCGACAGTATGACGTTTCTTGGCGGTCTTTTCGCCATTTCCGTTCCTTGTCCTCGGTCTCGGATTGCATTGTGTTGACTTTTCTTTCTTGGCTCTTTCAGGACAGGCATTTTATGCTGAATACTGTCGCCTTGTATCGTTCAGCACTGGCGGAGCCGCTCCAGCTTGCGTTCGGGGTGGATGTCTCTTTAGTTCTGTTTCACAAGCTTTCTCGTGCCTTTTTTCCAACTCCGGCCTGCTCATGCGCCACCTGAGCCATCCTGGTCTTTGGACTGGGTGCTCTTCTTTAACTCTTCTCCTCAGTTTGTGGTGACCCCTTCAGTCCAAAACTGTTTCCAGAAAGCTTTATTCTTGTTGGCTTTGGCTTCTGGGGGACGTGTCGGGAGCTTCATGCTATCCTCAGGCGTAAGGGCTTTAGCTCTTTTGGTCCGTGTGGACGTTTTGTTTGTTTTCATTTATATCCTTCTTTTCTGGCGAAGAACGAGACAGCGGGCTTTCGGAGGGGTCCATGGATCATTGATGCTTGGTTCGTCAGGCTGGGAGTGCATCATGTTTTGTCTGATTTTGGCTTTACGCCATTACCTGCGCGCCTTGGCTTCTATGTCCGGGAACACGATTTGTTCTGACCCAGTTTCTCGTGTTCCCTGTTTCAGGGCTCGGGTCTCTTGGGTCGTTCGCAGGGTTATCAAGTCGAGCCAGCCTGCGGTCTACCCTCTCACTCGTGATGATTGTAAGTTTGCAGCTTTGGCCACAATGTTTGACAATACTGTACGTCTTGGACAGATATTCGGGCATGAGGGTTTTGGAGATCGAACAGGGTCCTGGCTGCCCAGTATCTTGTCAATGTGTTGAGCCCTCAGTGGTCTTGTCTCGCTTTGGGTTAGCGGTAGCAGCCAGTTGACTCATCTTTGTTATGAGTGGTGTGGTGCGCCACTGCAGATTTGTCAAAATTTCATCTATTTCGAAAAGTATGAAAGTTTTGGCTACGTATATGGTTTTCTGTATTAAGTATCTTTTGTTATGTGTGGTGTATAAATTTGCAATTACTGTATGTACTTGGTCAGTCCAGCTTATAACTGTGGATGCTCTTTGTAAACCAAAGCCAAAATATTCTAAATGGGTACTGAATAAAAATTTTGTACTATACTTTGACCTCTGATTCATATCACCTCAGCTTTAAAATCAACTCAAACATTATTATAATTTATTCATGATATGATCTTGCTTTTGATGATAAAGTAAAATAATTTTTACACAATTTAAACAAAATTTAAATTGTAAATGCACTTGTTAAACAACGAGCACTTTGCAATTAATGTCCAAGTTCACTTTTCTGAACTATACGATAAGGATCCCACACCGGATAAGCCAGACATCTGGATAAGCAGAATTCTTACCGGGAAAGTTAAAAAAAAAATAATTCAAAATTTTTTTGAACCAACATAATTAAAATTTCCACACACAATAAATAAAAAATATATTTTAAAACAGAAACTTAAGGTTGTAGTTCATCATCTTGTTTGAAAATGAAGATCTTGAAGTGTGTAATTCTTGATAATTTACATAACATATTATCTGGTTTTCTGGATTTCTGTCTGGATATGGCAAAGTTTTGCCAGAACTTGACTTACTGTGTGCAGTCTAGTTCAGTGGGCTTTGGATAACCAAGCCTCGGCAGTATTTGCTATAAATAGTTAAGTGTCAAGCCTTTTATGAACTAATATGTGACTAGTGAACATTTATGAAATATTACTATGCCTACAGGTGTATGTTGAGGCATCTGGTGCTGAGCCTAATGACTTCTTCACTGGATCTTGCATGTACTGCATCCTAGACCGTTACGAAAACACCATCACACTCTACTGCCCTCTCCCAGACACTAGTAAAGGTATCTTGTATATTACTCTCCTGTTCCTCCTCTCTCTCTCTGCAATAAATATTGATTTTTTCACAAGCCTAATTTTATAAATACTGTGTACTTTAAAGTGAATAGTAAATTCAGTTATCTACAACTTTTAACCTAAGCATTTTAGGATATTGTAAAGTTCTCTGAATATATGATTGCCAGGCTGAGAATGAGATGATTCAGAAAAAATATTTATCACATATTTTTGTAAGCCTCAGCACTTACTAAAAAAATTTGGAATATTAAACTTGATATCCATGTATCACCCTTTGCCAGTTGTATGCATTAGGCGTACGGTATGTATCTCTGGGGGGAGCCCCTACAGCTTCCCGGAGCTATCCATGGCTGATATGGATACCCCAACTATTTTGCTTCAGTCGATGTGGGAGGAGTTCTAGGCCTACCGGGGACCACGAGCCAGAACCTGGCCCCCTCACAGAGGCACGTGGAGCAATGACACATAGAAATGCACATGTGATTTGGAGCATTCTATATCTGCCATCGACCGTGACAGGCACCCAGAAAGGTGAGCGCCACAAAACAAACCCCTATTCTGGTTAATAACGAAAATTGACAAACGAGTGGATAGAACTTCCCAAAAGAAAAACAGGCAAACAAGCATGACGTCACAAGAGCCGCACCGCATGTCTGCGCAGCTTCCCCCCCACCTCCCCAGGAGGGAATAGGGAAAGCCCCAGACCCTCACACCGGCGATCCCCGCCCCAGTTCGTCGGCTGATGGAATCATGTATGGTCGTGTGGCTCCAGCTCCAGTCTTCTCTCAGTGCTGTTCATTGTTTTCAGTGCTGCTCTTACCATGGTCATGTGAGCTGGGAGTAATATTCTCAGGTACTCGGGCTGCATGTGCTTAGGGTCTCTTTCCCTGAGTGCCCTGTAAGTACCGCCCTTGGGGCTTGGGGTTTTCTTCCACAAGTCGTCTTGGGTCTCTCTGTTGGCCTTTCGCTGCTTGGCATTTGGTCGCCTCAAGTGTTTGGGGGTTTTCCTCCATTGTTTACCTTGGGGTAAGTGGTAGTTATTGCACTGGTGGGGTGCAGGGTACTTGTGTAGCTAGTTTTCACCTATAACAGTGGCTGGCTCTGTTCCCTCTGGGTATGTTGTCCACTTGTGTAGTTTTTCTTTTCTTTTTGTTATTGGCTGGTGGGGGGGGTCTGCCTTGTGTTCTCATGCCCCTCCTTATATTAGGGTCGTTTTGTGTGGTGGCACCCCCTGCTTTGCCCTCATGAGTGGACACGCCCCATGGGTTCAGCTTTTAGCAGTTTGCTTGGTAGTTTGGGGCACCGGTTAGCAGTGCCCTGCCTGGGATAACCCTTAGCCAGACCCAGTCTAGGGGCCCTGGAAAACCCTGCGGAGGCTCTCGGGTCCAATGGAGGAGACCCTTGCGTCCCCTCTCGCTTTGTGCGAGTTTGAGGGTTGCTCTGTCCCCTTGTCTCAGGGTGACACTCATTGTTTTTTGCCTCCGTCATGCTGCCTGTTGGGTCGGTGACACATTTGACCCCGAGTCCTGCGAGCTGTGTTGCTTGTTCGTGACTCAATTCACCCAAACTGATGATGATGTTCTTTGGGTGCAGGCAGCATGCGCATTGCAGGGTAGGTTAAGTAATTGCAAAGTACTCGGGTTGTCGCTTCCCCGGACGCCCCGAGGTTGCCTCGCTTTGCCTATAGGGACTCGGACTTGGGGGTGTTGGTCGCTTCAGCCTTGGTTCCGTCTGCGCCCCCTCGTTCTTTCCCTTTGGTGGTTCATTCGGTCCCCCCTCTTGCTTCCAGTCTCGAAGCGTCTGAGGGCTTCGGGGTCTTTGGAGTGGAGGTTCCTGGGGTTGGGGAGGAGCAAACTTGGGGGCCTTGGGCTCCATTGAACCCCGCCTGGATTTTCCATCCTACTGAGTGGGGCTTCCTGTTGCAAGGAGTGGGGTTCCGCCTTTTTTCCCCTCTGCGTACAATTTGGACTTGGGTTCTGCTGCTCCCCAGGTTCAGTTCCATGTCCCTGTGGAATCTTCGGTTCCATCTTTCCGGAGGTTTTCGGCTTCCCACGTCTCACCGCCTGAGGTGGGGTAGGCCATTGCGGCTTGCTTCCTGCATGACCCGGAGTTGGCTTCTATAATGGATCCTTCTTCATTCAGATTTGGATCAACGTGTCCTTACTGGGTGCATTATGAGGTTCTGGTGTCATCCTGTCTTGCAGACTGTCCCTTGTTTTCGTTGGATGCTTGTGACGCGTTCTGTCGGACCCGCACATTTGAGTGGCAAAGCATTGACGGTGGTCCAGGTTTACCTAGGGGGCGATTTTGAGCATCTTATGAGTGCCTTTTTGCTCCTGCCCTTTTCGGGATGTTGGTGCGGTTCAGCTTCATGTGCAGGTTCCTTCCCTGTTGGCTGCACTTGTGGCTGAGGACTTACGCGCTCGTGGCTTTTTAGCTTCGGTCCTGCATTTCTTTTCCCTCCTGGCGTCGTCTTCGAATTGGCTTGCGGAGGATGTAGAGGCGCTTGGGGCCGTTCCTGGGTCTGGTGCCTTAGTCTTGGCTGCTCGTGTGTCGTCTGCTCTTTGGAAGCTGTTTGCGCCTATCTTGCGGGAGACGTTGCTGCGGTTTTTCGCTGTGCGTTTTGTGTGTCAACAGGTGGTCCTCACTTCCTCTTTGGAATCTGCTTGGACCCTGACTCTTAGGTTGTCTTCTTCCTTCTTGTTCTCTGCTTTTTGAGGCCTCTGCGGTTGAGCGTTTTATTCAGGCGGCTTCTTCCACTTGCCGCCCTATGTCTGAGTTGTTGGTGCTCCAGCGGAACCGGAGGGGTTCCTTCCCAGCGGGGTCATGCCAGGGCTCACGGTTCCGTTCGTCGGGGTATGCAACAGGTGTCGGGTTCAGTGCCGGTGCCGCCTGCGGTCCTGCCTGTGCCTGGTTGGCGCGATGTTCGCTCTGCTCGCAGGTTGGGGTCTCGTAAGGGGCAGCGGCCCTTTCACGGTTCGCCCCATTGACGGGGCAGTGGGGGGGAGGCTTGCTCTGTTCGCTCACAGCTGGTCTCGCGATTTGTGGGCTTTTCGAGTTGTTTCTCTCAGCCTGCAGTGGCATTGGGTGGCTCCTCCTCCTTTGGGGCTAACGGGGCAGGCTTCCTCTCCTGCACTGTGTCGGGTCATCTTGGAGTGGGTGCGCTTGGGCGTGGTCAAAACGACGACGTCTCTCAGGTGGGTTTCCTGCCTGTTCCTAGTTCCGAAACGGGACTGTGCGGACCTGCTGTTCATTCTGGACTTGTCTCATCTGAACTCTTGGGTTTCTTTCCCCTCGTTTCGGATGACCACTCTGTTTCAGGTCCGGCTTCTGTTGGAGCCGGGCGCTTGGATGGTGTCCCTGGACCTCAAAGACGCATATTGGCACGTCCCTATTCATCTGGGGTTCCGGGACTGGCTCGGTTTTGTTGTGGGGTTTCAGAGTTACCACTGTCATTGTCTCCCTTTTGGGTTGAATCTGGCACCTCGTGTGTTCACTCATCTTACCCGGGTCGTGGTGGCCCCTCTACAGCTGTTAGGTGTCCGGGTGTTGGCTTACCTCGACGACTGGCTGGTTTGGGCTCCCAGTCAGTCCGCGTGTCTGCTTGCCAGGGATTTGGTGCTTTCCCAGCTCGCTGGGTTCGGGTTCCTGTTGAACTGGAGGGAGTCCCGTCTGGTTCCCTCCTAGGTTCGGACCTGGCTGGGTCTTATGTGGGACTCTCAGACCACTTCCTTGTCTCTTCCTCCGGCTGCGGTCTCACCTGTGCTTGTTTCTGGGGGCTTCCGGGTCTCCCGGTGGATGCTCGAGGGTCTGTGCGGGAGCCTGAACTTTGCAATGTTGATCTACCCGCCGAGTCGGGTTTGGCTGCATCGGCCGTTCAGGTTCCTTCGGGGATGTCCCTTCGCCTCTCTCGCGATCACTGGGTTCGTTCCCCGGGGCTTTGTGTCGGCTACTGTGTCGCCAGTTTCCTCTTTGGGTTTTACGGGGTTCATTGCCTTGGTGCCTTCCCAAGCCCTCGCTCGATGTGTTCACGGACGCGTTATCTCTTGGCTGGGGCTTTGTAACCAGTGCTCACCAGGCCGGCCAGGGGGGGGGTGGGGTCCGTCCTTCCGTCGAGTCCACAGCACAGTGCTGGAGTTCGCGGCGGTGTGGTTTGCACTTCGGAGGGTTCGGGTCGCCCATGGATCGACGATCCGGCTCCACTCAGACTGCTCCCCGGTGGTTCATTGCCTGAACCGAGGGGGTTCAATGTGGTCCTTGGTTCTTTGCGGTTAGTCGTTTCGAGTGACTCGTCTGCTAAGTTCTCGGGGTTTGGCTCTCCTAGCGGTTCACGTCCAAGGGGTGTCCAACGTCCTGGTGGACGGCCTGTCCCGGTTCATTCCCCTGTCCACGGAATGGACGGTCGACACCGACTCATTCAGTTGGCTCTGCCAGACGTTCGGGCGCCCAGAAGTGGACCTCTTTGCGTCAGTGTGGTCCAGACATCTTCTGGTATATGTGGCGCCCTTCCCCAACTGCGAGGCTGTCGGGATCGACGCCTTTTGGCAGGACTGGTCGAGGTGAGGGGTTCCTGTACCTCTTTTCCCCGGTTCAGCTGTTGCTCCAGGTCCTGGTTTGCTTGGAGACTTACCAGGGGCAAGTAATCCTCTCGACCCCATGGTGGCCGGCCCAGTCGTGGTTTCAGGTGCTGCTTGCCCGATGTCCGAACCCAGAGGTTTTTCTACGGCTCTGCCTCTTTCAGGAGATCAGCCCGGTCTGGTACGAGACTGGTTCGCTCTTCTCCGCGAGTCTTCGGGTTTTGTGTTTTTGACTCGTGTTCATCACCATCTCTATGGTGATCAAGTGGCTTCCTTGCTGGTTTCCCTGTGGGGAACCAGCAAGAAACCTGCGGGTTTCCTCCCAGCGGTTTCCTGGCGATCCTTCAGGTTCTTTTTGTCCCTTCGTCGTTGCTCTTCGCTTTCGGTTCAGATGGTGGTGTCCTTTCTCTCTTGGTTGTTCCAGGACCGTCATCTTGTGTCTAATACTGTTGCCTCGTATTGTGCAGCACTGGCGGAGCTGCTGCACCTTGCTTTTGGTATCGATGTTACTGCTGCACGGTTTCGCAAGCTGTCTCGTGCGTTTTTTCACCTCCAGCCTGCTCCTGCGCCGCCTGAGCCGCCCTGGTCTTTTGACAGAGTGCTCTCCTATCTTTCTTCTCCTCGGTTTGTTGTGGCCCCTTCGGTTCGGGATTGTTTTGATAAGGTTCTTTTTCTGTTGGCATTAGCCTCTGGGGGTCGTGTGGCAGAGCTTCATGCTCTTCTCCGGCACAGAGGTTTTTGCTCTTTTGGTCATGGTCATAGGTTTGTCCGTCAGCAGCTGTCTCCCTTTTTTCTGGCGAAGAATAAGACTGCTGCCTTCCGGAGGGGTTCTTGGGTTGTTGATGCTTGGTTTGTCAGGCCGGGGGTTCATCATGTGTTGCGTCCGGTTGCGCCCCTCCGCCGTTATCTGCGCGCCACGGCTTCTGTGTCAGAGGACGCTCTTTGGGTTAATCTGGTTTTCCTTCTTCCCTGTTCGTGGTTTCGGGTCTCTCAGGTTGTTTTCAGGGTAATTAAATCCAGCCAGCCTGCAGTCTATCCCCGTGCCCATGACATTCGTAAGTTTGCTGCTCTTGCTGCCGTCTTTGGCAATATGTCTTGGGCTGACATTCGGGCGCGGGGTTTTTGACGGTCGAACAGAGTCCTGACTGCATGCTACCTTGTGAACGTTCTGGGGCCCAGTTGGGTCTGTGTTGCTTTGGGTCGGCGGTTGCCGCCCGTTGTCTCGACTTTGAGTTGAGGAGTGAAGCACCGACCGCCTCCCGGGGTAAGTCCCCTTATTTCTTTTGTTGTCTTTGGTAAAGTAGCTCCGGGGAACCGTAGGGGCTCTGCCCAGAAAACCAGTGTCGAATGTAATGAAACATCATTTTCTGGGCGAGTTCTGAAGGCTCCCTGGCAACCCTCCCTCCAACCCTTGTTTGCTCGTTTTTTTGGGGGGAAAGTTCTGTCCACTTATTTGCCAATTTTCATTGTTAACCAGAATAGGGATTTGTTTTGTGGCGCTTACTTTTCTGGGTGCCTGTCCCGGTCGATGGCAGATATAGAATGTTCCAAATCACATGTGCATGTCTATGGGCCATTGCTTCCCGTGCCTCTGTGAGGGGGATAGGTTCTGGCTCGTGGTCGCTGGTAGGCCTAGAACTCCACCCACATCGACTGATGTAAAATAGTTAGGGTATCCATATCAGCCATGGATAGCTCCGGGGAGCCTCCATGACTCGCCCAGAAAATGGAGTTTCATTACATTCAACGCTGGTTTTTTGAACAGCTTTTGTATTCATATTGACAAGGATCATGAACAAATAATTGAACATAGATGGTTTTGGGATTTTTTGACAGAAGCGTTAGAAGAACTTCAAATTCCAGCCTACAAAGAGGAAGAGGTAGATCCATCAGGAGGTGAGAGCAGCAGCAACAACAGTGGTAGTTGTAGTGGTGTTGCATCCATGTCTTCTGCTGCCTCCCCTGCTGAGAGTGCTGCCAGCCCTGCCAGCTGCTCTAGCAAGGACAGTGGGGTTAGTGCTTATACTAGTATCTGCACTGTGGTTTAGTCCACCAACAGCAGAATACCCACTCTTAGTTGATTTAGCTCTATTTATTTATTGTAAGAATGGGGTATTATCAAATGTTTTAAACAAAAAAAAGTGCACTTGCACTCAAACATTAGACCTTGAGAAACCTTGGGAAAGAGTCATCATGTCCTGTTGGAAATTAAATTATTCTTTGTGATATAATCTAGATGAGAATGGGGACATTGAAACAGTTGATAAACTCGATTTCAAGAGAGGACAGTATGGGAAACTTTGAAATTTCTTTAATGAGGTTTAATTGGACAGACTTGTTGCTAGAAAACAAGAACATAAGAACAAAGGTAACTGCAGAAGGCCTATTGGCCCATACGAGGCAGCTCCTATATATAACCACCCAATCCCACTCATATGCATATCCAACCCACGTTTGAAACAATCGAAGGACCCCACCTCCACTATGCCACGCGGCAACTGGTTCCACAAATCAACAACCCTGTTACTGAACCAGTATTTACCCAAGTCTTTCCTAAATCTAAACTTATCCAATTTATACTAATTGTTTTGCATTCTGTCTTGTGTTGATACTTTTAATACCCTATAAATATTCCCTTTGTTATGTCCATTCATCCACTTGTAAACCTCTATCATGTCACCCCAACTCTTCGCCTTTCCAGTGAATGCAATTTAAGCTTTGTTAATCTCTCTTCATATGACAGGTTTCTAATTTGGGGAATTAACTGCACAATCTAAATGGAGTCTAACCAGAGCAAGATATAGCTGAACAACACCAGGTGTCTTGTTACTAACGCTTCGATTAATAAATCTCAGTGTCCTATTTGCCTTATTACGAACATTATTGCATTTATCCTTTGGTTTTAATTCTTACTTATCATAACTCCTAGATCCCTTTCGCAATTTGACTTTGCAGTCTCAACACCATCTAGCTCGTATTTTGTAACTCTATCATCATTACCTAGCCTCAAAACTTTACATTTATCAGCATTAAACTGCATCTGCCAATCTTTTGACCATTTCAAAACCCTTTTTAGATCAACTTGAAGTGATTGTGAGTCGTCTTGTGTTAATTTCCCTACCGATTTTTGTATCATCGGCAAATTTGCAAAAGTTGCTACTCCAACCGAAATCTAAATCATTTATATATATTATAAACAACAGAGGTCCCAGGACAGAGCCCTGAGGCACTCCACTTACAACATTTTCCCACTCTGACTTAACCCCATTTATACTAACTCTGTTTTCCTTGGTATAGCCATGCCCTAATCCAACTTAATAGCACCCCCAATACTATGAGCCTTTATCTTTTTAATTAGTCTTTCATGTGGCACTGTATCAAAAGCTTTGCTAAAGTCAAGGTACACAACATCACAATCCTTACCACTATCAACTGCCTCATATGGAAGTAAATGAGATGTATGCCAAATTTTGAAAAATATACGATGAAGGCATGTAGATATTCGTACCAAAACAGAGATATGCAGGGCCAGAAAACAGGATTGGTTCAACGGAAATTGTGAGAGGGCCAGAGAGGAAAGGCAAGAAAATGGGTTCAGTATAGGAAGAGGCCTAAGCTGCAAACATACCAGCACTACAAGCAAGCAAGAAACAATTACTCAACATGGGGGAGAAAAGGAGAAAGTAATTTTGAGAAAGGTATAGCAGACAAATGTAAAACAAATCCAGGCCTTTTCTATAAATTCATTAAAAGCAAGCTGCATGTAAAGGATAAAATCCAGAGATTGAAAATGGGGGAACAGGACTTCCGAGAATGAAAAAGAAATGTGTGAAACGCTAAATGAACAGTTTCAAAGTGTGTTTGTACAAAATGAGGATTTCAGAGAGTCGGACCCCAATACCAATTCCAGAGCACATCATAGAATACATAGGTATCTCTAGACGAAGTTGAAAAATTACTCGAGGGGCTAGGAAGAAATAAAGCAGTTGGACCTGATGGAGTTTCACCTTGGGCGCTGCGAGAATGTGCAACCGAGCTGTGCATTCGACTCCAATTAATATTCCAGACATACTTTTGCACAGGAATCTTAGTAGATATATGGAAAAGACAAACATAGTTCCAATCTATAAAAATAGTAGTCAAGAAGATCCTCTAAATTATAGACCTGTATCATTAACAAGAGTGGTAGTCAAAACACTAAAAACGATAGTTAAAGCAAAATGGGTTAAACACCTAGAAAGTAATGACATAATAATGAACAGACAGTATGGTTTTCAGACAGGAAGATCCTGTGTAACAAATCTATTTAGTTTTTATGATAGAGCCACAGAGATACTGCAGAAAAAGAGGTGGTTTTGACTGTCTATCTGTACCTAAAAAAAAAATTTGATAGTCCCACACAAGAGGCTGTTCTGGAAACTGGAACATACTGGAGGGGTGACAGGGAGACTTCCAAAATTGATGAAAATTTTTCTAACCGACAGACAGATGAGGGCGGTAATCAGAGACAATGTATTTGACTGGAGGAGTGTTACTAGTGGAGTACCATAGGGTTCTGCTCTTGCACCAGTAATGCTCATCATCTACATAAACAATCTACCAGAAAGGAAAGGAAGGTAAAAAACTTCCAGAAGGAGGGAACCGAAGAACCCAAGGGAACTCGGACCCGAACCCGGGGAGGAGTCGAACTCGTAACAAAATCGTACAGGGAGGGGGAAAGGAAAAACCCTTTCCCCTGTAACAACAAACCCTGTGCTAAGGGTACCAAACACCCAAGCAGGGACAAGTGGGACTCAGGCCCCCTCAAATCAACTCCTCCCCAGCCCCGGAATCCTCCATGTCAGAACCCGGAGCTGAGCCGTCCTTCAAACCCTCTGCCTTTGGAGGGAAAAGCAGAGTCTACCAGAAAAGCAGGGATGAAGGAAGCCCACTGGTGTGGCCCAAAAGCTCCGGCAGGAGGACCAGGCTTGAATGCCTCCGTCGCTGATCCGGAAGGGGCAATCCCCGAAGCCACCCGAGTCTCACTACAGTATAATTCAGCGGAGCAGCAACAGGGCAGACGGTGAATGTCACCCCAAAACGGGGACAGAGCAACCTTCAAACTCGCACAAGGCGAGGTGGGACTCAGAGGTTGTTTCAGGGTCGTTCCTTCTGCTCTCGCGATTGATGGGTTCGGATCCCGGGAGCCTTGCGTCGGCTGCTGCGGCACCGGCTTCCTCTGCAGATTTTTCAGGGTTCTGTGCCATGGCACGTCCCGAAGCCCTCGCTCGATGTGTTCACCGATGCCTCGTCTCTCGGCTGGGATTTTGTGACAAGTGCTCACCAGGCTGGCCTGGGTCGGTGGGGTCCGTCCTTCCATCGAGCTCAGCATGGCGAGGGAGTTTGCGGCGGTGTGGCATTCGCTTTAGAGGATTTGGGTCGCTCGAGGAGCAACGATCTGGCTTCATTCGGATTGCTCCCCGGTGGTTCATTGCCTGAACCGCGTGGATTTGATGCAGTCCTTGGTGCTTTGGGGCTGGTCGCTTCGGGTGACTTGTCTGCTGAGTTCTTGGAGTTAGGCTTTCCTGGCAATTCATGTTCAGGGGTGTCAAACGTCCTGGCGGACGGCCTATCTCGGTTCATTTCCCTTTCCACGGAATGGACGATCGATGCCGACTTGTTCAGTTGGCTCTGCCGGACGTACGGGTGCCCAGAGGTGGACCTATTCACATCGGCATGGTCGAGGCGTCTTCCACTTTATGTGGCGCCCTTCCCAGACTGCGAGGCCGTCGGAGTCGATGCCTTTCGGCTGGACTGGTCGAGGAGTTACCTGTACCTCTTCCCTCCGGTCCAGTTATTGCTCCAGATCCTGGCTCGGTTGGAGACTTGTCAAGGGAGAGTAGTCCTGTTGACTCCTTGGTGGCCGGGCCAGCCTTGGTTTCAGGCGCTTCTTGCTCGATGTCCAAACCCAAGGGTCTTCCCGCGGCTCTGCCTCTTTCAGCAGATCGGTCCGGTCGGTTATGTGGCTGGTTCGATTTTCTCCTCCACTCTTCACGTCTGGTGTTTTTGACGTGGGTGTATCACTACTTGTATGGTGATCAGGTGGCTTAGTTGATGGTATCCCACCTGCGAATTTCATCTAAATGGCAGTATGAAATTTCCTGGCGGTCCTTTCAGCAATTTTTTGTCTCTTCATAGGTTGTCTTCGATTCTGATCGGGTTGTTTTGTCCTTTCTCTCTCAGTTGTTTCAGGACCATCATCTTGTGCCAAATACTGTTGCCTCATTTCGTGCGGCACTGGCGGAGCCGCTGCAGCTTGCTTTCGGGGTGGATGTCTCTTCTGATCTGTTCTGCAAGCTTTCTCGGACGTTGTTTCACCTCCGGTCTGCTCATGCGCCGCCTGAGCCATCCTGGTCGTTGGACCGGGTGCTCTCTTTTCTCTCTTCTCCTCGGGTTGTGGTGGCCCCCTCGGTTCAGGACTGTTTTTCTAAGGCTCTTTTCTTGAGGGCATTGGCCTCTGTGGGTCGGGTTGGGGAGCGTCATGCTCTCCTCCAGCGCAAGGGTTTCTGCTCTTTCAGTCCTGGAGGTCATTTCGTTCTTTTGCATCCTTCTCGTTCTATTATGGTGAAGAATCAGTCTGCTGCTTTCCGAAGGGGTCCTTGGGTTGTTGATGCTTGGTTAGTTCGGCCGGGGGTGCATCATGTTTTGTGTCCAGTTGCGGCTCTTCGCCGGTATCTGCGCTCCACGGCCTCCGTGGCAGGGAACATGCTTTGGGTGGACCCGGTTTCCCTTCTTACCTGTTCCAAGGTGCAGTTCTCCCAGGTCGTCCACAGGATTATTCGGTCCAGCCAGCCTGTGGTCTATCCCCGTGCCCACAACATTCGTAAGTTCACGGCTTTCGCTGCTGTTTTTGGGAATATAGTCCTGGGCTGACATTCGGGCACAGGGCTTTTGGAGGTCGAACAGGTTCCTGGCTGCACGATATCTCATTTATGTTCCTGGGTCTTCTCAGGCATTTGTAGCCTTGGGTCGCAGGTTGGAGCCATTTATCTCGACTTCGAGTTGAGGAGCGAGTGACGACCGCCTCCCGGGTATGTCCCTCTTTTTCTTTGTCTTTGGTTAGGTAGCTCCAGGGATCCGAAGGGGCTCTCCACAGAAAACCAGCATTGTATGTAATGAAACGCCATTTTCTGGGTGAGACGAGGAGGCTCCCTGGCATCCTTCCCTCCCTCCGGTTGTTTTTTTTTTCATGTTTTTTGATACTCGGCCTCTGAACTGAGGAGAGTTGCCAGCGTGGAGGTCTAGGACCCCCCTGTCCCCCTCCCGGGGAGGGGGGGGTTGTGCAGACAGATGCGCGGCATTTGTGGTGACGTCATACTGTACTTGTTTCCTTGGTTTTGATTGGGGAGTTCTGTTGCTAGTTCGGCTTTCGGTTTGCAATTTATTTGACCAGCAGTAGTTTGTTTTGGAATTCCAACCTCTCTGGGTGCCTGACCTGGTAGATGGCAGACAAAGACTGCCTCCAATTACACGGGGGTGTCTTTAGGCCATTGCTCCTCGTGCCTCTCTTGAGGGTGGCCAGGTTCTGGCTCTGGTCCCTGGTAGGCTTAGAACGCCTTTGATTGACTGTTGCCATGGTCTAATATAAACACATCAGCCCAGTATAGCTCCGGGGAGCCTCCAGGTCTCACCCAGAAAATGGCATTTCATTACATTCAACGCTGGTTTTATTCATCAATGAAAAATATGTAAAAAGTTGGAAACTTTATGATTTAAGCAAAAGAAAGTAGACTTGTTGGCCTTAATTAGCCTAGAAATATTCATTTTTGGGCTCTTTCCTCTAAAGGTTTTCACTCAGGATGAACCCAACTTCATTGCCATTTGTCGATCTACTACAAATTATGAATCTCAAAAATATATCTTCATTATTTCTATTTTCATACTATCTCTTATACTTTCACATGTTGCTGCTTTTTTTCTTTTTCTTGCTCTGTTGTATTTAATTGCAGCGTTAATCCTCGCATCAATCTTTCCGTGGTGTATTTCCCTTTCAAACAAATGGTAACTGATTCAAGTGTGTAACTCTCACATAAAGAGTGCAATTCTTCATTGTATAAATGTTAAATGAGTCTTGAAGGGTTTTTTACATTTGAAAGTGTCTGAAATGTCTGATGGAACTTACGGGAGGAAGTTTGTAAAAGGAGCAGTTCATTAAAGTTCATGCTATAAATATGTAGGACATGGTTTATATAATCAAAATGTGAAGCAGTTGAATAAAGTCATGTAGAACAACCATACCATCTTTAACTTAGATTGTGTAGCAGGAAGTAAACAAGTACAGCATTCAGTTGTATTGAAACACTTTGCTATTTTTCTCAGTGTAATTTGCCACTGAGACTACCCTCTCATTCATCATCTCATCACTTCCATGTAGGCATCCTTCCTTCCTTTCTTTATGTTCCTCTGACTTGTCTTCCTTCTCCCCTCCTCTTTTATTTCTCTTTTCATCTTCCTTCTCCCCTTCCCTTCCCTCTTGTTCCTCCCTTCCTTTAATCTTCCTTCTTCCCTTCCCTTCCCTCTTGTTCCTCCCTGCCTTCTCTCGTCCTCCTCCCTGCCTTCTCTCGTCCTCCTCCCTGCCTTCTCTCGTCCTCCTCCCTGCCTTCTCTCGTCCTCCTCCTTACCTTCTCTTGTCCTCCTCCCTGCCTTCTCTCGTCTTCCTCCCTGCCTTCTCTCGTCGTCCTCCCTGCCTTCTCTCGTCCTCCTCCCTCCACTCCTTGCCTGTTCTACCTGTTGGTGGTTCCGTGGATCAATATCCTTGCGGCCCAGTCTTTGACCAGGCCACCTGGATGGTGGTGTGGTGAACCAGGCTGTTGTAGCTGCTCCCTCCATTCCTATTTATTTTTCCCCAACCTATCCCTGTAAAAGTAACTAACAAGGGTAATTAACCCATAAAAGTAACTAACTAGTTACTTTTAACTAACAGTAACTAACAGAACATTGGAAGATTATTGGATTTTCACCATTACATAATTTGGCGTTGATGGTCCTGCTCTTGTGGTAACTCATTCTTTTATTTCTTTATCTTGACTCTCCATAAACTCTCACTCTTCCACTTTCAAGATATTCTTTCTTAGCTATTCTCATTTCCATTTTTAAAATGCAGATTAGCAGCAAAGCTCCGACTGAATCCTCCAGTAGCGAGACTGAAAGTAGCAGCAATAGCTCAATTGTCAGTCCATCGGGACCTTGTACTTCATCACTGTCAACTTCATCAACTATACCTGCCAGCAGTCCAGGATCATCTTCCATGCAGGGAAGTGTTGGTGGAATGCCAGGCGCCACGGCCACCACTCCAACCGCCTTCCCCACCACCACCGGCAATGGCAGTGATGGAGAGGATGAGGGGATTGCTGATGCTGACAGTGGTGCCAGTTCATCCAATGTCAACAGTGACCAGAGTGCCAGTGAAGATTCTTCCCTTACCAGTGATAGTGACAGGTGAAAATTTCATATTTTTTTATTGTCAAATTTCATTATAATCGTGGGTAGTCAAAATGACCCTTTTCTTTTATGGATTTCAGAATTTCCATCTCTATCAAAGAGGCATTTCATTATATTCAATTGTTTTTTTGTGGGGGTAACCCCTTTGGCTCCATGGAGCTATCTGGCTAATATGCAATACATTAGACCAGGGCATTAGTCAATGGAGTTCAGCTTACTGGGGACTACAAGCCAGAACCTGGACCCCTCAGAGAGGCACAGGTAGCAATGGCCCCTGAAAAAAAAAACTGTAGTTGGGGATTTTCCTTCTCTGCCATGGACAGGGGTTAGGCACCCAGAAAGGTAGCCATAACAAAACAGACCCCACATGGGAAGAAAATTGTAATCGAAAACCAAACAGACGCAGAATTTGCTCAAATCCCAAGGAAACAAGCAAACGTCACTCCAGACCTCCCCTTCTCGGGAGGAGGAGAGGGAGCCCTGGACCACCCCATGCCGGCTACCCAGCAACTCCAGTTCATTGGCTAATGTGATTTAGGGCTGTTGTCAACTCTGGCCTCGGTTTCCTGGCAGTGTTTTGCCTTAGTGGTGTCCTCTGCTGTTCGTGGTGTGACGGCCAGGTGTACTTAAGTGTACTGGGGCTGCATGTGCTTAGGGCAGCCTTCCCTAAGTGCCCTGTGAGTGCTACAATTGGATGTCAAGGTCATCTTCCCTGGTGCCTTCGGGACACCATTTCCGTAGGAGTTTTTGCTGCTCGGCATTTACTCCGCCCTTGGGACCAGCTGAGGTTTCATGGCCCTTGTTTGGCCTTGGGTGGGGAATGGTGTTGTTGCTGGTTGGGACGTCAAGGTATTGCACAGCCAGCTTACCTATGCAGCAGCTGGTTCTTGTTTCCTCTTGGGACTTTGTACTTTTGCAGAGGTTTTCTTTATCTTTTTGTTTGCCTGGTGGGGTCTGCCTGGTGTGGCTATTGCACCACCTCTAATATTTTGGTGGTCCTCTGCTATTCTCTCGTGACTGTTCACATCCCAGGGGTTTCAGTGTTTTGATCTCCCCCTTGTTAGCTTTGGATCTAATTGGTTAGTAACACCTTGCCTGAGCTTCCTGTAACAGTTGGCCTATGGTCCCTGGAAAACCCTGTCGGGACTCGGTAAAACCTATGGATGCATCTTCAGAGTTCCAACTCACTTCATGGGAGATTGAAGGTTGTTCTGTGCCTTTGTCTCAGGGTGACAGTCACTGCTTTTGCCTCCATCATGCTGCCTGTTGGGTCAACGACACCTTTGACACGGAGTCTGGCAAGTCGTGTTTTCTGCTTGTTCTCCAATTTACCCATTCTGATGACATTGATGTTTGGGTACATGCAGCATCTGCATTGCATGCTAGGTTTAGGTTGCTGCAATGCACCAGGTGGGTTGTCCACCCGGATGCCCCGAGGCTGCCCCAGGTGGGCAGCCGGTTATAGGGACCCGGACTTGGGGGGGGGGGGTTTAGTCACTTTGACTTTGGTTCCATTCGCTTTCCCTTCCCCTTCCCCTGTTGTTCGTTGTGCTCTCCCCTCCCCCCCCCCTCCCCCCTGTTCCCGGCTCCCGGCTCCCAATTTTCTGAGAATTTCGTAGGGGTTTAGTTGATAATGAGACTCGGGTTGATTCGGTGGATGCCCCATCCGGGTTGGTAATGGAGGTTTTTGAGCTCCTCCTCCTGCCGAGGCTTGTGGGTCCTGCCAGCAGACCCTCTTCTTTGCTGCCTTTTCTTCAAGGGTGGAGGGGGTGGAGGACAGCTCTGCCCCAAGGCCTCTGTTGGGGGGTTCCTTGGGCTGTGGGTGTTAGCTCGCTTGCAGTTCTGGGGCTGTTTATCCCTGCTTGGGCTTTGTGTCTTGTGGGCAGGAGGGTTTTTCATCCCTCCTCCCATTTAGTTTTTCCCCCCATTTGCTGATATGATTTCAACACTTGCATCAACTGCATCTCCTTTTGTTGTGGTGGCTATTTTCTTTTCTGTGGGTGCTTCCCTACCTGGCCGCCAGGGCAGCGCTGCAGTTTGTTTACATGTGCCTGGGAGTGTGCGCTCGTGTTTTGGAGGTGTTTTTTCTCCTCCCATTACTGTGTCTCTGTTTTGGTCTTTCTTTTGGGGCGTTTTGCCCTCTCTGTTCCTTTGGAAACGTTTGGGTGTTTTTTTTATATTGACCGATTTAGTGTTTTTCTGTTTGTTTGGGTTCTGGGCCCTAGTTTTTGAGCCCAGTGCCCGTGTCTATTTACTGTACTTGCTCCTACAGCTTTTAACTCTTGGTTTTCGGTCCGTTTCTGGCTGTTTAGGCCGAGGGTTCTGTCTGGGTCTTGTGTTTAGCCCTTCCTTCTGTGGTACGTTTCTGCAGGCAAATGTGGTGGCTCTGCTCTCCTCCGGCACAAGGGTTTCTGCTCGTTTGGTCCTGGTAGTCAGTTTGTTCGGTTGCAGCCTTCTCCTTCTTTTCTGGCGAAGAATGCGACAACTACTTTCCGGAGGGGTCCTTGGGTCATTACTGCTTGGTTGGTCAGGTCGGGACTGCTTCATGAGTTGTCTGGTTGCGGCTCTTTGCTGTTACCTGCGCGCCTCGGCTTCTATGGCCTGGGATGCGCTTTGGGTTGATCCGGTTCCCCTCGTTACCTGTTCCAGGGCTCGGGTCTCCCACGTCGTTCGCAGGGTTATTAAGTCTAGCCAGTTTGTGGTCTATCCTCATGCCCATGACGTTCGAAAGTTTGCTGCTTTGGCTACTGTTGTCAGCAACATGTCTTGGGCTGATATTCAGGTGCTGGGATTTTGGAGGTCGAACAGGGTCCTGGCTGCCCATTATTTGGTCAACATTCCTGGTCCTGAGCGTTCGTGTGTGGCTTTGGGTCGCAGGTTGCAGCCAGTTGTCTTGCCTACGAGTTGAGGAACGTGAAGCGGCTGTCTACCGGGTATGTTCCTCTTTTTCCTTATCTTTGGTTATGTAGCTCCAGGGAGCCGAAGGGGCTCCCCACAGAAAACCAGCATTGAATGTACTGAAATGCCATTTTCTGGGCTAGCCTTGAAGGCTCCCTGGCACCCTCCCTACCTCCGGTTGACAGTTTTGCGTTGTTTTGATGCTTAGCCTCTGAACTGGAGTTGTTGGGTAGCCGGAGCAGGGGGGTCCAGAGCTTCCCCTTCCCATCCTGGGGAGAGGAGGGTTGCGTGGACGAGCGGCGAGGTGTGATGTTTGCTTGTTTCCTTGGAATTTGAGGGGGTTCTGCCTCTGTTCGGTTTTCGGTTGCAATTTTCTTACCATGTGAGGTCTGTTTTGTTATTCCTACTTTTCCGGGTGCCTAACCCTGGTTGATGGCAGATAAGAAAAAACCCAACCACAGGAAGGTTTTCCAAGGGCCATTGCTCCCTGTGCCTCGCTAAGGGGGCCAGGTTCTGGCTCATTGTCCCTGGTATCTGACTTCCAGTGACTATTGCCTCGGTCTAATGTATCGCATATTAGCCTTATAGCTCCAGGGAGCCTACAGGGCTCGCCCAGAAAATGGCATTTCATTACATTCAACGCTGGTTTTTTATCTTAAATTCTTTCTGTTTGTCCTTATATGTGATCCTAAAATTAGGGATTTTGTTTCCAAATACAGAACACTAGTAGGAGACCCTCCAGAGGACAAACTTTCTGATGCTAGCAATTCGCCAGACTACAGAAATGTGTCATCACCTGAAGACAATGGCACCGAGACGAAGGTAAGTTACAAAAATGTTAAGTGTATTAAGATACCGAGATTCTCCCTCACTAAATATTGCAGTATTTTTTTTATAAAAAAGTTGCTTATGCATTTTTCAAGCTGTATTTATAGAAGACAGTGTTTGGTAGCTTCCTCAATTGTTTAGAATTCTTTGCTCCTATGAGATAATGGAATGTAAACATGAAACCTATATCAACTGTTGAAGAATTCAAAGTTCTTATTACCAGTTCTGATTAGAATAGTTTTTAAAATATTATTTTGTTGTATTGCGTTGCTCTTCCTCCCATTTTCATCAAATTTTTCCTTTTTCATAAAAACTATACAAAAACTTTGTTGAGAGATTAGCTATGAATCACAGGATTTAAAAATCGTAAAATATGCACGAAATTATAAAATGCTTTGGCGACTGTGTGAAAAGGTTCAGTCAAAGTGAGTATGTTAGACAGGAAAGGATATAGATGTATGATATATATTATTGTATTGAATGCATAAGAGAATTTGGATTAAATAAAATATATATTTGACAGTGCAAGCAGCTAGTGATCGCTTCACTTTTATGATCATCAGACTAGCAAATGTTTATTATTTCTTTGGCATGTTGAGAATGCATTTTGTGTCCTGAATTGAAACTTACACCATGTGTGTGTATGATAGTAAAATGAATGCTCTTTTCATATATGAACCATACCATTTGGGAATCAGTGATCAACATGCAGTACTGTATAGACAAACTGCTTGAACCGAGATAAAAGGAAGACACAAGACACTGACTCCCTTTGAGAAAAGGTTGAAAAGTTTTCAACTATAAAAACAAAACTCTCATTAACTTGTAACAGGTAATCCTAATGACACTTCCATTTGTTGTCAGGTGCTCCATCCCTCACTTGCTGCCTGATGTTTAATGACATTATGTTCTCTAGGTATTCCCAGGAGACAGACTTTTGAATCCTGCATTTGGGGTTACCGTAAATGCTATTTACACTTCACGACTGTGTACAGCCATTCTCATTGTGTAGGTCTAGTTACCATAACTACCTTAGCTTGTGCTTCAGGACTTTTGTTTCCTAGCATTGTTGATGATAATTGTTCTTCCTTAGAGAATTAAATTCCGTTTCAGAAATTGAACCCAGGCCGAATAGTATCTTGAGACTTTTCCATACAAGAACTGGTGTCGAGTAGGTGATGCTCCTTTGTGGTTTTCCTGGTCACTGAATGTAGTCCTCAAATTTCTTTACTCCTGTCAGTTTCAGGTTTCCCTTTCTCTGTAGAATATCACTATAAAGTCTGTGTTTCTTCTCACACTGGCCAGTGGTCATTGTGTCGTGAGACTTGTGCCAGTCTTTGTTGCTAGTAGAAACTGTATTTGATTTGGTCTTTGTGAAAAGTTTGTCCAATTGCAACCTCCTCGTTCATTTTTGGCAAGGAATGTCGCCTACATTCCATAGGGATCCTTTCCTCATTCCGTATTGGTATGTGTTTTGATACACAGTACATCATACCCTCTGGGGCTTCCTGCACCTCTCACTGTATTGTCTTTTTAAATCCACACACTGTAAGCTTATCAGCTTTATTGCTTTGTTCTTATCTCCATGCACATGACCTCTACAATGTCCTGCTCAAATATTTAGGCCAGTGGGTTCTGAAGGTCAAATTGTACACATGTAGCTTGGTACAGTACCTCTCTTATGTGCCTCACCCGTCATAATTGTGTAGCGCTGGGCTGTTTATCCTCCATCTGATATTGGTGGGCAGCTGAATTCCTGTTGAGGATGCCTAAGTTTACCTTCTCTCCATGGAACCACTGCTGTAAGTTTCTTCATCTTGGATAAGTACCCTATTTTTTTTCTTCAACTTCTGTAGTTTATTGCAATGTGAGAAGCTGCCTCACTTACTGGGGAGTTTTGAGAGTATTGCTTGCTTTGGTACAAATCAAATAATATACACGTGGAAAATACTGGAGGGCCAGGTCCCAAATCTACACAGTAAAATAACAACATACTGGAGTGAACGATATAGAAGAAATGAAGAATAAAAACAGTGAAGAGCAAGGGTGCCATCGGCACAATCAGAGAACACTATATGAACATTAGAGGTCCACGGTTGTTCAACATCCTCCGAGCGAGTATAAGAAATATTGCCGGAGCATCCATTGACATCTTCAAGATAAAACTAGATTTTCTTCAAGAAGTGCTGGACCAACCAGGCTGTGGTGAATATGTGGGCCTGTGAGCTGCTCCAAGCAACAGCCTTAACAAGATCACTTGCGAAAAGCCTTGCTACAGGTTGGGACAAGGTCACATAGATCTTCTCTTGAGGTTATCTTGAGATGATTTCGAGGCTTAGCGTCTCTGTGGCCCGGTCCTCAACCAGGCCTCCTTTTTGTTACACACCCCCAGGTAGCAGCCCGTAGCAGCTGTCTAACTCCCAGATACCTATTTACTGCTAGGTGAACAGGCCCATCAGGATGAAAGAAACTGACCATTTGTTTCCGCCTCCACCGGGGATTGAACCCGGGAACTTCAGGAATACGAATCCCAAGCGCTGTCCACTCAGCTATCAGGCCCCTGATAGTGAGTGTCAGGGGCTTGACAGCTGAGGGGTTAGTATCACATCTTAGTGAGAGATTTGAATTCTTAGTAAATCATAATGGTTTTGGCTTGTGGAGTGTTGGAGGGGCTGCATGTCAAAACTTGGTTGAAATAGTGGATTGTTTCAAGGCATCACCAGAAATATAGCAATAAAGGCTTAGTTGGGGCAGCCGTGTCCAACAGCCTGGTTGACCAGACCATCAACCAGGAGGCTTGGTCAGAGATCGGGTCATGAGGACGTTTATCCCCGGAATCAACACAAGGTAGACACAAGGTAGGTACTGTAGTTACCAAGGATTTGTCATGTTTTAAAGGTAAACATATTTTATTATAGATTTTACTATTATGGGTCAGCATGTATTCCTTATGTTCCATTTACTTAAGTTCATGGTTAGATTTTTGACTGGTATCACTAATTATTCTTATTGATTTGCTCTATTACTAACTTAATTCCAAATACAATTGGAAATGAAATGAGACTTCAGTCCCAGTTGTATTAAATTTTGTATTACTGTAATATCATTTAATCCAATTTACCTGCATTTTAGCATTTGAATTTATGCATCTTCCAAATGATATGATATTATGATTCAGCAAGATTGTTTTTGCTTATTTACATAATGTCATTAATAAGTGTACGTGTGTTGATATGCTGTTAATGTGTTTTGCATGTGTGCACTCATGAGTGTTCAATATCTTCTGCCTTCATAAGTGATCCTTGCACTCACCAGGCAACAGAACACTGAATATGGACTGCTATTAGCAGACCATTACTATTTGTGGGTTTTGTACAGGTTGCTTTGATTATATATGGTTAGCATTTCTAAATAGTATCAGTCATTTTCATAATAAATATTTTAATTTATTATTTATACATTACAGTAATTAACAAATTAGTCATTTGACAGCAGTAAATACATATATTCCAGTTAATCATACTTAGCCTGTAAAAAAAAGAGAGCTGCAGCCAAGGACCCTCTGGCCAGTACATGATCAAGAGGATATCAACAGAAAATTAAATTAGAGACAATGAGAATTTGATGGATAAATTTACAAATTTTAGGTAGAAAATAAAGATTTAAAAACTGTTGAAAGTGTTGTATCAAATCTAGATGTAGGTTACAAGGGAACTGCAAAGTGTAGGGGTTAAATAAAACATACTTAGCTCAAGTGGCTAGACAAAAAATGGCATTTGAATACTGTATAATGAAACTCCCCTTTCTGGTAGAGCCCTAGTGGCTCCTTGAAGATGTGTAGCTGATATGATATGAGAGAGATACCAACCCTGCAATGCTCACTTGATCAAATTTTAAACTAGGTTGGCTAACTAGATGAGCTGATTGGTTCAGGATGGCTGCAATGAACCTCCCATTTTATGTGTATCCCAACCAAAGAACCGTGTTCCCGGGGCCGGAACAGCCCGACCCCGGGATCTGCCTGGTGGGTTCTCGGGGCTGAGGGGCTGACGTTTGGACCCCGTCTGAGTTATTCTACCGTCTGGGCGGGGCTTGCTGTTACGAGGAGTGGGGTCTTTTCACCCCCCCCCCCCTCTCTCCGTACATGTTTTAGGGGGTCAGCCCCTCCCCTGGATTGGTTTCTTGTCCCTTGGATCTGTCGAGTCCATCCTGTTGGTGGGTACGTTTCTCCACCCTTCTTCTTGGGACGGGCCTTCACAGTCATGTTCTCCCTCTTCTCGGGGATCTGCATGACTTTTGGTCTTGGGTGCAACTTTGCCTTCCGTGCCTTTGTGCTTCTCACTTGCTTCTTTGTTTTAGAAAGATCGGGAAGGTTTTAATTCTTCCCGTATTCTTGGAACGTCTGTTGTCTTCCGGTCCTTTCTAGGGCTTATTGGTCCTACTCCAAGCTTCTCGGTTTTCAGTCCTATATCGTTCTTTCATGCTTGTCTCTTCTCTCCATGCACTGTTCTGCGTTGCACAGGGTTGCCAGATTGGGCTCCTTGTATCCCAAATGAGAAGCTGTGCTATGTTTCTTTTCGCTCCTTCCTGCTCTTTTCAGCTATGGTTGGCGGCTGCCCTGTGTACTCTCATATGGGATTCAGTCGTTAACAACACTTTTGTCTATTTTTCTAGTCACATTCGTGGTTTCTTCTTCAGCTCGCGACTTCTGGCGACTGACATCTGGCATCCCTGCTGCACATGCGCCGTGGTTGTTTATTTTGATTTGAGCTGTGTGCAAGTGTATTAGGGTTTTGCGTCCATTTTCTCTCAGGTGCTTCGCCTCTCGCTCTTCTCAATTCTCCAGTCCGTGCCCCATAGCTCCTGGGAGCGTTCTGGATTGTTGCTATGGGGAGGACGCGGGGTTTTCCCTCCATATGGGTGTGGGGCTTCTCCTTCGTCTCTACCCTGAGGGAGCCGGTCGGCCGAGTGGACAGCACGCTGGACTTGTGATCCTGTGGTCTTGGGTTCAATCTCAGGCGCTGGCGAGAAACAATGGGCAGAGTTTCTTTCACCTTATGCCCCTGTTACCTAGCAGTAAAATAGGTACCTGGGTGTTAGTCAGCTGTCACGGGCTGCTTCCTGGGGGTGGAGGCCTGGTTGAGGATCGGGACGCGGGGACACTGAAAGCCCCGAAATCATCTCAAGATAACCTCAAGATAACCCTACTCTTCTGCATGTGCGGTTCAGCCTCCTTCCATTAGTGGTACTCCCAGAATTTTCTCGGCTACGTTGTGTCGTGACACTTTCGTGCCTACGTTCTGCAGGCGAGTTTATGCTGTCTGGCATCTCTTTCGGCCAGGCACTGGTTCATGGTTTTGGGATACGTATATATGAACATCTGAACACAGGTGACTGCAGCAGGCATATTGGGCCATATGAGGCAGCTCCTATTATACCCATCCTGTCCCACTCTTATGCATGTCCAGCCCATGCATTAGGGGCCCCATTCAGATAGGGGCCCTACCTCCACCAGGTTATGAGGTACAATGGTGGGGGTATATGTTATGGGATAAGTGTTCCTGTCTGGATGTTTTGAGGTGACGTTTTGCTGCATTTTTCATGCGGTGGATGCGTGTTGGGGATTGGTTGTGGATTTTTGTTTGGCCCTTCCGTGCTTCCTGGGGCCTTATTTGTTCTTCTGGGTTAATGGTTACAAGGGGGGTCATGGCCCCGTTTTTCGTAGTCTTATCTGGGTCACTCTTCCTTGCACGTCTTGCAGTGCCTGGCTTAGCCCTTCCATATACATTAAATTCTCTGTACGATACTTACCTAGTTGTCCTTACTTAGCTGTGTTTGCGGGACTTGAGCTCTGGCGTTTTGGTCCCGCTTCTTCCTTGTCATTCGCTCATGTGCAGGTTCCTGGGCCTGCTGGGCTCTGATTTTATCTGCGCTTGTAGCTGTGTGTGGTGTCATCCTCCACCACATCGCTGCCTCATGCGTTCCGCTTGTCTACTACTCTGACACTGTAATACTTCTTTCCCATGTCTCTTTGGCTCGTTTGGGCTCCTATTCCACTGGTGTCCCCTGGTGCGTGTGCCCCTGGAGCCCCGTAGTCGTCTTTCTCTACCTTATCCCTTCCTTTGGGAATCTTAATTGTGGTGATCACCTCCTCGTAGCTTGTACTCCTTGGTTCAAATACCGGTCTGGTGGCATACCTTTGCACCTTTCTTCCTTTTTGTCTTGTGTGGGTCATGTCACATAACTGTGTTGGCGTGGCTTGTTGGGACATGACCAGCAGCTCTAGGTGTTGTTGGTCGTGTCCCTTTCATTCCCGTTTTGCTACTTGCCTTCTTTGTTCCTCATCTTCCTTCTACGCTCCTGTCCCTGGCCGTTAGTGCTGGGGCTTTTCTTCTGGTCTTTTCTTGTGTTTTTTCATTTTCTCGTTTTATCCTATACATGGTTGTGTGTTTTGTTTGTGCCTTTTGGCTCTCCTATTGCCAAGTTTGGGTTCCTGGTTTCCTGGCTTACCCGGCCTGTTGGCGTTTTCACGGTCTCACGGTTTCCCTTCTCTAGACTCGCGCGGCGGGTCTGTCGTCTCCGATCTCCTGGTGGGATCCCGGGTGTTGATGTTTTTCTGTACGGCGGAGGTTCCATCTCCTCCTTTGCCGGCTTGGGTTTCCGGCTCTGCTGGCTCCGTGGTCGCACCCGAGATCTTCCCACGGCTTCGCCTCTTCCTAGGCTCGATGGGCACATGGCGGGGCCGGTTCGGTTCTGCCTTGAGTCTTTCACCTTCTGTTGGTGGTCGGGTGGCTTCGTTGATGGTCTCCCACCTGCGTGCTTCTTCTTGGCGGCAATGTGTGGTTTTTGGCGGTCCTTCCTTTTCCTTCTGTCCCTTCTTCAGTAGCTGTGTTTGTTGGCGTGGTCTTGTCCTTCTCTTGTGGAGGTTTGGGGCCGTCATCTTGTCCCATACCGTCACCTTGTATCGTGCGGCGCTGGCAGGGCCGCTACAGCTTGCTTTCTGTATTGATGTTACTTCTGCACCATTTTGAAAACTGTCTCGTGCATTGTTTCACCTCCGGCCTACTTGCACCGCCTGAGCCATCCTGGCCATTGGACAGAGTGCTCTTTTCTTTCTTCTCCTCTGTTTGTTGTGGCCCCTTCAGTTCAGGGTTGTTCTCCAAGGCTCCTTTTCTATTGGCATTGACCTCTGGGGGTCGGGTTGGGGAACTTCATGCTCTCCTCTGGCGCAGGGGTTTCTGCTCTTTCGATCTTTGTGTTGGTTTTGTTAGTCTGCAGCCGTTTCCTTCTTTCCTGGCGAAGAATGAGACTGCTACTTTCCGGAGGGGACCCCTGGGTTGTTGATGCTTGGTTGGTTGGGCCGGGGGTGCATCCTGTTTTGTGTCCTGTGGCAACTCTTCGCCATTTTTGTGCGCCACGGCTTCTGTGTCCGGGGACACACTTTGGGTTGATCCGGTTTCCCTTCTGCCCTGTTCGCGGGTGCGGGACTTCCAGGTCGTCCGCAAAGTTCTTCAGGCTAACCAGCCTGCGGTCTACCCCGTGACCATGGCGTTTACGGCTTCACGGCTCTTGCTGCCATCTTTGGCACCATGTCCTAGGCTAACATTCGGCCTCGGGGCTTTTGGCGGTCGAGCAGGGTCCTGGCTGCTCATAACCTCGTGCACATCCCAGGGCCTCGTCGGGCCTGTGTCGTTTTGAGTTGACGGTTGCAGCCAGTTGTCTAGACTTCACGTTGTGGAGTAGGCAATGGCCGCCTCCCGGGTAAGTCCCTAAGTTTTTCCTCTGTGGGTGGTCAGCTCCGGGGAGCCGAAGCGTTGAATGTAATGAAATGCCATTTTCTGGGCGAGACCCGGAGGTTCCCCAGCATCCCTCCCTCCCCCTGGTTGGCGTTTTTTTCGTGTGTTTTGACATCCAGCCTCAGAACTGACGGGTGGATAACCGACGTGAGGGGTCTGGGGCTCCCCCCTTTCCCCCTCCCTGGGAGGGGGGAGCTGCACAGACAGCGGTGCTGCAACGTGTGACGTCATGATCGTTTGCTCGTTTCTTTTAGGGGAGTTCTATCCACTTGTTCAGTTTTTGGTCTCAATAATTTTACCAGAATAGGGGTTTGTTTTGGGATGCTTTCCTTTCTGGGCACCTGATCCGGTCGATTGCAGACATAGAATGCTTCCAACCACACAGGGGTATCTATAGGCCATTGCTCACCATGCCTCTCTGAGGGGGCTATGTTCTTGCTTGTGGGATCCGGTAGGCCCACGGAACTCCATACACATGATTGATGCCAAAGTCTGACATTAGCATATCAGCCTAATAAGCTCTGGGGAGCCTCCGGGTCTCACCCAGAAAATGGTGTTTCATTACATTCAACGCTGGTTTTTTCTAATACAATAGTTAAGGTGATTGGGCTAAAGACACTAAGGTAACAGAATGATAATTTCACATCATTTATGAAAAGCATCATTAATATTGATCAGGTTTATGCTCCCGGTAGAAATTAATGTTCTCTCTAATTAGTGACAAGAACCATCCAGACAAGAAAATAATGTACTGTATATATAATGAGATCCAATGGGAAGTGTTTCACTAATGGAACCTTGATTTAGTGGTAGGCTAGTGGTCCAATATAAAACTGCTAAGAACCTTGGTACATTAGCACACATATTGTTGTGGGACAGGTGAACCTTTAAAAAATTCAGAATATATACACTTGAGAATGATCAAGTAGTGTACAGTAGTATACATTGTTCATATACTGTAATGTTGTGTGGTAGGTAGGTAGGTGCAAGGATCCCAGTCAGCATCTCTGCTCAGACTAAGTTATGCCTGCAGACGTGTGCTTTAAAGTGTTTCTTCCCTCTTTCAGGGAGATGACTCTGGTTGGGGTTTACCTATTTTCCAGGACAATGAGGTAGTCTGGGGAGAGGATGAGAAGGAAGTGGAGGTCAAGCGGTACTTCAGAGCAGAGTATTTCACAGAAGAGGACACTAAACAAAAAAGTGAGCTTTTGTAGAAACCACAAAAATTATTTATTTTTATCTATCCATATATATGTTGTGTGATGACAGTGAGAGCTCACTCTATTAGATGAATGCCAGCATACACTTCCCAGAAGGTTTCACCTACATTACAGGTGTTAAAATACCATAGAAAGATTTTTTGCAATATTTGATGTGTTAAATTTTTGTGTTAGCTTTCCTCTACTGTATTAAAAATATCATCTATACACTCATCATATCTTTACAATATAATACAGAGCATCACAGATAAACCAGCACTGCTACACTCCTGCAGTAATCCACAGCAACAACTACAGATATTTAAGACCAGGTCTACAGTACTCATTGTGAATTATTATAATACTGTATTTACATTATATACAAGTGCACTTCCTTGTTGCACCTTCCACCCAGCTTCCATCCAGCTTTGACCCTTAACGTATCCTGTGTGTTGCCCACGCGCACACCTTTCTGCCTTTCCTCTTCTCTACACATAAATTCATTTAAATATCCTCCCTTCATAATTTCATAGGTCTACTGTCTTCAAATTCACTCAAAATACTCAGTTCATCTAAATATTCCTTGTTCTATTTTCCTGACACCACATATTCTTTTTAGATTGTCCATTTCTACTTTTCTAACTCTTGATTTTTTTGTGTTCATTCCACACCATCCTGCTTTTCCTAATCAGGACTTTTATTGTCCATGTCACATCCCTTGATTTTGATTGTTGCCGCCAGAGGCGGCTAGTTTATTGTGCACCCCATACCCATCCTGTGAGCGGTAGTGCAAAAAGCATTACAGAGGGCACAAAAGGTCTTTATCAGACCTCATCTTAGATTATTATATAAACAATTTCATCTATTCCCTGACTAATCCTACTCTCACCTTCAAATGAATGAACACCCCTTTCAGCAATAACACATTTCAGCAATAACATACGGCAAGGAGGAATTATAGAAATAATAGGACACTAGTGAGAGAGAGAAAGATACAAGAGTGCCAGGAATGAATGTCAGGGTGAGAAGAGAGGCAGAAAGACAATATGAAAATGACATAGCAAGCAAAGCAAAGATTCAACCTAAATTGCTGCACAGCCACATCAGGAGAAAAACAACAGTGAAGGAACAGGTAATGAAACTGAGGAATAGGGTAGACAAATTCACTACAAAAAACAAGGAAGTGTGTGAGGAACTCTATAAGAAATTCCAGAAGGTCTTCACAGTAGAGCAAGGATAAGTCTCGGAGATAAGAGAGTGAATACCTAACCAAACACCACTAAATGGGTTTGTGATTACCATTGGGAGGTGAGGAAGCATCTTCTAGAGTTGGATGTGACAAAGGCTATAGGCCTGGATGGAATTTCACCATGTATACTAAAGGAAGGAGCAGAAGCACTGTGCCAATCACTCCATGGTGTATAACAAATTACTCGTAACAGGTGAACTGCCGAAAGTTTGGAAATGGCTAATGTAGTCCCAATATTCAAGAAGGATGATAGACAGGAGGCACTAAACTATAGGCCAGTGTCAATAACTTGCATACCATGCAAGGTGTTGGAGAAGATTGTGCAAAAAAAGCTAGTGGAACATCTAAAGCAGAAGAACTTTGTATCACAATGCCAGCATGAGTTCAGGGATGGCAAATCATGCCTCACAGGATTAATTTAATTCTATGACCAGGCAAGAAAGAGAGGGGTGGGCTAATTGCATATTTTTGGATTGCCTGAAAGCCTTTGACACAGTACCACATAAGAGACTAGTGCACAAACTGGAGATGCAGGCAGGAGTGAAAAAGAAGGTACTCTACTGGATCAGGGAGTACCTAAGCAACAGAAAACAGCAAGTCACTGTGTGGGATGAGGTCTCAGAGTGGTGAGGCATCACCAGTGGAGTCCCTGAGGGATCAGTTCTTGGACCTATACTGTTCCTGTTATATGTAAATGATCTCCCAGAGGGAGTAGACTTGTTCCTCTCAATCTTTGCTGATTGTGCAAAAATTCTGAGGAGGATCAAGACAGAGGTAGATAGTATGAGGCACAAGAAGATCTAAATTAGCTGAAGGAATGGACCAACAAATGGCTACTAAAGTTCAACGCAAGTAAATGTAAGGTAATGAAACTAGGTGGAAGAAATTGGAGGCCAGACTGGATACCGAATGGGAGATGAAGTCCTTCACGAAACAAAGAGAAAGATCTAGGAGTTGATATCACGCCAAAGCTGTCTCCTGAAGCCCACATCAAAAGAATAACATCAAAGATCTAGGAGTTGATATCATGCCAAAGCTGTCTCCTGAAGCCCACATCAAAAGAATAACATCAGCGGCGTATGCGAGGCTGGCTAACATCAGAACTAATTTCACAATAAACTCGGCGCAGCACAGTGGTTAAAGTTGCAGCGCTCCACTATTCACATTTATATTACACAATTTTCTTAGCTCTCTACTACTTAACTTTAGTCCATTTCACTCACTTTCAATAATCTTCTCACACAAATTTCAATACAATATTCAACTAGTCTAAAAGAACTTTTATCATTTACATTAAATTTAGTGAAGTGTACTTGTATTAGGTCTCTAGACATTATTTACACCCATCTCTTATATCTTTACCCTGACTACCCTCGTGACCCCTTACATATACAGCAGAACCTCGGTATTCAAACTTAATTGGTTCCTGAAGGCGGGGTGAATACCAAAAAGTTTGAATAAAAAAAAATCCCCCATGAGGAATAATGTAAATTGAATTAATCAATTCCAGACCACAAAATAAAAATTTATTTTCCAAATGAAATGGACCCAAAATAGCACGTTTTTGGTCCTCTGGTAGGTTAGGAGGGCAGCAAGTTCTAATGTTTCAAAACGTCAGGAAAACTGTTAATTTAAATTGTCCTCTCCTAACCTAACCGACTAAGCCAGAGGACCCAAAACAGAAAACTGGACAGTACATCACTTTCACATGCCAATTCCATTTTCAATTACAGTACGGCAATTTTTTGTTCGTAGTGTGCATACGAGTGAAAAAAAATTTATTTGTAAGAGGACGGGTTGGACACATAGGTACTACTTTTATATTTAGCTATGAGGTCTTTCTTCATCTCTATTGTGGTTCTAACCATTTTTCATTTTGCTTGGCTCTTATCACTAACTTTGTTAGGTGACAAGGTGACTTATTTACACCAAGAATATACAGTATTAGATATCCAAAATATCCAAGAGAAAAGTGTAGTGGGTTGTGTACTGAACGACAGCTATGGAGAAACTGACGCGTCAGGGATGCATGTTTACTTGTGAATGCTGAGCAAACAGACAAATACTGAACATGAACACAGCTTCCAAATGCCAAAAAGTTTGGTTTGGGAGCGATTCAAATACCAGAGTTCCACTGTGTAATTTATGTTTTTTATATTTTGAATGGGCAGTGACATCAATTATGTTAGAGAGCCTTTATGCCAAAAATATTGACATACACCTTGATAGGAATGTACATGACTAAACATTTTTTATGTTATTGGTGTGAGCTATAAGATATATTGTTTTACTTCAAAATTAGAAACCATATGGTATTTTGCAATATTTATTTATAGGTATTTTATTAAAGATATATACAGTATATACTTTGAAGAATGTTAACTAGCTGAGATGGGTGGAGTTGATGAAAGAATTACAGCTATGAACATGGATTGTTTTGCTGTGTGAGAATAGTGCGAGAGAGAGAAAATGCTAGAAGATATATCTATGTAAGTGATGGGCACATCAGGGCAGAAGTTGAAATAAGGATCAGCTGCATGTGTTGATAAAGTATACTGGTATGCAGAAAATGTTACTGCAGCAGAGAAAAAGAAATGGAATGTGTGTGGGAAAAGTTTCCATAAAGTTTGGAAAAGATGTGCTTATACGGTTAGGTAAAACCAAAAGTGAAGATAGTGAACTGTTAATATAGTATTACTGAAACATTAGCCCACTAAGTATACTGTAGTTAGCACAGTGATGGGAAGAATACATGAATACACATGAATACAACAGGGTAATAATGAGGACTGTAGATATGAATTCTTTCATTAATTATTAAAATATTACTGTATACATAATCATGTAAAGCTTTAAGTTAATGTCCTTTTCAGTGCTACGGGTTTATGTAGATAAAAGGATAACGGTTGGCCAGCTGAAGGCCGAAATGCAACGGTGGGTAGGGGTGTCTCATGAACACTTCAAACTCTTCAAAATATACTCCAACAGGTTGGTACTTTCATCATTACATAAATACAGTATTTCTTTGTAAGGAATTTGCAGCACATTCTCAATATGCTCCTCATTATTGCATCTCTCGTTTATATTTTCATTCTTTACCCCAATTGTCCATTTCAACTGTTTTAACTTGTAATTCTTTGTGTTCATTCAACACCTCTCAACCATACACAAGAGTCAGCAGCCCCATTTCTTCATGCAGACCTCAGGCTGAATCTTATTCCCATCCTGTTTTAACTTTTATTGTCCAAGCCACATCCCTTCCCTGACTAATCCTACTCTCGCCTTCAAATGATTGAACACCCCTTTCAGCAATAATACATCCTAGATTTTTAAACTTGCAGGACTCCTCCATCCACATTTATATCACACAATTTTCTTATTTCTCCACCGCCATAACTTTACTTTTGTTCATTTCACTCATTTTTTGTAATCTTCTCACACACTTCAGTGCAATTTTCAGCTACTGTAGACTAAAAGAATTGTTTCATCTACATACTTTAAATTTAGCATACTTAAATTATGATTTGACAAGTCTAATTTGTACACTTTTGCCTAAACATAAGTATGGAAATTTACACTTACTCACTTAACCTATCATTGAGTCACTCTTATTTCTACTAAAGCTATATCATAAAGCTTTTGTCCTTAGAGTATGTTTGAGGATGGGTTGAGAATTTCAGTTCAAGCAAAATATTGAATATGAATTTCAAATATAAATGTATGTGAAGGTAACTGAGCAAAGTATACAATTGTGTGCAAATACCACCCAGCTCTAAGAATAAATTATTGTGTGTAATGACTGGGTTCTCACAGAAGACCTGCACTAGCCCACATTGAGTTACCCAAAAAGCCAACAGCAACATACTGGCACACCAGTGACTGAGATAATGACACAAAGTAATGATCTCTTCCATTGTGATACTGTAACCTTGCATTAGGGATCATCGTCTTACCCAAACAATAATCGCTGAGATGGGGGGGCTTGGAATGCTAGAGGAGTCATGCATTAATTTCTGGGGGGAAGCCCCTTGTGATTCTCTGAAGCTACAATGCTGATAGAGCGCCAACCTACTAAGTGCCATCAATCGCGGAGTTTTTTTTGCCTTCCGAGGATCATGAGCCAGAACCTGGCCTCCTCTAGAGAGATGCAAAGAGCAGTGGCACTATGATAAAATTGCCAGTGAAATGTCTGCCACCACAGGGGGAAGCACAAAACAGACCACTGCTGATTATAAGGAAGAGTGATGCCTCAAAATCATTAAAGAATTCCTCCCAACATTGTAAGCAAAACAATAAAAAATTCACGAAACTTGCACAAGCTTGTTTGCCCCCCCTCCCCCCCCCCATTTGGAGGGAGGGATCTGCCCTCACACGCCATTCGTATGTAGGCAAGTCTGCGGTCTACCCTCATCCGCATGCCGTTCATACATTTGTGGCTCTTGGCTGAGTTTGCCTGTATGTCTTGGACTTATTTTTGGGTGCAGGGGTTTTGGTGGTCATGCTGGGTCCTGGTAGCCTAGTATCTCATGATTGTTCCTAGTTCTCATCAGCCTTGGAAGGCCTTGGGTCCTGTGACATGGCCCTTGGTTTCTTCTTTGTTGTGATACCTTCGAAGCTTCCTCCTCTCAGGAAGCAGGGAGCCAAAAGAGGCTGCCTCCAGAAAGCCAGCATTGAATTTATTGAAATGCCAATTTCAGTGTGAGCCCCAGTGGCTCCATGACATTCTCCCTTCCCCAGAGAATCGGGGGTAGTCTTTCCATCATCATGGAACTTAGTGTGGAGCTGCTGCTGACCCAGTATGTCTCCCTCCTTTCCCCATACGAGGGGAGGAAGGAGGGCAAAAGAGTTTGCGCAAGTTTCATGCATTTTCTATGGTTTCTTTACATTGTTTTGGGAGTTCTTTTGATAAATTTAAGGAAGTGATCTTTCTTATAACCAGCAGTGGTGTTGTTTGTCTCACTGACTTTGTGGATGCTTCCCCAGTGGTGGAGGACATGATTAAAATTCACTGACCGTTTTATCATAGTGCCAATGCTCTCTGCGTCTCTCTCTAGATAGGACCGGATTCTGGCTAGTGGTTCCCAGTAAGCTGAAAATAACTCTGTGACTGGTTGTACCTAGTAGTTTGGCACTGTATCAGCATTGTACATTCAGGGACCCACCTGAATCCGGTCGGCCGAGCGGACAGCACGCGGGACTTGTGATCCTGTGGTCCTGGGTTCGATCCCAGGCGCCGGCGAGAAACATTGGGCAGAGTTTCTTTCACCCTATGCCCCTGTTACCTAGCAGTAAATAGGTACCTGGGTGTTAGTCAGCTGTCACGGGCTGCTTCCTGGGGGTGGAGGCCTGGTCGAAGACCGGGCCGCGGGGACACTAAAGCCCCGAAATCATCTCAAGATAATCTCAAGATAATCACCGGGGCTCACCCAGTAAATGGCATTTCATTACATTCAATGCCGTTTTTTTATTTGATGCAAGACTGTGGCAGCTCTATCTTGATGTCATCTTGAGGTTATCGAGATGATTTTGGGGCTTAGCGTTCCCGGGGCCCGGTCCTCGACCAGGCCTCCTTTTTGTTACACATCCCCAGGAGCAGCCCGTAGCAGCTGTCTAACTCCCAGGTACTTATTTACTGCTAGGGGAACAGGGGGTATCAGGGTGAAAGAAACGCTGCCCATTTGTTTTCGCCTCCATTGGGGATCGAAAGCCTCAGGACTACAAATCCGAAGCGCTGTCTACGCAGCTGTCAGGCCCCTATCCTTGAGATGGTATCAAGAATCATTAAGAGAGCCGGGAAGTGGTAGTGTCACGTGTGAGAGTAGTATGGGGGATAGTTCGATTTAAAGTGTAACTAAATACTAATTTAAGTAATATAGCATTATTACTCAAGGCAATGTAAATTCCACAACTCTCGCCTTATGTTTGTAACTAAGTGTACAATAATACATATTGCAGTAGAGATATTCAGAGAGAATAAGTAAGCTGGAATTCTATTAACTCTTTGGTGAATGAATAATCAATTTTGAAAAATTGTGTGAGCATGGTTCATTCTAACAGGTTCTCACTGTATAGGTATACAGTAAATGTGTGTATATAAGTGTAATAGCCTAAATGTAGTTACTGAATGAGAGCTGTACTCGTAGTGTCCAGTCTTCTCTATAATTTTTGTCATGTGATGTTTAGAAGGTTTTGATGATATTGGCATTCATTACCATTTTATATAATTTCATTACACTTTGCAAAAGGTTATTTTTGTAAGCATTTTTTGAGCCTTTGGTTTAACTTGAATCTGTGGCATGTTGTTCTCAAAGTTATGGAGTTTAAAAGAGCCCTCTCTGTCAATTTTGTCTCTTACTGTCACAATTTTGTATATGGTGATTGTATCACCTATTTTATTTTATCTTGTGTCTCATAGTTTTGACATATTTAATGCCTCCAATCTTTGCTCAAAGCTTTGAGCAAAGAGTCTCTTGTTTTGGGGTGATCAGCATACACCATAACACTATAGAGGTATTAGCAGGTACATATTGCAGCCACCAGCTGCTATCCCCAGGCTTCACTTTGTGATGCCACTCATCAACACTATTCCAGCTATTTCTATTTTTGTGTTTTCTTGTGTTTTGCCCTCTTGCCCTCTTGTGTTTTCACTCCCAACTTTACCGACTACTGTTTTTCCTTGGCAATAAATTCCTGAATGTACTAATATGCATCGATTCTTAGGCACCACTTGGAGGGGATACGTTATGAAGATGTCCAGATTTGGTGGTTTCACTGGATTTAAATTCATTTTTTATGTTTATTATTCTATATTTTTCTTAAAACTTTTCTATATTTTACAGCCAAGAATTTGAGTGCACTAGAATGACTGAAACTTTAGCCTCGTATGGTGACAACACCAGATTAAGTGTGAGGCTGGGAAGAGCACTGCTGCCTGGCGAACAAAGAGGGAAAGTTTACATGCTTGAGCCAGACAATATTGATGATGTAGGTACAACTTGGGTTTAATCTTTCTAATATTTTTTACCACATAGTTTAGTTTATATTTAGCAAGTCTTACAAGATTTTGAAAAATTTGTGGCAGTTGTGAAAAGTATCATTTCTGAACATTTTGTGTGTGGTCCCTCCTGCCCTCCTACTCCAAAGGGAGGCCTGGAGAGATTCAAACCCCCCCCCCCACCCCCACCCTACTGGAGCAAGAATGTGTATGGATGCATCACATACTTTGAGCAAATGCCACCTGGGAGTTTGTCTTGTCATATTTGCTGGCCAAGTGGCATTTGGCAATAAACTATGCCATGGTCTTTGATGCAGTGGGAAATTAACAAAATGCTGATGTAATATACTGTACACAGATTTTGCAAAAGCTTTTGACAAATGTGACTAGTGCTATTGTGCACAAAATGTGCACATAATGAATTACTGGCAAAGTAGGGAGATGGATCTTTAATTTTCTAATGAACAAAACCCAGAGTGTAATAGTGAACAAAGTAAAATCTAGATCATCAGCAGTGAAAAGGTTGATCCTTCAAGGTGCCGTACTTCCTCCGATACTCTTTCCTCATCCTCTTATCAGATATAGACGAAGATACAAACTACTGTATAATATTGTATCTTGCTTTGCAGATGACATTAGAATTTTCATGAGAGTTCTGTATACAATATAGAGGACACAGCAAACCTTCAATTTAATGTTAATCAGGTCTTTCAGTGCACCACAGAAAATATGATGTTTAATAAGTAAAGGTTCCAGCTTCTGCACTATTGAAATGACAAATATAAAAAAAGCAGAAATCACACATAAAACAGTCAAACCACAGTGTTGGAAGACCTTACTTTTAAAAAACACAATAAAGTAGCTGTCATGACATCATTAAGAGAAAACTAGATAGTTTTCTTCAAGACGTACCGGACCAACTGGGCAGTACCAGTACTGGATACGTGGCCTGCGGGTCATTCCAAGCAACAGCCTGTTGGACCAAGTAGGCCATTCCAAGCAACAGTAGTCTGATGGACCAAGCTCTCACAAGTCAAGCCTGGGCCAGGCTTGGGGAGTAGAGGAACTTCCAGAACTCCATCAGAGTAAGGTAAGGTATGATCAAGATTATGCATAATTGATTTCATCAGAGATCCACTGGGGATGTAAGGGCCTGGCAGTAATACTGCATGCCAGACAGGTACTAAGGACAGGTACTACTGTATGCTCTCAGGTGCTAAGGATGCTCGCCAAAAAACCCTTAACCACCAACAGCCCCACTACCTGTGTTGCAAAATGATGCCATTTTGATGCCGTATAAACAAATGCACAAGCCTCTAGTGAACCCCACACAGCCTAATGAACACCCCAAATAAGGGTCTAAACAGTTGTCAGAACACCCCAGAAACACCTGGGGTAAGACACACCACCCTGGTGGCCTAGCCTCGAAAAGGCGAACCCCCAAATACACCAGCGAATCAACTGTCAGTGCAAGGGCAGTGCTCTAGTGAACACCCAAGAAAGAAGTAATCACTGGGCACATGTAGTTCGAAACACACAAACCCATGTCCACACAACAAAACTCAGCAGAAAACATGTACATGAAGCAATTCTATAATGGAATGATGAACTAGCAAAAAAAGGCATCCCAAAGGATGAGTTCTAGGATGGCCAGTACTTAGCTCAGAAGCTCTGGGACTTGCTGCAAGATGATTCAACAGAGGAGCTCTACAGTGTTGCTCTTGGCTATGCATCAGTGAATGAACTGAGATGGGGGACGGGGGGGCCTGTTCTGAGCATCAGGCCACCTGGTGATGTCATTCAGTATTTTAGGTTTCAGCTAGTTTTGCTTATTTTATCTTGTTTTTGAGTTATTTGGCATTTCAGTCGTTTTGAATCTTGGGAGCCCAGTAATTGTCTGCAAAACTTTGCTGACTTTCTGGATGCTTTCCTGGTAAAATGGTGGAATGTCATTTGCTCCCTGTGCCTCATGTGAAAGAGCCAGGTTTTGGCTCTGGTCCCTGGTAGGCCAAATGAACTTGTGCAACAGATGTGATGGGTATCTTGGAACAATCTCAGCGAGATAGCTTTCTGGGGAAGCTACCAAGGAGATCTGGAGGCTCCCTGGAGCTATACTGGGCTGATGTGCATATATTGGACCGTGACAACAGTCAATCGATGGAGTTCTAGGCCTACCGGAGACCAGAGCCAGAACCTGGCTCCCTCAAGAAGAAGCACGAGGAGCAATGGCCTAAAGACACCCCCGTGCAATTGGAAGCAGTCTTTGTCTGCCATCTACCAGGTCAGGCACCCAGAAATGTAGGAATTCCAAAACAAACTACTGTTGGTCTAAAAGTGCAAACTGAAAGCCGAACTAGCAAGCAGAACTCCCCAGTCAAAAACAAGCAAACAAGCACGACGTCACCACAACCGCCGCGTATTCGTCTGTGCAACCTCCCCCCTCCCCCGGAGGGGGGACAGGGGGTCCCTGACCTCCCTGCCTGTTACACTCCTCAGTTCAGAGGCTGAATATCATATATAAAATGTGAAAAAAAAACACCGACCAGAGGGAGGGAGGGAGGGATGCCGGGGAGCCTCCAGGTCACAACTAGAAATGGCATTTCATTACATTCAACGCTGGTTTTCTGTGGAGAGCCCCTTCGACTCCCCGGAGCTACTTAACCAAAAATAAAGAAGAAAAAGGGACTTACCTGGGAGACGGCCGTCACTTACTCCAGGCTACACACGCCCGTGAAGGGCCAGGAACATTAACGAGGTACCATGCTGCCAGAACCTTGTTCGACCTCCAAAAGACCCGTGCCCGAATGTCAGCCCAGGACATATTACCAAAAACAGCAGCCAAAGCCACGAACTTACGAACATCATAGGCACGGGGATAGACCGCAGGCTGGCTGGACCTACTAATCCTGCGGACGACCTGGGAGACCCGCACCCTGGAACAGAGAAGAACAGAAATCGGGTCCACGCAAAGCGCGTCCCCTGCCACAAAGTCTGTGGCGCGCCAATAACAGCAAAGAGCCGCAACCAGATACGAAACATGATGCACCCCGTAGCCGAACAAACCAAGCATCAACAACCCAAAGTCCCCTTCAGAAAGCAGCAGACTCATTCTTTGCCAAAAATGGAGGAGACGGCTGCAAACTAACGAAACAACGACCAGGACCGAAAGAGCAGAAACCCCTGCGCCAGAGGAGAGTACGAAGCTCCCCGACCTGACCCGATCCTCAGAGGCCAATACCAACAAGGAGGAGCCTTAGAAAATCAGCCCAGAACCGAGGGGGGCCACCACAAACCGAGGAGAAGAGAGAAAAGAGAGCACCAGGTCCAACGGTCAATGGGTATAAATTGGATATGAAAACGTAAGAATGAAAGTAACTACAGAAGGCCTATTGGCCCATATTTTCTCTTGCTGCTTCTTTGTTGGTTCGGGGTCTTGAAGTGGGAAGAATATAGTTATGCATTAATTTGCTATTGATTGCTTGTGTTGACTTTTTGATGTGTAGGGCCTCGCTGATGTCGAGTCTCCTGCTATCGTTCTATCTATCGATGATTTCTGTGTTGCCTGTTAAGATTTCTTTGATGATGGTCTGGTTGTGAGAAGAGATTATATGTTCCTTGATGGAGCCCTGTTGTTTATGCACAGCAGTTTATCAATACATACATACATACACACACACTATATATACTTTGAACCCAATTATGCCCAACCCAGGACGGTGAGGGTGACACATGTGCTCCTCTTATTTGTCGGGCTCACAGTTGCCAGCAAATAGCTGCCAGACAATTTCAAAGGGAGAGAAGGATTTTGGACTTTGAGATGACTAGATAGTTTTCACTCAATTTACAAGAGTGAACAATGATTTTTGACTCGGTCAGCCGTAATCAAAGTTAAAAGCACTCATATGTTCAGATCACATTTAGATCCCCTCTCATACCTCGAGTTGAAAACTACTATAGGTAAACCTGTGTCTTTTTAGTTTTTACACTCAGCTCTTGCATCCTTATTTTTATAAATTGTACTGTGAAATGTTTTTATTCAGTACAAAATATTAGATAAACCAAATCTTAAATTTAATGTGCAAGTTCCCAAAATAAAATAATGCTCATTGGTTCTGTTTTCCAGCCTGCTCGATTCCTCATAGATTGGGTTATATGCAAGGGTGACACTGTTGCCAATGCCAAGAAGGCCATCATAAAAGAAGTAAATACACGATGTAACATGACTCTTGTCCCAGAAAATGTGAGAATGCGGAAAAAGAGTTGGAAGAACCCCCAGACAATATACCTCGACAATCAAAAGTTTGACGACGACATCAATTTGTACTCAAACTGGGAAATGTTCCTCCAGGTTAGCAATGAAATAGGATACTTTGTTTTTATGACTGTTAAGGGTTTTTATACAGTAAATACTTAACAATTGGTATTCATGTTATTTGTTGAATTGTTTGCTAGAATGAATATTATATTTAATGTGCTGTAATCATAGAGTAGGAGTGCAAATGTTATAGCATAGAGTGGGAAGTTAATTTGTCAAAGAACAAAGTGTAAATACTGTACTGAATAAGAAGTTTTAAATTGAAATATGCAAAATAATGATCATCTTGTAAAGGCAACTGAAGGAAACATGTCAGTGAAACATGGACATGTTGTGTTATAAGCAATACTGTATTTAAATAAGACAGAACAAATTATATAATAATTGTTAAAGTACTGAGATTTCATGAATAATTTATTAAAATACATGAATAAATTTTATCTTGGAAGGCTGAAACATTTGTCAGGTAATGATTACTAATAATAATGAACAGTTTCAGGGAAATACAATGATTTGTTTAAGATCTCTTAAGGTTATACACATCCATCCTGGACAGTCACATCATTGTTGTAATGGGTTTTGATGTCTCAACACGATAATTGGTTTAAAAAATACTGTATTTGAAACTGTCTGAATATAGCTTGAACTGCTGTAGATGGGAATGGAGGATTCATGCCTCATTGTGATTGTCTTAAACTACACTTTTCTTGAAATCTTTTTAATATTCAATACTAACTTGATAAAAGATGTGAAAACCCCCTCTACAATGTTCTTGGTTGCATCAGAATAGTATAAATGTTGTGTATTAGAACAAGAGGAACATGTATGATAAAGAATGAAAGAAATCATAACTAATAATTATTTCTTAAATCATCATTATTACCATTTTTCCTCTGGTGGTGTGTGACAGATTTGTAATAAATTTGTTATTTTGAATAATGGTTATGTACTGTAGCAGTTTTGTTTTGTAATTGTTATTTTGTCATCAAAATTTTACTAGATTATAGAGGGACCAGAGACTAGAACAAGCAGCACTGAAGAATTAGCAATTTTTGTGAAGAGATGGAGACCATCAACCTATACTACTGACCGGCTCACTGAGATCATTATACCTAGGTCAACTGTTGATGGCCTTAAGGAAAAGGTAAGGCTTCCCTAGTTGAGAAATACTGTACTTCTACTGAAATACAAGTTTAGTAATTATATTGATCTTACTTAACACTTTCGCGCTATCTGGACGCGCCGGCGCGTCCCGTTTCGTCTAACGCTAACGCATAGTGGACATAAAGTTGAGTCCTCTTTTAAAATATTTGTATAAAATTCAATTTTTATCCGATTTACTTTGGGTTTGTTTCAAACTGCGCGCTATGAGGCTCTCTTTCTCACCACTAGGCTGCATGGTACAATAAGTTCATGAAAGGTGTGGATAACTTCGATCAAATGGTATTTTGTCCCAAACGGGTTGCAGGTGGGTGACTTTAGCCGTTTATACTGGTAATGCTTCCCCCATATCATGTATTATATGCATATGTCTGTTTAGGGAATTTTATTCCGATCAATATACAACCAAAAATAACTGTGTGCAACAGTATAAACTTGACAAACATAACAAAAGTAAAAACATTTCGTGTGTGTTTGACGCTCACTGATATGTTCCAGCGTTGTTTTATATTTGGCGCTATTCTAACTTACGCTTTGTTGATATTTTTTACCTATGGGCACATAGAACATTCTATTGCGAACACATTGACACAAAAATGAATGACGTACATAGAAAATTAATGTCATGATAGTGAAATAAGTATAAACTTTCAAAGCGCCGTGCGTCGTCCCGTCACCGATACCGGGTAACAATTTCACCACTTCCCACACTCTTGCGGGCGGGCCGCATCATTATTCTACGCTTATATTCATATCACCGTGTTGGGAATTTCATTGCGAGTCCATTGATACCAAAATTAACGCTGTAGAATAAGTGTGGAGGTGATTACAATCCCAAGAGTAAAAACATTTTGTTGCTGATGGGCGCTCACGGCGAGTCATCTTCGTAGTTATTTATTTGGTGCTGGTATCCCTATACGTTTCGTGACTTTTTTTACTGATGTTCTTCTAGAGAATTTTATTGCGAACACGTTGGTACCAAAATGAAATACGTAGCATGAGAACTAAGGTCAGAAGAGTAAAAAGAGTATACACATTTTTGTTTTTACGCTTAAGCGATAAAAACGCCGCGCGCACATTCGGTTGGCTGAGTGACCTTCGTGGAAAGCGCGAAAGTGTTAATAACCTTGCTATTAACCAAAAACATTTATTGAGGCTGCTATTAGTACTAACAGCCTCAACATGACCTTCCTTGGTTTGTTGTTTGTACTTTGTCAGTACTCCAGACTCATCTTGAATGAGTGTGAAGAGGTGTCTGAGTAGTTTGTGAAACTAGTTTATGCCAGGAAGATATCGTGCTCGATACGTAACTTTGGTGTTTAGTGCTATTACGTTGCATTACATCTGGTTATTTGTATTTTACATTCATACATGTTGTGCATGAACACAATCACTGGAATCACATGGGGAAGAGTTATCTTACAATACATATAAACTTTACTCATTTATGAACACATGTTGGCAGTTATTACACTCCTGTAATTTGTGAAGGTCTTCTTAGAACATTGTACAGTCCTTTGCTCTGCATCATCTGCAAACATTGGTATGACAACATTGGTATGACATTATGAGCAACAACAAACTGAATGACTGAATCTTAAAGAACCCTACTTGCTACATCTCTCTAGCCAGTCATCTCTCATACTGTGACCTTGTTTACTGTCTGGCAGGCACTCCTTTACCCAGTTGTGTGTGTTTCATGTTATCCCACCTTCCCTGGTCTTTCCAGCTTATACACCAGCATTTTGTGAAGTCAATTATCAAATGCTTTTAGAGTTCCTAGGAAAAATTTAGTCTACTCTGCCTCCTCTCTTATGTATTGGTGACCACATATTCTACACAACTTGTCCCTCTACAACCATTGGTCACACTTTCAGTGCTTCAATATCACTATTCCCATTCCTTATAGTCTCACTATATGACACAACCCATCTATTTATGTGATTATATACAGATATAAAATTTAGTACCATTTAACTTCTGTATATATATATTTATATTTTCTGTTTTTATTACAGTTGTCTGAAATATCTGGAATAGAAGCAGAGAATATTGAAGTTGCCAAGGGCAAAGGAACATTTCCATCTGATATGTCTGTTATTGATATAACCAATGACCTAGATTGGGCTCCTCGCAGTGGCCCGTTGGACCAGCGGCCATTTTACATTCTAGATGATGGTGCTATGATTTATTACAGGTAATTTTTTTTTTTTAAGTTTTTAAAAAAAACTTTGTACCTCCATAGTCATCCACATTTATTCTAAAACATTTGATGTTTTAACAGTTGTGTAGTATTAGAATAATAAATGTTAGATACAACTTGTGCAGTAATCAGAAGAAATCTTCAAGCACATTACATTTATCCTAAGCACATATCCACTCTAGTAATCATCCACATTAGCACCACACTACTTCATAAGACAACACACTTCGCAATCAAATACTGTACAATGAAATGGAATGTGAATATTATTGTATAATATTAATATGATCGGGTTTTCTTTGCATCTTAGGGATAAGACTGAAAAGCTGAAGGAACTATTGGAAGATGAACGTCGGGAGCTTGTGAACACTGAGAACCGCCGCCTCAACCGTGAACAGCAGTACACCTGTCCAAGTTCCTCAACTTCTACCTATAGTACTCTAAGATCCAAAGAAAAGGGACTCAAAATTTATCTAAATCATGAAGATTAAATATGGATAAAAACTTGATAAATGGCTGTATATGTTATGATTCCTCTGGAGTCAGAATAGTAGCAGTTTTTTGGTGATAATGGTACAACAAAATACTGCCATTATGATCAGTGAAAAAAATAAAAAGAGACTGCTTTTGGATGTTCAGTTTCTGTACCAGTGCCTAAACCTTTACTGTAAGTCACTACAATACACTGGAAGGTCATGGTGTCAGGCATGTTTAATTTAAACAATATTATATGCCCGGTGATTTATTTAAAACAAATAAAAGGTAGAGATAGTACTGTACAACGTTGACGTTCATGATTTGACTTAAAATTATATATATCAAGAAAATTTCTGAATAAAGTTTATTTAGAAAATACTGTAGTAATAAATTTCTGTATATAAGTTTTAACTAAAGTGACTGTATTACAAAGGAAAATGTAAGATACATCATCCAAGCCTAATGACCCACTTTGTGTTTATAACCTTCTTTTTTTTTTTTTTCCACAAACCACCTCGGTACTGCACAGGAAACATAGACTCGTTCTCAAATAAAAACCATTTGGTATACAAATATACAGTAGTCTGAAATACAATATCAAAAGCTAGTGTGTGCAAAATATTTTTAAGTGTCAAGACACTGTAAGAAGAGTGAAAGTTAATTCTGCCTAGTGATGACACCAACCTTACTCCATGTTGCCATTGACACGCCCAACATTAACACGCCCCATCAACAGTATTGTTTGGAATTTTAGCCAAAGATTAAAAATGAATGCATGTTGCCTTTGCTTTTACTTTAAGTACTATTAGAACAAAATTAAAATGTAAGGAATCAATTTCTTCTTTTTGTTATATATACATTTAGAGGAATTAAGTTGGACAAAAATAAAATGAGAAAATAATGGGAAAGTAAATGTGGTGGACTTGGCCGAAGAAAGTTAGGCATCCATTGAAATACTAGAAGACCTCAAGGATGTAATCCCTGTGAGCACAGGCTGCAGTGTAACTACATAGATTGTTTGGATAGCTTTGTTGAAACCTGAAGGGTTTGGTGCATAATTGCACCAAACATAATCTTTAATTGCAATGCATAATCAACATAATTGAGGCAAAATATCATAAAAATTTAATGTCACCAAAGATGATAATATTTTGGACCAATAATTCATCTTCTGGAAGTTATTTATGATTTTTGTTTACGGGTCTACATAGTTTACCAGAAATTATTTTACAAAATGTTCATAAAAAATATAGCAGTACAAAATAAATCATTGGCAAAGGCTTTACAAACACTGATGGTACAGAGATATATTTTAGCTTTCTGCTTAAGCAAAATTATCTTCATGTTTTTGTTTTAAGCATACATTAATGAAGGTAAGTAAATATATATATATTTTACTTGGATGCAGCTGATATCTTGGAGCAAATTAGTTTGTGCACAGAATTGAAGGTAAAACTAAACAATGTTAAAAAAAATCATGTATAAATATATACACAAATAAAGTATAGGTTTTGAGATTAAATTTAGCTATGCTCATTAAGTTTCATAGTAAAAACCTCCTGTTCATTCAAAATCCATCATGTATATTGCACTGAAGAACATTTTCATGCAATAATTAACTTAGCAGATAATGATACTGTACTGTTAAATTACATTATCCTCACTCCTCAAATAAACTAAATGAAAATCTGCCTTACTTTAGCTCGAACTCGAGACCATTTTTGTATCGTTTCATGTTGTCATTTATGCTCATCACCTCACTGATGAACTTGTATAAAGTTGCATGTATTTTTGGCATTGTCTTGTGGTAATATGTGCATGTTCCTTGTGTGAGCAAAAAAAAAATAACAAAAACAGCTGGAACTGTAATGATGTTGTGTATGAATTGTGGGGTTACTGTTAATTACTTGGGGCACCACTCTACTGCCCAGTGTGTGATAGACCTGCCTTGTCTTGAGCAGCAGGCACCTTGTACAGTAATTTACTTTTTTGAATTCTGTAAATAGTTGCCAGAGATATAAATCCCATTTTTCATAACCATATTTAATTGGTGTTTTTCACCTTTAAAGAATTGTGAAATATTGGGAGTCACACACTCCCTCCTCATTAAGCCGACACCTTGTATCATACTTGCATTTTATCATGTTATATATGATCCTGTGCATACTATGGTTTTTACAATTTTTAATGTATTCTGTTATTTTCCCAACACTTTTCTCATGTCGTATACCTATGTACTGTATTTTTTGTAAATAAATTTATTATTATAATTGAAGAGGGAGTCGACAGGAAATATTTTTTGTATTACCTATGACGATGCAAGGAATACACATTTGTGCATCCTTTTATTAATAACTGTAAGTCATGTCTTCAAGAACCTAGTCTATGTTCACATATTTGTTGGAACTGTCATAGTCTCTTGTATATTTTGTGCATATGTTAACGTTTATTTATTATTTCGAATGTTTATCAATTGGAGAGATACTATACAATGAAGCTTACTTTAGTAATACAGAATAATTAAAACAAACTTGATTGAAGAAGTCTTTTTATTTGTGATGTAAAATAATTCCTGTGGGTTAACAGTAGGTAATGATTAAAAAAAAGTTTTTTCACTTGTCATATTTATTTCTCGTGTAACAATAAAAAAAAAATTGAACCACTTGGATCAGCAGTATTAATGTCAAGTACCTATTAAGCCCAGTCCTTGAGGGTAGCCTGGGAATTACCACATTTTCTGTGGAGAGCCCCTTCAGCTCCACGGAGCTATACCGGGCTGATGTGTATATATTAGACTGTGACAACAGTCAATCGAAGGAGTTCTAGGCCTACCGGAGACCACAGCCAGAACCTGGCCCCCCTCAAGAGAGGCACGAGGGGCAATGGACTAAAGACATCCCCGTGTAATTGGAAGCAGTCTGTCTACCAGGTTAGGCACCCAGAAAGGTAGGAATTCCAAAACAAACTACTGCTGATCAAATGAATTGCAAACCGACAGCTGAACTAGCAACAGAACTCCAATCAAAACCAAGGAAACAAGTATGACATCACCACAAACGCCACTCATTCTGCACAACCCTCCCTCCCTGGGAGGGGGACGGGGGTCCCAGACCTTCACACCAGCAACTCTTCTCAGTTCAAGAGGCTGTTGTGTTGGTGACGGTCGATTGTTCTGGCCCCACTCTTTGCGCAGTGCGGTGTTGTTGCTCTGTTTTGATGGTGTGTGAGCCAGACATAACACAAGAGTACTGGGACTGCATGCACCTAGGGTCGCCTTCCCTAGGTGCCCTGCAAGTACTGCCTTTACGGCTTCAGGGTTATCTTCCATGAGCCGTTCAGCAGCAGCTACCTCCGTGTGGTTCTGTCGCTGCTCGGTGATTGCCCCCCCCCCCCTTGGGGGTTCAGCTGGGGTGGTTCTTACTCCTGTTTTCCCTTGGGTTAGGAGGTAGTTTCGTCGCTGGCTGGGGCGCGAGGTACTGTGCAGCTGTCTGATATACGCATAGCGACCGATTCTATTCTGGAGACGTGCTTTTGCAGGGTTTTTGTTTTGCCTGGTGGGGGGTTTGCCAAGTGTGGCGGTAGGTTTTTGGTGGCCCTCCACCAGGTCCCAGTGTGTGCACACGTTGGTTCGGCTTTTAGATTGTTTGCTTGGTAGCTCTAGGATAACGGTTAGCAGTACCTCGCCTGGGCTTCCCTTAGCAGTCAGCCTAAGGGCCCCTGGAAACCCCCAATTGGGGCTCAGTGGTCTAATGTAGAAGACCTCTGAGTTCCACCTCGCCTTGTGCGAGTTTGAGGGTTACTCTGTCCCTGTTTTGGGGTGACACTCACCATCTGCCTCTGCCTTGCTGCTTTTTGGGGTCAGTGACACCTATGACCCAGAGTACTGTACTCACCTAATTATGCTTGCGAGGGTTGAGCTTTGGCTCTTTGGTCCCGCCTCTCAACTGTCAATCAACTGGTGTACAGATTCCTGAGCCTACTGGGCTCTATCATATCTACATTCGAAACTGTGTATGGAGTCAGCCTCCACCACATCACTTCCTAGTGCATTCCATTTATTAACTACTCTGACACTGAAAAAATTCTTTCTAACATCAATGTGGCTCATCTGGGTACTAAGTTTCCACCTGTGTCCCCTTGTTCATGTCCCACCTGTGCTAAAGAGTTTGTCTTTGTCCACCCTGTCAATTCTTCTGAGAATGTTGTAGGTGGTTATCATGTCTCCCCTTACTCTTCTGTTTCCCAGGGATGTGAGGTTCAGCTCCTTTAGCCTTTCCTCGTAGCTCATTCCTCTCAGTTCCGGGACGAGCCTGGTGGCATACCGCTGAATCTTCTCTAACTTTGTCTTGTGTTTCACTAGGTATGGACTCCAGGATTGGTCTTACATAAGTGGTATACAGGGTTCTGAAAGATTCCGTACACAAGTTTCTAAAGGCAGTTCTTATGTTAGCCAGTCTAGCATATGCCACTGATGATATTCTTTTGATGTGGGCCTCTGGGGACAGGTTCGGTGTGATATCAACCCCCAAATCTCTCTCTCTATTTGACTTGCAGGATTTCACCTCCTAGATGGTATCTTGTGTTCAGCCTTCTGCTCCCTTTGCCTAATTTCATTACTTTACACTTTCCTGAGTTGAACTTTAGCAGCCATTTTCTAGACCATTCCTCCATTGTTGTTGTTGTTTAAGATTCGCTACCTGGAACAAAAAATTTCAAGTAGCACGGGCTTTGGTGAGCCCGTAGTGGACTAAGTCATTCCTCCAGTTTGTCCAGGTCGTCCTATAGTCTCTGTCTATCTTCATCTGGTTTGATTCTTCTCATAATTTTTGCATCATCAGCAAACATTGAGAGGAATGAGTCTATACCCTCTGGAAGGTCGTTTACATATACTAGAAACAGGATGGGTCCAAGTACAGAGCCCTGTGGGACTCCGCTGGTGACATCTCGCCCCTCTGATGCCTCTGTCCCTTACCGTTACTTGCTGTTTCCTATTGCTTAGATACTCTCTTATTCACTGGAGCACCTTACCTTTTACTCCTGCCTGCTGCTCCAACTTTTGTAACAGCCTTTTGTGAGGTACTGTGTCAAAGGCTTTCTGACAGTCCAAGAAAATGCAGTCTGCCCATCCTTCATTTTCCTGCCTAATTTGTGTTGCTTGGTCATAGAATTCTATTAGGCCTGTGAGGCACGATTTACCATCCCTGAACTCATGCTGGAGGTGTGTTACAATGCTGTTTCCCTATAGTGAAAATTAGCTAGTGTCACTACCTAATTTTCTATTATTATTGTAACGTACGGTTATGTTACGTTGTTGGGTAGATTAGATGTACAGTGTCACCAGCGACCCAAGGACGCAACAATTATGCACATTCTTCTCTCCTGCTACACCGAGCTTGTCCACACACTGCCTACATCTTTTAGTACCAGACTACAATTTCCACAGTCAACAATGTAGTACTCGGCGTGTACAGTCCTAATCAACCCAAGACGCTACAGCTTCGACACAGAGCAGACAGCAGACTACGACCGCATCGAGCCGCCACGCTCTCGCTCCCCGAGTTTAGACACTCACAATTCTCAATCGAGCCGCCACGCTCTCGCTCCCCGAGTTTAGACACTCACAATTCTCAATCGAGCCGCCACGCTCTCGCTCCCCGAGTTTAGACACTCACAATTCTCAATCGAGCCGCCACGCTCTCCCACATAGAGCTCCACGACTCCGGCCTCACTCAGCTCTCTGCTCTGCTCCAGGCTTCGTCTCAACGTCTGCGACACTGCTAAATCCAGAGACACATCCGCCGACTACCAGCAGTTCACTTTTCGACCAGTTACCAGCCTTAGTGAGTTTCATATTTATTTAGTAGTCCTGGATACAGCAGTGTCGTAGACGTTGAGACGGAGCTTGGAGCAGAGCAGAGAGACGAGTGTGGCCGGAGTCGCGGAGCTCCGAGAGCGTTGTAGCTCGATGCGGTCCTAGTCTGCTGCCTGTTCTGTGTTGAAGCTGTAGCGTCTTGGAGACAATTAGAACTGCCTATGCCAAGTGCTTCATTCTTGACTGAAAATTGTACTGTTCGCTATTCCTCATATCGCTCGCTTATATGGTGACTACACCTCAGCTTCCTCCAACAAGATGAGAAGAGTATTACCTGTAATTGGGGAAAGGATTGTAGCTTCTGTAATTAGTGCTAATTAGTTATGCTATTAAGATAATGAGATAATGGAGCGAGTATAAGATTAACTCGCTACATTATTATTATTGTTATTATTATTTATTGTTGTATGTTGTATATTGTATATTAATATACAACATACTGAGCTAAATAGATACCATCTTTGGCTAACCGCCAACAAACTCACCCTCAACATTGACAAAACTTTCTATATTCTGTTTGGCAATAAATCCTCTAATCAAATAAATCTCAGAATAAACAATACCCAAATTTGTAACAAAATAGATGGCAAATTCCTTGGCGTTCTCATTGTCCACAAGCTGAATTTCCAGGGACACATTCTAAATATATAAAAAAAAGTTTCAAAAACTGTTGGCATTCTTTCTAAAATCAGATATTATGTACCTCGCCCTGCCCTGGTGACGCTCTATTACTCCCTCATCTATCCTTATCTCAACTATGATATTTGTGCTTGGGGTTCTACTACCCAAAATCATTTACGTTCTCTAATTACTCAACACAAAGCTGCTATTAGGACAATATCCAACTCTGGCCCCAGACATCACTCGGTACCCCTTCTCAAATCTCTGAATATGTTAGATATTAAGTCACTTCACATCCTCTTATGTGTATTATACATATATAAAACGCTGAACTGTAATGCCAATCCTGACCTCAAAAGCTTCATTGAAGGTTGTAACAGAACCCATGAGCACCACACCAGAAACAAATACAATTTTGATATTCCAAGAGTACGACTTAATCAAACTAGAAATGCTCTACAAATCAAGGGACCCAGAATGTGGAATGACCTTCCCAATCATGTTAAAGACTGTACCTCTCTCAACCAGTTTAAGATAAAAACGAAGCACTACCTAATAAATTCCCTGTAACCTACCTTACCCCTATATTGTCAACCCATGTCTGTTTTCTTAAACAACGCTGTTTGTCGACCTAATTGTATTTGTGCTGCTTTTTCAGCCATGTTCCCCCCTTTTTTATTTTTATTTTTATTTGTTCTCAACACATTTTATTCTTTATACTCAATTAGTATTAAGTTTTAGTCTTTAATGTTTTTCCTGCCCGAAACGCTTTGCGTAATAGTGGCTTTAGGCATTGTATGTACTAGCTCTATCTATAAATCTATCAATTTTTGTAAAATTTCTTGTATGTATGTACCTTACCTGAATAAACATTTATTTATTTATTTATTATATTTATTATTATTATTATTATTATTATTATTATTATTATTATTATTATTATTATTATTATTATTATTATTATTATTATTATTATTATTATTATTATTATTATTATTATTATTATTATTATTATTATTATTATTATTGCTAACTAAAGCCATCATT